GGATACGTCGCGAAGGAGCTCGGCGCGGATCCCGCGGCGGAGGATGAAAAGATTTTCCAAATCGCCCGGCACCTCAACGCCGCGGTCCTGCGGTCGATCTTCCTGAAGGACTACATGCCGTACCTCACGAGCGGGCAGCACGTCCCAGAGGTGCCGCCGATGCCGCCGATGGCGGAGCCGAGCGCTCCGGGGAAATTCGGCGTCAACGGATCCGTGGAGTTGGATCTGATGTTCAGAGGACTCGCAGCGATGGAACCGGAGGACGGGCCCATCGCGCATAATAAAGGCAAAGGCGGGATGAAGACGTGCGAGGCGCTCATCGCGGCGGCGAACCGACGCTGCGGGCTCCCGACGCGGTGTAACATCCCGCAGAGGCACGCGGACGCGGAGATCGCCGCGGTCGAACGCGCGCGCGCCGTCGGCGTGTGCGCGCTCAACGAGTTTCGAGAGCAGATGGGGTTACAAAAGTGGGGGAGTTTCGAGGAGATGACGAGAGAGCCCGAGCTCGCGACCGCGCTGGCGTCGATGTACGCCACCGTCGACGACGTGGAGCTGTACACCGGTTTGTTGTGCGAGTATAACGTCCAGAACACGGGCGTTATGCTCCCGCACACGACCCACGCGTGCGCGTTGCCGCTCAACGTCGTCGCCGCGGATAAATTCTTCCAGGCGCGGACGAAGCCGTCTACACCGAGTGGGGCGTCGAGCACGTCAAGAGCGCGACGCTCGCGGGGCTCATCCTCGAGCACACGTCGCGGTCGGAGCTTAACATCGTGGAGGGCGCGAGCGTGTTCGAGGTGGGCGCGTTCGCGAAGGAGGCGCCGGAGACACCGGCGTGAGACGTGTTCGAGCGACGCGCGGGGGATATGATAAGTTAGCGACCCCAAAATCCAAATTGTAAAAACGCACGGTACGTACTCGAGAAGACTTTGGAATACTCCGCGTGTTATTTCACGCGCGTCTGCGACACACAAACAAACACGCGAACGAACGATCTACGACGTCCTCCGCTCGACCGTTTCATCGCTTCAATTCACTCACCCGCTCGCGTCGTCACACGTCCATCTCGTCGCCGCACTCCTCCGGGACTTCGTTGAACATGAACTGCTCTTGGTACTCGACCATGAACTGCGTGCTGCGCTGCACGTCCAGGAACAGCGCGTACACCCTCGAGATGTCCTCGACTTCCACCTCCGCGGACTTGCGTTTGTGCGCGACGAGCGCCGCGGCGGTGATGAGGTGGATGCTATACCGCAAACTCGTCTCGTGTCCGATTTTACACAGCAGATCCTTCGCGTCTTCGGTCATCTCCACGTCCTCTTCCTCGCACCGGATGTCCAGAATCAACCGCAACTCTCGCTCCGTGTACGGCACCGTGGTCACGATGAGAAGGCGGTCCAGCAGATCGATCGGGATCCCGTGCGGGGACTTGTAGTTGGTCCCGCGAATCTTCGTGATCCCTCGGTTCGTCGCGACTACGAGCACGGGCGCCATGTCGTTCTCGAGCGCCCTGTTGAGGAACGAGAAGCACTCGATGTCGAGCATGTGCACCTCGTCGATGAACAGCACGCCCGGCACGATCTCGGCTTTACCCTCCTCGCGCCACTCCGCCACCTTCGCGTCGATCTGTTCGCGCACCTCCGGCCGAATCTCTCCGGTGTCGCCCGCGAACAGTGCGAGGAATCCTGCGTGGGTGAAGCGATCGGTCAGTCGAACGTCTTACCGGTCAAACGTTGAAAGGGAAGCGCGGGTGAAGAGTGACGACGGGAAAAGTCCTTAAGGATCGGCGTTCACCACGCGAACGGGGTCGTATGGGAGGCAGTCTCACCCTGCGTCCGCGAGTTGATGACGTCGATCTCGTGCAGGGTGACGACGTGGACAACCTCTTTCCTCTTCTGGAGCTCGCCCTCGGGGCACTGCACGAACTTCGTCTGCGCGCCCATGGCGTCGTAATCGCGCGAGCGCGCGAACGACCGACCGAGCTTCGTGATGCGTCCGGACGCCTTGTCGATGGTGACGACGTCGCCGGCGCTTACTTTTTCCTTGTTCAGCGACTCGATCATCTTTTGCCCGAGGTCGTACACCGTCTCCATCTCCGTCGTCTTGAGCGTGAGCTTGCCCATCTTCGGCGCCGCGCCGGAGGTGACCGGTCGGTCGATCTCGATCTCCACGACCTCGCCCTCGATGATCTCCGTCTCTTCCTTGATGCGCACGCCGATGGCTTTGCGAAACGCTTGCGTCAGCGCCTCCGTCTTCGACATCTCCATCGAGAAGATCTCCGAGCCGGCCATCATCGCGAACGGGGTCTCCTCGCCGAGCGCTTTCGCCATGCCCATCGCGATCGCGGTCTTGCCCGTGCCGGGCTGGCCCGCGAGGAGGACGGCGCGGCCCGCGATCGCGCCCTCGCGGATCATGGAGAGGATCTGTTAAAAGTCAGAAGACGCGGAGAGGAGAGGAGAGGAGAGGGGGCGTGGAGAAGATCGTCAGCAGGCGGGATCGGGGAGGAGACGTACGTCTCGGGGAAGCGCGCTCGTCGGGGAAGAAACGACGTCGACGAACGAAGGCGGCGGCGGCGGCGGCGGAAGAGCGAGCCGCGCGCGACGGCGCGGCAGATCGCGCGCTTCGAGCGATCGCGCGCGAAATTCTTCATCCATCATCATCGTCTTCTTAATCGGCGGGCCGACTTTTAAGATTCGACGATCGATCGAAGCGTCGGCGTCGATCGATCGCGCGAACGGCGCGCGAACGCGCGCGCGGGAGAGAGACGAGACGAGACGAGACGCACCACGCCCGCGGCCTTGCGCGCGTTGACCTGCCCGACCATCCCCTGCGACACTTTCCTCGCCTCGAGCGCGTCGTCGAGGCCGAGTCCGCGAATGTGCGAGTGCGCGCCGATGCGCTCGATCCGCGTGAGGTCCTTCACCTCCGCCACCTTGACGCCCTCGCCGCCTTCCGCCATGGTTCCCGCCGTGTGCGCGTTCTGTGCGGACGACGCGTGTGGTGATCCCGCGTGCGATCGACGGTCGCGCGCGCGAGTGGAATGGAAGGGAGCGGAAGGACGATCGGAGTGATGATTGTTTCGCGCGTTGACCATGACCGTCCTGTCGACGCTGTCGTCTGACAGACAGGACCGGACGCGCCACGCGCTACTTTCTTGGATGCGTTGTTCGTTGGCGGAGCGGACTCAAACCCATCGATCCCAGAGGAGAAGCGCGCGGGGCGCGGCGGCCGCGAGCGACGCGCGCCGGTCGGCCATGGCGACCGCGGAGGACGAGAGCGCGTTCCTCAGCGCGGACGAGGCGGAGACGAGCGTGGACGGGGCGCGGCGAAGACCGCGGACGACGACGACGACGACGACGGACGTCGATTTCATGAGCCCGCACAAGCGCGCGGAGGCGATGGCACTTCGCGCCGCGGCGTTCGAGCCCGTCGTCCACGCGGCGGACGGCGGCGGGCACACCACGGGGCTGGAGACCGGGAACGACGCGACGCTGGACGGCGACCACACCGCGGAGATCGACCACACCGCGAACGAGACCGTGGACGCGTTCGACGACGACGACGACGCGTCCGACGACGACGACGACGACGACGCGTTCGTCTCGGGCGGGGACGAGCCGCCGACGCCGACGCGCGGACGCCGCGCGGCGAACCAGCGGCGCGAGTTCGCGGCGGCGGAGACGCTCGAGCGCGCGGCCGCGAGCAGCGGCGGGGAGTTCGTCTCGGGGAGCGACGGCGAGGGCGGCCGGCGACGCGGAGGACGAGGAAGAGGAGGAGGCGGGCGCGCGCGGGGCGCGGCGTATGCGGCGGCGACGACGGCGACGACGGACGAGCACGACGCGCTGAACGTCGCGGTGATAGAAGACGACGACGAGGACGACGACGTGTTCGACGACACGAACGCGCCGCCGAGCCCGAGCGGCGTGCTGAACGAGGCGTGGGACGCGGCGACGCGGCGGAGAGGCGAGTCGGACGTGGATTTGGATTTGGCCCCGGCGGGAGTCGCGTCGGACGACGACGACGACGACGCGCTTCCGTCGCCGCCGTCAGAAGGGGACAGCGACGACGGCGGGTTCGCGTCCGCCGGGGACGACGCCGCCGCGGCGGGCGGCGCCGCGGGGGAAATCAAACCGGCGAAACCGACGGCGCCTTCGCCTGCGCCGCCGCCGCGCCGCGCCGCGCCGCCGCCGATCGCGGTGGCGCAGGCGGCGTTGGCGACGTCATCCGCGGGGTGGGGCGACGAGCGCGACGCCGCGGAAGCCCTAAACCGCAGAAAGAAAGGGACGTCGTACAAGGCGAAGGCGGAGGAGCTCCTGGTGAGAGCCAAACGCGGCAGCAGCGAGGACGACGAGAGCAGCGACGGCTCGGACGCGGACGGCGCGTTCGACGACGCCGCGGAGATGCAGCGCGTCATGGCCGCGGCGTCCGCGTCCGCGTCCGCCGCGTCGCGGCGCGGCGGTTCGCAGGGTCAGGGTGGGACGCGCGGTGCTGGCGCGGGCGCGGGCGCGGGCGAGCGATTGGAATTATTCGCCGGGTTGGACGACGAGACGGCGGCGGCGGCGGCGGCGGCGTTGGCGCACGGATACGCCGTGGACGACGTCATGCGCGTGTCTCGACGCGCGCAGCGACGGAAGCTTCAGAAGGAGAAGTACATGCAGAAACTCCGGCACGGGTTCGACGCCGTGAGCGCGGAGGAGACGACGCGACGCGCGGCGGCGGCGCGGCGTAACGCGTTCTCGGAGACGGATCGATTCGGACCGCGTCGGGGCGGCGGCGGCGGCGGCGGCGCGGGGTCGCCGGGAGGGTTCGACTACGACTTCGGCGGGGGCGGTCGCGGGGTGGAGCGAGGGTTCGGCACCGAGGTTGATCGGAGGGGCGCGTCGAGGATGGCGGCGCGGGCCGCGGTCGCGGCGGAGTTTAAAGCGCGAGGATCGAGCGGCGGCGGCGGCGGCGGCGACGCGGATGGCGGCGGATCGCGCGGCCGTTCCGGCCGCGGTCGTCGATCCGGCGACGGCGGCTCCTCCGCGAACAGCCCGAGCGGCGGGTCCGCGGGCACCCTGGGGTCGCCCTCCACCCCGAACGCGGGGGGGATCCCGAGTCCGAGCCCGATGAACCCCGGGTTCAACGCGATGAACCCGATGGGACTGATGAACAACCCGATGGGGATGCTGTCCCCGATGTTGGGGATGCATCCGATGATGAACCCGGCGATGGCGGGGATGATGATGCAGCAGCAGCAGCAGCAGCAGCAGATGATGGCGCAGATGATGTCGCAGCAGTTCAACGCGATGAACTTCGCGGCGACCGGCGGCGGGGGCGGGTTCAACCCGCAGTTCCAGTCGATGATGCACCCTGCGCAGCAACAGGCGTACCACGGCCAGCCGCCGTCGCCGCCGTCGCGACAAAACCAAAACCAAAACCAACGCCCGTCGCCGCCGCAGCGAGGGAGCGAGCGCGTCGCGGAGGTGTTCGCGCTCGTCGCGAGCAACTCGTGGGAGGAAGTCGTCGCCCTCGTGGACTCCGACGCCGTGGACGTCGACCTCGCGGACGCGCGCGGGAACACGCTGTTCATGGCGGCGGCGTCCAGAGGGCACAAGCGGCTGTCGAAGCGTCTGATGAAGCGCGGCGCGGGGGTGAATAAGGTGCGTTCTATACACTGGTCCCCATACGACCCCGATGGCGTGGTGAACGCGATTCCTTAAGGACTTTGCCCGGCGCATCTCTCCGCCCAGCCCTCGCTTTCAATCCCCGCCCTCGAAGCCTTTCAACTTCAACTGACGCCTTTGAACTCCACCCCGACTTCGCTTTGTATGGAACGACCCTAAGCAAAACGCGGACGGGCAGACGGCGTTGCATTACTGCCTGGCGTTCGGGCACGACGCGCTGGGGGATTACCTCCTCGCGAAGGGCGCGGACGCGTCGGTCGCGAACAAGCACGGTCTCACGCCGTTCGACGGGTTAGTGCCCGAGTAGTGCGGTACGTAGAGAGTTCGGAGGCGGCGGGGCGGGGACGAGGACGCGGGACCGTCGTCCGTCGTTCGTCGCGCGCGGGTTTTAGTTTTCGGTCGGCGGGTGTCGTATCATCGTATCATCTTCTCTCGTTCGTCGTGCATCGCGCGTCGCGCGTCGGCGCGCGCGGGACTCTCAGAGTCGGTTTTTTTCTCGTCTGCGCGTACGTCCGTCGTACTCGTGCTTCGCTCGCGCGTCGTCCCTTCCGTCACTCGAGCTTATCCGCGAGCGTGCCGCCGCCTTCGCACTTGATTTTGTCCGCGTAGTCTACGATCCTCTGGACGTTTCTCCCGTCGCAGTCGACCCAGTCGAGCCCAGCCTCTCGCTTCATGCATCCCTTGACCTGCTCGAGGACGTCGTCGAGGCCGTCTCCGCACGCGATCTCGACGTCGTCGGAACGCGCGAGCGCGGCGTCGCGTATCGCGGAGAAGCACTGCTCTCCGCAGAGGCCCTCGTCGTCGCCGAGGCACGCGACCGCGACCGAGTTCTGCGTGTCCACGTCGATCGTCGGGCACTCGAGCTCCGCGGCGAGCGCGGTCGGCGGCGTCGCGAAGAGGACGCACGCGACCGCGGCGGCGGCGAGGAGGAGGCGGGGCATGACGCGACGGCGGCGGGGATTGGGAGAGGGTGCGGCGGCGCGCGGATAAGTGCCCTCGGATACGGGGAAAGGAAAGCGTCTTCTCATCTTCCCTGCCAAGAAAACCAAAGCCACGATACACGACAGAAGAGGACGACACGACGTTCGCGCGCGTCAAACAGAACATGGACGCCGCCTCGCCGCATCCCGCGCCGATGAAGGTCGAGCCCACGCGCTCGATGGAGGAGGAGGAGGAGGAGGAGGAGGAGGAGGAGGAGGAGACGCCGTCGTCGTCGCCGTTCGTCGTCAACCTCATCTCCGACGCGGACGGCGACGACCTCGACGTCGCCGTCGCCGCGAGCCCCGCGAAGCGAGAGCCGCCGACGCCCGCGCCGGAGCCGTCGCCTCGACCCGGCGCGCGGCCGAGCGCATCGTCTGAGTGCGACTTCGAGACGCTCGCCGCGAGAGTGCGCGCGTGGACGTGCGCGGAGCGCGAGCGCGACGAGCTCGAGGACGCGCGCGCGCGCGTCGCGGCGGCAGAGCGCGCCGCGGAGGAAGCCAAGGCGCTCGCGAGAGAGGCGAAGCGAACCGCGAAGGCGGTCAAGCGCGAAGCGGAGAAGGCCGCGGCCGCGCCGACGAGCGGGTCGCGCGCGGACCTGATCGGCAAGTCCTTCGCCGCGATCGTGGAGCACGCGAAGACGAAGGCGCCGACGGAGATGGAAGGCGTCGTCGTCGGCGTGGAGAGAGACGGGCACTTTGGAGAGCTTCTCAGCGTCGCCTACGGGGAAGAGGCGGGCGAAGACGCGCTTCTGTTCGAGGAGTTGATCCTCGTGCTGCGAGACAAGAGCCTCGTCCCCGCCGCGGCGCGGATGATGTGTGATCACATCATGCACAACGCGAGGAATTTCAATTTGACACCAACGGGAGTAAGGCTTCGCACGCGCATACCGGAGGCGATGGCGTGGAGAGATCGCCCGAGTCCAAACGGGATTAAATTCGGGCGCTACAAAAAAGATACCGACGCGAACGGCAACGACGCTTACGCTCCCTTCATCGTCGACGCGACCGGCGAGGAACACCCGTTCAAGTGGCCGTCGCCGACCACCTGGGGCGCGGCCGCGGCGTACGATATCTTGTCGCGGCATCTCAAAGCGCACGGACCGGGGGTTCAGGACGAGCGAACGAACTTTCCTCCGACGCTATCGCACGCGGACCTGATCGGGATCATGATGGCGGGGTACGACCCGCGACACGCGCACAAAACCGTGGTGGAAATTGATGCGTCTGAGGAAGAGGAGGAAGAGGAAGAAGAAGCAGAAGAAGAAGAAGGAGAAGAAGAAGAAGAAAACGTCAACGAGACCGCGTCCGAGGAAGACGAAGTTCCCGCGAAACGCCGGCGCGGGGAAAAAGCCATGGGTAAGAGGGACAATAACTGGGTAAAGCGGATGCGAGAGTCCGCGGACGTGTTGCCCGACGGCACGCGGCTGAAGCGCCCCGTCGGCGAGTCCGACTTCTTCGGCGTGCGCTGGGGCGCGTCGCTCGGACCGACCGCGAAGCCGTGGAACGCGGTCATCAACGTCACAGGGATAGGGAAGGCGACGGACATCTCCCTCGGGTCGTTCGAGACCAAGCGCGAGGCGGCGCTAGCGTACGATTTCGAGGTCCGCCGCCGCGGGCTGACGCACAGCAAGCCGACGAACTTCCCTCCTGAGGCGGTCGCGGGGATGAAACCGCACGAGTCAAAGTTAGCGACGTCGATTGGCACTGCGAATACGGAGCTGATCGAGCGGTTGAAAGCCTCTGTCGCCGGCCAAATGCCGCTCGCGGGGCACCGCGTCACGGAGCAGTTCGCGGAGAACGTCTGGCGCCGCGCGGAGGTGCGCGTGCCGTACCACATCATGACCCCGAAGTCCGCCAAGACGGCTGCCGTGGACCACTCCCGGTGGGTGCTCTTACACGATCTCGTGGCGAAGCTCAACGGCGCGGCGAAGCTGCGGCTGTACGTCGCGCAGCACAAAGGCGAGTTCGCCGGTCTCGGCGCCGGCGTCGACGCGAGGGAGGCGCGACCGGTGACGTCGCTGTTCACGATCTTCAAGCACAGGCACGACAGCGGCGCGGAGGACGACGTGATTCTCGCCGGGTTCCACCCGTTCGAGCACCTGTTGAAAAGGGATCCTCCAATACCGTACAACGTCGTGCAGCTGATGGAGGGCGACGCGTACGACCTCACGGCGGAGGAGATCACGGAAGATCTGCGAAGGCAAGGGCTTCCCGTGGACGATGGTCGCCACGAGTTGCCCGCCGCCGCGCTCGCGGACGCGCCGATGAACGACGACGACGACGACGGCGCCGGCGGCGGCGGCGGCGGCGGCGGAGGCGCCGGCGGCTGGTTTCCTCTCCCCCCACGCTCCCGAGGAGGACATCGACGACGACGCCGACGGCTTGAACGGAACCCGCCGCCGCCGCCGCCGCGCGCGCGCGTCGCGGACCCCGCCGTCGGCGGCCAGCGAACGATCGAGTACCTGGACCTCACGAAGGACGCGACGGACGCGCTCGGAGAGTGGAAGTCCAAGCTCGAGAAGGGATGGATCTCCCGGAAGCAATACGACGCCATCAGCGAAAAGCTCGTGTCGAGCTACATAAATAAACTGTGAGAGGACGAGAAGACGACGCGCGCGAGAGACGAGACGAGACGCAACGCTGTTGTGATGATGAATACCTTACGATAGTACATAAAATCCTATATTCCCTGCTATATCTCTACGGACGCCGCGGCTGGTGTCCACCATCGCCGCGGCCTAATAAGGTTTTTTCCCCTTGGTCCCTCCCAAATTCTTTTTTCGTTTCACTCACGCCAGATCTCATCACGTCGCGAGCGCGAGGAGAAGCGCGGTGCCTCGCTTGATCCAGAAATCCGAATCGCACGCGCCGCCCTTCAGGTCCACGAACGTCATGAACGACGGCCGCTCGCGCGACCCGGTCCTCACCGGGTACATGTACAGCGGACACGAGTAAATCCCCTTGGCGTTTTTCTTCTTGTTATCCGTCGGCTTGAAGTGGACGATGGGCATGTCCACGATGAGCTCCATGGGCGAGGGTTCGCACAAGTTCCCGTTCTCGAAGTCCCACCCCGCGCCTTCGAGGTACATGTCTTTGACGTACACCCCTTCCTTCGGGGGTTGGTGCACCTCTTTCTCCTCCGCGTTCACGATGGAGTACTCGAAGCTCAGCGTGTCGATCGGAATCGCGTTTTTGCGCGCCGTCGTCTGCAACACCGCGGTGAGGAAGCACGACGGGTACGTGAACCCGGCGAGCCAGTACACTTTCGGGTAGCCTTCCTTGATCCATCGCGTGATCTGATCGAGGCGCGCCATCAGGTCGCGCGTCCACGATCCGAGCGGTTTGATCGACGGGTACGCTTTGAGGTAAATCCCGGGGACTTTATTCGCCGCGAGCGCGTCGAAGATTTCATCCAAATCCGCGGACATGACGACCAAACCTTTGATCCCCTTCTTGAGCAAGTGCAACGTCGTGAGCATGTTGTTGATGAGAATGTTATACCGCTCGACCTCCTGGAACAGCGTCACGTGAAGCGGGGATAAGTCGTCCTCTTTATCCTTCATCAGCTTCTCGTGGTTGTACGGCTGCGGCACGTGCGAGAGCATGTCGTCGATGATGTCCAAGACGCGCTCCTCCGCGGTGACGCCGCCGCCGCCGCCGCCGTCCGTCTTCGGCTGAAGACTCAAGCACGACTCGAGCGTGATCGTGGAGTCGGTGATCATGTACGAGATGTCCGCGTTCGGGTGCTGCCCGAACGCCTCCGCGCGGTCGTTCTGCGGCAGCGTCTGAATGTAATCCTTGTACGACTGCAGCGGCCCCTCCGGGGGCACGAAGTACGTGTCCAGAGACGACAGCCTGTAGTTTGGCACCTCGAGCGCGTCCTCGCAAAAGTACTGGTTCAGGTACCCGGAGAGCACGCGCCGATCGATCTCGTCCGTGACGCGGCCGCCGTAGTTGGCCTCGGAGATGAGATACTTCAGCGCGTCCCACGGCGTGTTCTCGTACGCGTCGAGGTACGCCTTCAAGACGTCGTCGGAGACGGAAAAGTCCGTGTCGTTGAAGTCGTACGCGATGTTGATGCCCAGCGTTCGAAACTTTCGTCGCTCGAGCATGACGGCGTGGAAGTACGACAGCGCGAAGAGGAGCTTCGCGTACTTGTGCTTCGTCTTGCACGCGTCGAAGGTCTCCTCCGTGACGCACGTCTGGTACAGACGCGCGAGATTCGCGCGTAAACCCTTCGGCGGCTCCGTCGTCATCTTCAGACCGCGTTGGAGAATCGCGAGCGGGAAGTGCGGCGTCGGGTTGGAAGACAGCCACAGCCGGAAGTTCTCGTGCGGCTGCTTCTCGTCGAACGCCTCGATGATCTTCTGCAAGTCCGGGAGCCACGACAGCATGAGGTGGCAGTTCGCGAGGAACACCCAGTTCCCTTCGATCGTCGCCGTCGAGATGAGCTTCGTCGCCACCGGGGCTTGGCCCTGACCGAGCGCGACGCTGAAAAACTTTTCGCCGAGCCCCTTGGCCTGCGCGAGCTGCTTCAAGTTGGCCGTCGGGTCGACGCCGGGGGATAAGACGAAGATCAGCGGCGCGCTCGGCGTGGAGTCGCCGTAGGTTTCGTTGAGGTCGAGCACCGGCGGCTCGACGTACTTGCGCCCGAGCGAGTTGGCGACGTAGTTTGTCGCCGCCTTTTCGACGCGGTCCATGCGTAGGCAGCGAATGAAAATCATTCGCTGCAGCTCGTTGCACTTTTGCTCCCACTCGCCCGGGAGTTGACTCTTTTGCGGCGACTCCGGCTCCGCGTTTCTGTACCAGTCCTCCCACTCCACGAACTCCTTCTCGAACGACGTGATGATCCCGCGGAAGTGCTCGACGTTATCCAGTTCGACGATGTTATCCCACGCGAGCTCGGAAATCCAATCCGGCGCGGGGTTCGGCGACTGCAACGAGCGATCCAGCACCATCCCGCCCTTGAGGAAAAACTGCCACTCCTCCAGGTTCACCTGATTCGACGACTGCAGTATGCGCACGCACATCTGCAGCGACAACAGCAGCTTGTGCGCCTCGAACAACCCCCTCGAAGTGTACTTGTACACCGCGTACGTGTGGTAGTCGTTCAGGTACTCGATCCTCTTCTCGAGCTCCTGCGACTTGGGCGCCTTGGCGATGGAGAGCAAAAATAAATCCATGTACGCGTCGAGCGAGAACTGGTACATCGGGTCCACGTTGGCGAGGTCGTACAGGACAAAGTACAGGATCGCCGCGCGCACGGAGCACGGGCGGTACAGCGATGACGCCTCCTCGATCTGCACGGACGTCGTCTCCGCGATCTTGAGCGACTCGGTGACTTCGTCCGAGGTTGTCTTCGAGGCGTTTAGGGTGTTGATGAGCTCGATGTTGTCGAGCAGCGACCCCGTCGCGTTCGAGAGCAAGTCGAGTAAGGTGTCCTCGAGCTCGATGATCGTTCGCTTCCCGTTCGCAACCTTGACGACGAGCTCGTTCTTCTGCTTGTCCAGGTCCGGTCGTTCCTTTTGCACGACGACGTTCAGGAGCTGCGCCTCTAAGCCTTGCTCCTTCACCGCGAAGTTCACGATGGTCACCTTCGTGCTCACCTCCGGGGTGTAGTGCGGGTTGAACAGCTTGGACGTGAGGTACAACCGAAAGTCCGGGGAGTAGTCCACCTCCTTATCCCCGAGCTTGATCATGACCTGGTTGCCTTTCTTGATGAACGACTTGGAGAGCACGGGCTCTAAGATCGGGTCGATCTCCTCGCCGACGTCTTGGATCAGCACCGGGTCGCCGAATTGGATCGCGTTCTCCATCTGACGCACCATGTCCGACATGTTCAACGTGATCACCTTCAATCCGTGCGGCTTCTCCATGTTTTTGATCCACTTGTTCCCTTGTCCTTGCGGGTCGATGAGCAGCGGCCATCGCGAGCCTCGCGTCACGACGACGCCGTTCTCCGTGCTGAACGAGTCCGCGGGGAGGCCCTGAATGTTCCAGTCTCGAACGTCGGAGGGGTCCGCTAAAAACAGCGCGAAGTCGAACGCCGCGGAGGACGGAATGCCGAGCTGCTTCACCTGCGGCAGCCACGTCTTCGCGACGAGATCGTCTCGGTACTCGCTCGGGAACGGGCCGGCGTACGACATGAACGCCGCGGCGATGACAACGTCCCCGGGGAGGCACCCGATCTGTTCTTCGTACAGGACGATCGAATTTTCCCACCTGTCTTTTTCTCCGGCGAGTCCGGAGACGAGCTTCTCGGCGCGCTCAAGCTTTTGCTCCAAATCCGCGAGCTCGTCCTCCAGGGCTTGCTTCTTCGCCGTGGACGCCTCGTACGTGTCCTTCAGCGCCTGTACCTTGTCGAGGACTTCTTTGAGCTGCGCTCGCGCTTCGGTCAGCGCGGCCTGCTTCTTCTCGAGCGCCTCTTGCGCCGCCTTCAGCTTGGCGCGCTTCGGCGCAACCTCCTTGGCGACGTTTCCGTAGATGAACATCGCGTGCACCCACTGGCACAAACCCTTCGCGGCGCCGGACACTTTTCCGATGACGTCGGGCTGGTACTCCGGGTCGTTGACGTACTTCTTCATCTTGTTCAGAAGCGAGTCCACGAGGAGCTCCTTGTCGAACTCGACCAGGCGCGTGAGGAACTGCGAGTCCCCGAGCTCTTTCTTCGCGGTGTCCCACGCCGGGGACTTCTTCAACACCGTCATCACGCCCTTGAGGCACAACTCGACGAGCGCCGGCGGTTTCGCGTACGCCTTGAGCTCCGCCATGTCCTTCTTCGTGAGGACGTTCAGCGCCGCCTCGGCGGCCGCGAGCGCGGGCATGGCCTTGTCGAGACCAGCCTGGCACTCCGCGGCGATCGCGTTCGCTTCCTCGGCTTCTTTTTCAATTTTTTGCGCCTCGGCGGTGACGTGCTTCTCTTGCTCGTCCGCGACGCGTTTGTCTTGGACGATGGTCACGAGGAGCTCCTCGCAGTCGATCTTCGCCTTGGCGACGACGACTTGCTTCTCCTCCGCGATTTTGGACATCTCGGTGACTTGCACGCCGGTCTCTTCGAGCTTCTCGAGGCCGCCGCGGAGCTTCGTCGCCTTGCCGCCAATCTTCGACCGCTTCTCGTTCAACAGCTTGCGGTAGCCGTTGACAAACTCGAGGTAATTCGTGGGCGTGACGTAGTTCTTACGCTTCAACTTCTCGAGCATCTCCTTGGACTTCTCCGCGGTCGAGCGGTGACACGTCGCGAACACGGTGCAGAGCGCGTCCTTCACCTCTTCTTCCATCCCTTGCTCCGCGGACATCTGCTTCGACGCCACCTCCTGCAGCGCGTCCGCGGGCCACTCGGTGAACCAATCGATCGTGCAGCAGTTCACGAGCCCGGGGAACATTCTGCACCGCTCGCGGAAGCCCTCGCCGATCGGGGACATGCAGAGGACGATGTGGAGGTTGTTGATCACGCGCGATAAGAAGAAGGCGTAGAGTTCGTCCTGTAAGTCCGCGGGCGCGCCGGCTTTTTTCGCCGCCGGTCGCACTTCTTCGCACAAACCGCCGAGCTCGTCCTTGGTGAAGAGGTTGGGCACCTCCCCGGACGTCAACACGTTGTTGATGTCCTCCAAGAACGTCTCCACGACGATCTGCGTCTCGTCGAATAAGAACACCGTGGGCTTGTCCGCGACGCCAGCCTGACGGAACAGCGTCTTCAGATCCTCGCGGAACTCGACGATGCGATAGCTCTTCGTGATCTCGATCGAGAAGCACTTCAACCCGGCGACGTACGTCGCGAGCCGAGCGAGGGATTTTCTCCCGCTGCCGCCCACGCCGACGAGCAGCGCGTTTCCTCTCGGTTGCATCAGCACCCGGTGCACGCGGCACACGTGCATCAGCGCGTCTTTGAACAGCACCAAGTCCATGGCGCTGTACCCGGGCTCCAGGGCGTAGTCCTCGAGCTTCTCCGTGAGGACGTCTTTGAGTTTTTTCATCTCCGTCACGGCTTCGTACGGCGGTTCGTCCACGTCCATGCGCATGAACGACACGAACGGCGGGCACTCGCCGTAGAAGGGCTCGAACAGGGACTCCCACGAGGAGTTCAGGTTGCCCGAGAGCTTCTGGTCGAGCTGGTTGCGCAACCACGCCTTGTCGTCGTGGTCCCACATGCGATCGCCGAAGATGCGGAAGCACTCGTGGCACCACAGCTGCAGCAGGTTCTCTTTGCTGTCGTAGTACTGCCGCGTCGCTTGCATGACGCCCTGGATCACCTTCGCGAGGTCGCGCGTGTTGAACAAGTAGTGCGACTTCGCGGGCGTGGGCAGCAACTCCTCCGCGATGGACGCGTACAGCTCGATCGTCGCCTTCGTGATGGGATCCCCCAACGGTTTCAGCTGGTCGTCAAACGTGGACAGTTTGTCGTTCAAGAGCGTGGAGTAAATGCGGTGCAGCTGCGCGTCCGAGGGGTTCGTCATGTTGAGCGTCGCAAACACGGACATGATCCGCTGCGAGAAGGCGTTGCGGCCGCCTCCGGGCGGCGCCATCGACGCCATGAGCTGGATGTCCTTGATGTTCTTGACCTCGCACTTCTCGCGGTCGTACCAGAAGCCGTTGTCCGCCCAGAGCTTCAACAGTTCGAGCGGCGGCATGAACCCAAACTGCGACTTTTGCGGCATGTTGAAATCGTCGATGTACACGAGCATCTTCTTCCCGCCCGCGGGCGCGAACACCCCTTTGGAGCGCTTCTCGAGCTTGCCCTCGATCGTGTTCTGCAGCGAGTTGGACGACGTCTGCGCGCTGAAGTTGACCATCATCGACGACTTGCCCTCCGGGAGCGCCTCGAGGCACGACTGCGCCACGGGAGTCGGGGCGGGGTGGAGTTGAAAGGCGTCAGAAGCGGAGTTGAAAGGCGTCGCGGGCGGGGATTGAAAGGAAGGGGTGGGCGGAGAGAAAAGACGGCAAAAGTCCTTAAGGATCGGCGTTCACCACGCGAACGCGGTCGTATGGGGAACAGTGTGACGCGACTCCTACCTGCGCCACCATCGTCTTCCCGACGCCGACGTTGCCGATGATCAACACGTGCCGCTGCACGCCCGCGAGCGCGAGCGCGACCGTCTTCGTGCGAAGCGTGTCGATCGTCGGGACCATGATCTTGAAGAAGGGCATCCCGGGCGGCGGGCGGTACTGCGCGAGTTTGCTCGCGAACGGCGTCCACTCTCGGTTTTTCGGACACACGAAGTATTCGTACACCGTCTCCGGCGGCGGGAACCGCGAGTCGACGTCGCGCAGGAACGAGTCGAAAATCTTCCTAGACTCCCCGTCCACGGACGCGCCGACGGACCATATGAGGCAGTAGAAGAACGTGAGCTCGATCGTGTTGACGTACGACTCGTCGTCCGGGTCGAGGCCGTGCTCGGGGTCGCAGTGCGCGTCGAACAGCGCGGTGAACTGCCGCACCGCCGCCAGCTTGTCCGTCTGCACGAGCTCCCTGAGCTGCAGCCGACGGAGCTCCAGGGCGTCTTCCATGCATCGCTCCATCATGGTCTTGAGCGTGGTGGATAAGACTTCATCTGATTCGTACTTTTTCATCCACGACGTGACGTACGGCCACCACCCGAGGTCCTCGACGTTGAGGTAAATCATCCCCGCGCGCGACACCGTCGCGGGGGACGCTTGGGAGAGATCTTCAACCTCGAACAGAATCGAGACTTGCGGGGACATCATGATGCGCTCGCCGGAGAGCAACGTCAACAGCTTGTTGTCGTCCAGAAGCGTGTTCATGGACTCGATCCACAGCGTGTCCACGGGGCCGTCGAACAGCGTCCACTTTTGCGTCTGCGACTCGTCTTTGCAAATGTTTCGCATCACGCGCGCGAGGATGCCGTCCTGCCACTCGTGCGTCGAGGGGTCGAAGCATCCGTAGATCTCGTCGTTCGACAGCGCGAGCGGGTTGATCGTGTACACCTCGACCTTTTGGAACTCGCCCTCGCCCTTGCCTTCCTTGCACAGCTCGGCCATGGCTTCTTTTAACACCGTCCACGCCGCGGTTTTTCCGGCGCCGGTTTTCCCGACGATCATGTTTCCGTGCCGCGCGACTTTGCAGTCGAAAATCTGAATGATCTTCACGATCCACTCGTCCACGACTTGTAAACCGAGCTCGTCGCATTTTCGCACGAGCATCTTCTTCAGGTCGCTGTCCTCCTCCTGCGGGAGGTCCACGCCCGGGAACAAGTCCCCGAGCAACGCCCTGAACAGCGGGATGTCCAAGTACACGAGCTTGGGCATGATCAGGTCTTGCATCGTGCGGTATAAAATCGCCTCCTCGGAGCCCTCCGGGTCGATGCGCTTGAACGCGCCCGCGGCGCGCGAGATTGGAATCACGAACGAACGGAGCGTGTAATCGTAGTGGTCCTGCTTCGACAGCTGCTGCTGCGACAGCTCCATGATCGCGACCATCTTCTTCGCGAGGACTTTCGCGGAGGAGAAGCCCTCCGCGAACATCATGATCTCCGCGATGAGGTTAAAGTCGGGGACCATCATCGACACCGGTCGGACGATCGCCTTGAGGTTATCCGGCAGCTCCGCGCGACCGGCGTACCCGGGGTTCATCGTCACGAACACGCCGCAGGACGGGATGAGACGGATGTCCTGGCCCTCGAAGAAGAACGTCTTCGCGCGGACTTTCACCGCGGCCATGATGACGGAAATTTGCGTCGCGACGACGGAGAGCACCTCCACGGAGATGCGGTTAAACTCGTCGAGGCACGCCCACGCGCCCGTCTGCGCCAACCCGCTGAACATCTTCGCGGTCATCTTATAATCGACGCCGTCGGAGCAGTTGAAGACGATGACGTACCGCGCGAGCGCTTTGCCGAAATCCTTCACGGTTTCCGTCTTACCCGTGCCCGCGGGTCCGAGCGGATTCCCGCCTCGACGCGTGAACATGGCGGCGCCCAAGGTCATGTAACATCTGTCCGTCAGCGGCGTCACGACGAGACGTCCGTTGTTGCCTTGGTACTCGTACCCGTACGAGAACACGGACAGCACCTGCTTCACGACGCAGTCGTTCGCGGTTTGGTCCCAGTAAAACCGAAGCTGCGAGACCCACTCGAAATCGGTGACCTGCGTGCACCCCGCCTTCCCGAGCTTGTCGATCGAATCTCGCGCGTGCACCTCGATCGTGATCAACGCCACCACCTTCTTGCGGTTCACCTTATCGAGCTTCGACCGCGTCATCGTGACGAGCTTCGAGAGGTACGACACCCACTTCTTCTTCAGCGTTCGAATCGCCTTCTTCGCCGCGTCCGGATCCGACAGCGCCTTTTCGCACTCCGTCGTCCAGACGACGCAGCCGGCGCTGATGATGCACTGCCCGGGGTATTCCTTCACCCACTTTTCTTTCTTCATCCCTTTGCTGTGCTCCAGCGTCGCGTACAGGGACTTTTTCGTCGCCGCGTACATCGCGGTCTCGACCGAGTTGAGCCACTCCTCCGGTCTGCCGTCCGTGGTGACCTCGTCGTTGAACGGAATCGTCTCGCCGTCGGGGGAGTGCATCGCGGTGGCGCCGTACGCGCGTCTGCCGTCCTCCCCGGGCGCGTGCATCTCGAGCTTTTTGATCCCCTCGAACATGCCTTTGAAGTGCGGCTGCACGTTCATCGGGTCTTTCGCTTGACCGAGAATCTCGAGAAGATCGTCCGAAGAGATGAAGTAGAAGCGCGGGAACTGCTGGCGCTTCTTCTCGAGGTAGTCCTCCAGCGACTTTTGAATCTTCTCGAGCTTGGCTTCCATGTCCGTGAACTTGTCCAGCCGCGCGTTCGAGACCGGCGTCCCCGCCTTCGGGTCCGACCCCGTGCACGCCTTGACGACGTTCTCGATCTCTGTCATCTCCGCCATGTTCTTGATGAACGCGACGTTCACGGCGTCGAACATTTTGCTCTCCTGCGGGAGCTGCTTCCGAATGTCCTCCGACCCGACGAAGATGTTCTCGAGGTAGGTCCAGCTCATCTGCACCTTTTGCACGAGATCCATCATCTCGCTCACGAGCGAGAGCTTCTGCTCCCAGCTCGTGATGGTCGCCTCGAACACGAGGAAGAACTTGGACGCTTTCATCGTCGACAGCGTGACGACGTTGTCCTCCAGCGCCGCGAACACGTCGTCCGTGCTGCGAAGCCGGTAAACCACTTTGCCGCCTTTTTGCCCGCCCTCGCGTTTGACCATGTCCATGTTCAGGTCCTGCCACCCCTCCTCGATCGCCGCGAGCGAGTTCTCGATCGCGAGTTCTTTCGTCGCGTTCGTCGAGAGCTCCCCGACGAAGTCCGCGTGCTCGCTGAGCCCGAGGTCGTTGACCTTTCCGAGCGTGAACGCGTCCCCGTGCGGATCGAACCTCTCCCCGCACCGTTCCATGAGCTGCTCCCAGTGCCGCTGCCGAATCGCGGGGTTCCGCAGGTCGATGATCAGCGGCAGCGTGCGCTTGAACGCGTCCACGGTGTCTTTGACGCCCTGCCACGCGCTCCAGTGCTTCACCTCTCTTCCGAGCTTCTGAATCTTCTTCCCGACAATCTGCGACGCGTTTTCTAATTCCTCGACGTCGATGTCCTTAAACTTGCCATCCTTCCAGCCGTCGTACGCGGTGATCCACTCCTCGATGACGTTCCACACCCCCGAGAGCTGCGCCGTCTCCTTCTCGCACTCCACGAGCCCGCTGAGCGGCGGCGCGGGCATCCCGAATATCTCCATACCAGCCTTGAGGTCCTGCTCCGTCTGTCGGAACGCCGCGGCGGCGGCGGCGTTGCTCTCGATAAACGCCTTGGCCCTCGCGAGCGGCGCGCGTCCGACCGCGTCCGCGACGTCGATCGGCGCGTCCGCGGTGAACGCCCTTCGGTGCTCGTCGACGTCGTGCGTGAACGCGTCCACGGTCTTGATGAGCTTCTCCCGGAACGACTCCTTCGCCTCGACGAGCGTCTCGTCCATGCGCTTGAGCGTCGCGACGTGCGCGTCGAAGACTTTTTCCAACCCGTCCAGACGCGCGAGCTCGGCGTCTCGGACGACAACCTCGAAGCGCGCGAGGAGGGCGTACTGCGCGCGCAGCGGCGCGAACCGCGCCGCGGTCTCCTCCTCCTCCGCGACGCACTTCTTGTGAAGGTTCACGAGCTCCGCGAGGTGATCCAAGTCGCGCGCGGGCTGCGACAGGATCTTTTCGTTCCGCGCGCAGTACTCGTATACGGCGTCCAGCTCCGCGATGGCCGTCTCGTTCAGCAGCCGCGTGAAGCCGTCCCTCCACTCCTCGCACCGCTTCAGGAGCGTCTGCTTCAGAGGCCCGACGTCGATCCTCAGGAACGCCATGTTCGTGATCTGGTCCTCGCCCTCGACCTCGACGAACAGCTCCTTGTACTTGGTGATGTCCGCCTCGAACGACGACAACGGCTTCTTCGCCTTGGCGTATCGCTTGACGTGCGCCACCATGTCCTGCTCCCACAGGTGCTTGTACGTCTTCTCGTAGTACGCGATGAAGCTCTGCGTCTTCTCCACGATGAGGTTGATCCCGTTGTCGATGGAGACGATCTGTTTCAGCGTCGCATCCTCGTCGTTGGAGATGACGTCGAAGAAGGAAGGCAGCGGCTCGCCGTCGTCGTCGCTCTCTGGGCCGAGTCGGTCCACCACCTTGACGATCGCGATGAGCTCCCTCGACGCGCCGTGAATGAGCGCGAAGAGGTCGGACACGTTCGGCGTGAGCTCCACCCTGCGGTTGTTCTTGAGCATCGTGATGACGCTGAAGAGAGGGACGACGTCGAGCTTCTTGTCGCCGTTGAGCGCCTTGGAGAGCTCTTGTAACGACCGCTTCACGGAGGTTCGCAACGCGTCTTCGAGTCTTTTGTCGATCTTCCGCCGCAGCTCGGCCCACTCTCGTTGGACGTTCTCGCTGTCGTGCGCGAACGTGCGCTTGAACGTGCGCGACAGCTCCTTGCGCATCTCCTCGTGCGCGGTGGTGAACTTCTTCGTGACCTTCTCCCTGTGCGTCTTTTGCGCCTCCTCGAACTCGCCCTCGGCGTACACCTTCTTTCGAACGACGGAGACGAGAATCGTGGACGCGATCTCCGCGCAATTCGCCGTCACCTTCCCGATCGCCTCTTTGTACTGCACGACGCTCTCGTACGCGTTCTTGCAGTGCTTCCGCGCTTCGCCGATGAAGTACTCCTGAAGCTTCGAGGGCGACGTCCAGTGCACCTTGGACAGCCCGGGGGAGATGTGTTTGTCCAGGTGCGTGATGCGGTCGTAAAACAGTCGCCGCTCTTCGTCGTCCAGCGCCTCGAGAATCTTGTTGTAGTCCCTCACGACGTTCAGAACCTCCTCGCGCAGGAGTCGGTACTTCTCCTTGTGCGAGCAAATCTCCAACGCGCGGTGCGGGATCTGGAAGTGCAGCCGCTCGAAGAACCTGACCTCGGTGAACAAGTGCAGCAGCTCCTTGTCGAAGTTTTGATACAAGAATCCGTCCTCGTCCGACGACAGCAGCCGGTTCTCCAGCCGCTGCTTGATCTGCGCCTCCACCTTGCCCTCGAAGTGCGTCACCCACTCGCCGTGGACGTCCGCCATGTACTTCTGGATCTGCGGCAGCGCGAGCGCGTACGACGCGCGCAGCTGCTCCAGCTCCGGCGTCTGCGGCAGCGTCATCGCCGCCTCTTCGAGCTTTTCGTACGGCCCCTTGAGGCGGTTGTGCTGCACCTTCGCCCACATCGCGGCGCCGCTGTATTTCGGCTGCCCCTCCGCGATCGGCGGCTTCTCGCGGTTCATGTCGAAGTGTTTCTTCACGGTGTTCAACTCTTTCGTGAAGGCTTCGTAGCACTCCACGCACTTGCGCTCGACGCATCGCGTGACGCCGTCGCGTTTCGCCATCGTCTGCAGTGCCCTCAACAACTCCACGAGACCGTTCAAGTCGCTCACGGCGTCGATCGCGGTGACCATGACGTTCTGCGTCATCACCTCGAGATCCTTCACGGACGACTTAAACGCGTTGTAGTCGTCGTGCCATCGCGTCGCTTTCACGTCCAGGATCTTGTAATCCAACGTCCGCAGGCCGTGTACTTTGACCGCGAACGCGTCTTGAATGTCCGCGAAAGATTTCGACACCTCCGGACCCTTCGTGCCGCCAAACACGGGCAGCGCCTTCTTCGGCGCGAACTGCACTTGCGCCTCGCACACCTCGAGCAAGTCCTCGCACCTCCCGACGAACGCGTCCAGGTGCGCGAACAGGGATATCGTGTCGAACGTCCACTGCATCGACGGGTTATCCTCGTGCCGCGCGTTGACCTTCTCCTTTGTGTTTTCAAACGCGCGCTTCCACGCGCCCCCCGCGGCGATGCTGTCCTTCAACGACGCCACCGCGCCGTCGATGTCGTTCCCGTGCAAGATGTCGTCCATCTTTATCTCCGCGATGCACCGGTTGATGATCGCGTTCGTGACTTTGCGCAGTAAACCGACGAGGCGCTCCGGGACGTTGTAGTGCGTCGCGGTGTTCCAAATCAAACGCACGCGGTGGAGTATGCCGGGTAACACCCCCGCGAGCTCGGACGCGGACGCGGACTCGAGCGCCCTGATCGGCCCCTCCAGCGTGCTCAAAAACTTGACGTTGTCCTCCGCGGCGACCGCCTCCGCGTTGATCACGTCCGAGAGGTCTCTGAACGGCGCCAGGTACACGCTCTTCGCGACGGCGAGGATCTCCACAATCTTTTCCACCGCCGGCGCCGCCACCTGCGCGCGAATGCCGCCGAGGTCGATCGACCGCGCGCGCCAGAACTCGATCTCGGACATCGGCCCGGCGTCGCCGCCCGCGCCGCTGAGATCCTCGCGCGTGTGCACCACCTCCTTCACCTGCCGCGTCCAGTGAATGACGACGGACTCCAGCCGCTGAAGCAAATCTTTGGGTCGTTCCGCGCGAAGCGACGTCGGGGTGGAGTCAAAAGGCGTCAGACTTGGGAGTTGAAAGGTATCGTAGGCGGGGATTGAAAGCGAGGGACCCTGGGCGGAGAGAGACGCCGGCAAAAGTCCTCAAGGAACGGCGTTCACCACGCGAACGCGGTCGTATGGGGACCAGTGTGAGATAGAACGCGCCTTTCTCCCTCGCCGCCGCCGCCGGCGACGGGAGCTCCTCCGCGGGGATGTACAGCGTCGTCTTCCCCTTCAGCTCGTGCGCGCGCTCGGTCAAGTTCGCCATGTACTTGTGCATCTGACCGGTGAGGTCCTTTCGAAGCGAGTCCGGCCACGTCTTATTCGACGTCACCGCCGGCGCGTACACCCCGCGCATCACCGCGAGCAACGCGTCGGCGACAGATTCGCCGTTTATGCACGCGAAGTGCACCGCGGTCGAGACGGACGCGGGGGTGACCCACGCGTTCGGATCTCTGACGAACGCGAGCATCTTCTTCCACGACCCCGCGACCGGGACGTCGCGCGTGACGACGAGGTCGTTCGTCTCGACGTCCACGTACGCGAACAGGCGCGACGGCGCGCCGATCCCGCGGAGGAACTCGGCCGCGCACGCGCCGTGGTCCTTGTCGCGCCATCGCGACTCGATCTCCGGGACGCCCAGCGCGGCGAGCTTCGCCTTGCACCAGTCGACGCAGAAGGCGTCGACGGGCGGCGGCGGCGGCGGCGCGCCGGCGAGCGCGGGCGAGCCGCTCAGGCTCGCCATGACGGTCGCGTCCGCTCGTCCGCGCGCGAGCTCGTCTTCTCCTCGCTTCCGCTGACTGCTGCTACAGCGCGTGCGCGACGGCGGGCGACGCGACGACCGATCGCGCGGCGCGCGTCTGCTCGCGGGTTTCCACCACGGAGCTCGCTAGTCGAGCCCAGGTTCTGAAACCGCGCGGCGCGCGCGTGTCGCTCGGGGGACGGCGCGCGGGTGCTCTGCCCTGAACCCGCGTCGCGCGCGCCCTGCTTGTGCGCGCGCGGGCGACGGATGGCCTCGATTTAGGTGCGCGCCGAGAGGGGCCGACGAACGGTCTCCCTCGCCGATCAACTTCACCGGGACACGTCGGTGAATGTTCCTCGATGAAAAGCCTCGATCCATCGGTCGCGTTGATCGGTCGGCACGGGAAAGAGTTACGGGAAAGAGTTACGGGAAAGTCGGATATTTCACTTTTACAACTCGTCGCACATCACGGCGATCAATAACTAACACCCGCTCCGCTCATCATGCCCGCGTCTTCCCTCGCCGCTCGCGTCTCCCTCCCCTTCGCGCTCTCCAAGCGCGCGAAGGCGCCCGTCTCCCGCCGAAGCGCGTCCGTCCGTGCGAGCGCGGCTCTGAACCACAAGGGTCGGACGGCGCTGACGGGGATTCTACGCGTCCCGCAAGAAAAAGAATCCGAGGTAGACGCGATGTGGCGTTCGCACGAGGTCATGATGCAGAAGACGCACAAGGTGTACGACGGCGAGCTCGAGGACGACTTCACCGACGGGCCGCGCCTTCTCGAGTTTTACGTCAGCAAGGCTGTCGAGAAGACGAACCCGCTCGACCCCGGTGCGTCGATCCGACGCGGAACGAATACCCAAAAAAATATCTTCCGTCTCGTCTGCACCTGCTCGCGAAAAAGGCCGCATTCGCATTCGCATTCGCATTCGCTCGTCCCGATGACCCCGACCTCGCGCCCTCTGACCGACGCCCTCTCTCCCCCCATCCCCGTCACATCCCCATCCCGACCACCACCGCAGCGTCGCCCGACAGCGGCCACATCCTGTACTGCGTCAACGAGAAGTACGTCGCCCCCGAGGGCCTCGCCGAGCACATGCGCGTCGGCGCCGAGCAGTGGGACCAGTTCCCGAAGCTGATGGAATTCATCCGCGATTACTCCCCGTTCATGACGACGAACGGCGAGATCTTCACCAACTACGTCGACCGCGCGCCCGCGTGCACCGCGCGCAAGGGCGACACGACGATCAACCTGGGGTTCGTCGTCCCGCAGAGCATGGAGAGGACGGTGGACGCGCTGTGGAAGTCGCACGAGGAGTTCATGCGCGAGACGCACGACTTCGGAGAGGGACCGACGAACGACCCGACGCGCCCCAGGCTGACGCAGTTCACGATCACGAAAGCGCGCGAGCTCGTGAACCCGATGGACCCGACCGAGGGGTTCACCGGGAACCTGCAGTACTCGATGCAAGAGACGTACGCGTCCAAGGACGGCATCGCGAAGCACATGGCCTTCAACGACCCCAAGTCCGGGTACGCCGCGCTCTTCGAGGCGCTGATGCCGCTGCTTGAGGAGCCGTACGTTCGGTACGCGGACGTCGGACAGGGCGTCGTGATCACGTCCATGCAGAAGGGCGGGTTCAACTCGAACATCGTCGGCGGGTTTAAGGAGCTGCTCGACAAGGTGTTGCCGCGCCGGGCGCCGCACGAGGAGTACTGCGAGGAGTACTGCCCGGAGACGTGGTGAAGAGGCGTCGAGTGTGAAAGCGCGCGCGTACGAAGAGTAAAACAAGTATAATAAGATAAAGACCATGTGTTACAGCAGTACTGTATCTGTGTGTATATCTGTCATCACTAATAAGTGCCATAACGACAGCGCGCGCGCGATGCCTAAAGTAACTTTTTTATACGCGTTGGAGCGTCACAAGAACGTCCGCCCGCCGCCTCCCGCGCCCCCTCCGAATCGTCCTTTGAGATCGCCCCCCGCCTTCTTCAACATCTCCTCCGGCTTCAAAGCGGCGCTCTGCCTCCCCGCTTCCAAGTCGACGTCCCTGTTCCACGGCTTGTACTCCCACCCGGTCCCGTCGCCGTCGTCCTTCCCCGCGCCGCCGCCGCCGCCGCCGCCGCCCTCCGCCTTGCGCTTCTTCGCCGCCTTACGCTCCGCCTTCGCCTTCGCTCTCCCCGCCGCGCTCGCCGCCTCCTGCTTCTCCTGATGCCGCTCCAACAGCGTCTTCGGCCGCCGCTTCTCGTTGAACGCGTCCACGAGCGCCTCGTGCTCTCTCGCCTTGGCGCTCTCCGCCGCCGCTTTCGCCGCGGGCGCCGCGTACTTCTCCTCCTGCGCGGCGAGAAACAACCGCGTCTCTCGCGTCGCCGCGTCTTTCGGCGCGTCCGTCCAGTCCGCGATCGTCCGCGCGTCCCTCTCCACGAACGTCTTCGCGTTGAACGCGGTGACGTTCTTCCCGGCGACGCCGCCGGGGACGGGGCGTCGCTGCTCCGGCAGCGACGTCATCCACTCTTCTCTGCCGCCGTCGTCCGCTTCGATCTTCGGTCCGTTCAGGAGGTCGTCGTCTCCGGGCTCCGGGACGCCTTGTATCTTCCGCCACTCCGCGCGCTTCCGCTCCTCCGCGAGCCACTCTTGAAACCCCTCGCGCGCGGAGCGTTCCTCGCGCTTGCCGTCGATGATCGACCGCTCGGAAGGGTCGGACAGCGACGTGTGCGCTTTCTTGACGACGTCGAACGCCTCCGCCGCGCGCGCGTGCTCGCACTTATCCGGGTGCACCATGAGCGAGAGCTTCCAAAACGCCCTCTTGACGACCGCGCTCGAGTCCGACGGCGACACGTTCAGGACGTCGTACGCGTCGCCGTCGTTCGCGACCGTCTTGAGCACGCGCGTCGCGGCGGCGTCCCTCGCGGCGGCGCCGACGAGCTCCACCTCCTCCACGACCTCAGGCGGCGCCGGTCCGACGGCGTCCTCCGCCATCTCCCGCGCCGCCGCGTCGAGCAGCGCGCGAGGGGGGACCATGGGGCCGAGCGTGCGCTTCGCGCGCCCGTCCGGGTCCGTCGGCGCGTCCCACGGGTTCGGGCGCGCCGCGGGGCCGATGGGCTCCGCCGCCGGGGCGGCGGCGTCGTCATCGTCGGCGGCGGCGGTGGCGCTCGCGTCCGGACGCTTCGCCGGCGCGGCGTCCTTGAACACCGCCGCCGCGGATCGCGTCGGGTCCGGCCCTCGCGCGAGCTCGCCCTTCCTCCTCGTCCCGCCGCCGCCGCCGGCCGCCGCGCCCTTCTCGTCGTCGGAGTCGTCCTCCTCCTCCGAGCCCAACAGCGCGTCCGCTTCCTCGCCCGTCATGACCTTCCCTTCGAGAATCGTCGTCCCTCCGGGGTCGTCCGCGGCGACCGCGTCCGCTGCCTTCGCGTCGGCGTCCACCTTCTCTGGCTCTGGCTCTGGCTCGCGCCACGGCGACCGCGCGCGCGCGTGCGGCTCGAGCTGCTCCGACGTCATGTCGAATATCGGCGCCATGCTCGTCGTCGTCTTCGCGCCGCCCTTCGGCAGGACGTACGCGCCCGTCTTGGCGATCCGTCTCAGCCGGAGGTTCTGAAAGAGATGCGACAGCAGGCCGCGCATGCGTTCGTCCGGGACGCCGTCGATCGCGACCGCCTCCCCGGCGTCGACGGTCCGCAGTAACGCGCGAAGGTCCGCGCGCGCGTCCGGGAACTTCGCGAGGAGCTGCCGGCACGACTCGGCGGCGGCGCGGCCCATCGCGAGGATCTCCCGCTGCGTCGGCGGCGGCTCGTCGTCGTCGTCGTCGCCGCCGTCGGTGTCGGTGTCGGTGTCCGAGTCGTCGCCGCTCGACGACGACGACGACGACGACGCCTTTTCCTTCTCTCTCTTCTTCTCCTTCTTGGACGCCTTCTTGCTCGCTTTCTTCCGGTCCTTCTTGTCCTTCTTGTCCTTCTTGTCCTTCTTGTCCTTCTTCGACTTGGACTTGGACTTTTTCTTTCGCTCCCTCGCGCCGCGATCGTCCTTCGACGCTCGCCTCGCGTCGCCCGCGGCCTCCCTCAGCGACTCTCTCTGGTGCTCGAGGTACACCTTGTTCAGCTCCGCGATGTTCGCGAGCGCGGTCCCGAGCTGCGGGTGGTTCGCCGCCATCGCGTCGGACGACGACGACGACGCCGAGATCCGCCGCTGGGATCAACTACAGTAATTAATCTCTGGGGTGCCCGCTGCGAGATCTCTCCTCCCTCCCGCGCCGCCGGCGTAGCGTCGCCGCGGACGCGGACGCGCGGCGGACGGACGGACGGACGCGGCGCGCGCGTCCCGCGCGCCTTCGCGGCTCCTCGCGTCGCCGCGTCGCGCGCGGGAGGTTATGAGGTAGATCGCGTTTCGTTCGAACGTCGTCGGTGTCGTTTTACAAAAAAACACACTGAAAACACAGTCGCTCTTCTCGCGTCGAAACACACTGTTCGACTCAAAACCCGGTCAACCGCCGACGCGCGTTCGCCTCCCGGAACGCCTCCTTCCTCTGCGCCAACGACCCCGCCCCCCTCGTCGCCTTCGTCGTCTTCGCCCCCGCGCTCTCCCCCGGGGATATCGACATCGAGCTCGACCGCGCGTGCGCCAGCCGGCCTCTCCCGAGCTCCGTCGGCGACGACGCGTCCGGAGACGTCGGCCGCCAGTCTCTCCCCGCGGCGCCCTCGTACGACGTCCACGCGCGCTGTAACGGCGACCACGAAGCCGTTTTTTCTTTAGACCCAGACCCGGACCCACCGCCCGACCCCCGCCGCGACGCGGACGCGTACGCGGCGTGTAGCCGCCGCTTCGCCGCCGCGCGGCTCTCCGCGGCTTCTCGCGCGTCGACGTCGAACCGCGACAGCTCCACGACCGCGCCGCGCGTCTCGTCCTCGTCCTCGTCCTCGCCGCCGCCGCCGCCGCCGCCGCCGCCGCCGCCGCGCTTGGAGAGTAACAACTTGCGCATCGCGCGCAGGCTCTCGAGGTCGGTCGCGCCCGCGGACACGAGCCCTCTGGCTCGCACGACCGCCGCGGGCGACGGCGACGGCGACGAGTCGCCGAGATCGCGCGTCGCCCTCGCGGCGAAGTAACTCGGCGTGATCGCCGCCGGTCGCCCCCGCGCGTCCAATCGTTCGCGGTCCCGCTCGCCCGAGCCCGATCCCGAGCCCGGGCGCGGCGGCGACTGCGTCGGCGTCGCGTACCGCGACGAGTCCCGCGATCGCTGCCGCTGCCGTTGGTGTTGTTTTTGACGCTCGCGCGCGGCGGCGGCGGCTCGGCGCGCTTGGGCGAGCGCCGTCACCGCCGGCGACGGCGCGCGCTCCGGCGCCGGACGAATCGTCCGCTGCTTCGTCATCGAGGCGGCGACGTCCTCGACGGGCGAGCGAGGCGCGGCGTGCGCGGGGATCGCCGCCTCCGCGACCTGGTCGTCGTCGTCGTCGTCGTCGTCGGATCCGTCGAGCAACCGCGCAAGCGCGATGTCTTGCGCCAAGTCCACGCGCGCGTCGCCGCCGCCACCGCCGGCGCCGCCGCCGTCCGATTCGGACTCAGACGACGACGACGACGGGGGGTCGTCGATATCCCGGAACCCGCGGCCGCGCAGACGCGCGGCGACGGACGGCGGCAGCGACGACATCTTGACCGCGTTCCTGCTCGCCCTCAGCGGCTGGAACCCTTCCGACGCGTCCGACTCGAACAACGCCTCGCCGACCGGCGCGGGGGGGAGCTCGGCCGCCGCCGACCGCGCGGGAGACGACGGCGGCTTCGCGTCGACGACGTCCGCGCGCTGCGGCTGCTGCTGCTGCTGCTGCTGCTGCCGCGTAGGCGACGGCGGCGGCGACGGCGTCTTCGCCCTTGACGTGTCGTTCGACTCGCGCGTCGCCGCGATCGCCGCCGCCGCCGCCGGCTTCGTCGTCTCCGTCGCGCGCCTCGCCGCCACCGCCTCGACCCCCCCGCCGCCGCCGCCGCCCGCCGCCTCCGCGCCGGTCCGCCGCTGCAACCTCCCGAACGCGACCGCCGCGGGCTCGAGATCCTCGAGCCTCTCGATGACGCGCGCCATGCCCTCGCCGATGACGATCGTTGCGTCGTGCCGCGCGCGCATCGACGCGATGAGATCGATCATCGCGCGCTTAAACCTCGCGCGCGGCTTGGACGTCGCCTGGACGACGGCGTCGAAGTCGTCGCCTCTCGCGTCGCGCGGCTGGAGCCCGTTCAGCGGAAGCCCCGACGCTCGAGCGCCGCCGATTTGCCACAGCTCGCGCGACGACGTCCGCCGCGGACGCGCGCCCGAGCCCGAGCCCTCAGCAGCCTTGGACGGCGACGCAGCGTTCGAGGTCGACGTCCCCGTCCCCGTCCCCGGCGGCGCGACCGCGCCGTGCGATCGCTCGGAGTCCCTGACCGCGCCGCTGATGTCCCCGGCGAGGATGCGCATCGCGAGCGGGCCGCGTAACATCGCGTCCGGGTCGGAGGGGTCCGCCGCCGCCGCCGCCGCCGCCGCCGCCGCCGCGTCCTCGCCCGCCTTCCTCTCCTTCTTCGACGAGAACAGGGACTTCTTGACCGCGGACTTCTGCCCGCCGCTTCCGCCCGGGGTGTTACCCTCGAACGAGAACGACAGCTCGCGCGCCATCGCCTCTCTCTCCGCCTTCGCCGCGGCTTTCTCCTCCTTCTTCGCCGCCTTCTTCGCCGTGGACATCGCCCTCTTCTCCTCCTTCTCCTCCCTCTTCAGCGCCTTCTTCTCCGCGGTCGCCACCCTCTTCGCCTCCTTCTCGCGCTGCTTCTCGAGCTTCTTTCGCTCCTTCTCTCGCTTCTCCGCCTCGATCTGCTCCGGGGTCTTGGGCTTCGTCTTGATCGCCTTGAGGAGCGACATAAACTTCGACGCGCCTTGCTTCTTCTCCGTCGGCGGCGGCGGCACCGGCGCGCCGCCCGCCGCCGCCGCGGCCGCCCATCGATTCCTGACCGCGGCCGCGTCGCTCGTCGGCGCGGCGGAGGTTTTCGCGGGCGAAGGCGCCGCCGGCGGCGGAGGCGGCGGCGGCGGCGGCGCCAGCGCCGCCGCCGCCGCCCTCGCCGTCGAGGACGCCGCCGACCGCCGCACTTCCGCCGTCGTCGGCGCCGCCGCCGACCACGACGCCGCCGACCGCCGCACTTCCGCGTCCGTCGCCGCGTCTCCTCCTCCTCCTGATCCTACTCTCGACGCGGCGACGTACGCGCCGCCGTCGCCGATCGGCGGCCCGGGCTTCTCCTCCGTCTCCGCGTACTTCCGATGGTCGCTCCCGACTTGACCGAGCGCGGCGGTGTAATTCCTCGTCGCCGCCTGCCATCGGTTCGCCGGCGGCGGCGGCGGCGCCTCCTCCTTCGGCTTCTTGCTCTTGCCGAACTTCAGAGACTTCACCAGAGACGCGAACGCGCCGCGCTTCTTGACGGGGGGCGCGTCCGCGGGCGCCGCCGCGGTCGTCGTCGCCGCGGACGCGGAAGACGCGGAGGACGCGACGTTCGAGTTCGATCGCGCGTCCGCCGGCCGCTTCGGCGCGGCGGACGAGGGCGCCCTCGGCGCGGCCGCGGACGCCGTCGCGGAGGCCCTCTCGCGCGGGAACCCCGGGTTCTTCCGCGCGGACGGCGCGGCGGCCGCGCCGCCCGCGACGCTCGCGCCGGACGCGCGATCGGGCGCCGAGGCCGAGGCCGAGGCGGACGAGGTGGTGATGGCCGGATCGCCGTTCGCGGCCGCGGCCGCCGCGGCCTTGTCCTTCTTGCTCTTGATCCCCACCGCGCGCTTCGTCGCCTTCGAGAGGCGCTTCAGCGGCGACCTCTTCTTCGCCGGCGGAGGCTCCGCGACGGCGTCCGCGGAGGTCATCGCGTCCTCGCGCGCGTGCCGAAGAGGCGACCCGCGCGACCAATTAATGCCAGAATTGACGCTTCGCGGTTCGCAGCTCGCGCCCCGCGCGTCGTCCGAAATGGCGACGATGGATCGACCGGCCCCCTCGTCACGTCCTCCCGCGCCGCGCGCACGTCATCGGCGACGCGTCCGCTCCACCCCGCCGACGCCGCCGCCGCCGACGCCGGCGCCGCGCGAATTCGCGCGATGTACCTCTACGTGATGCGCCACGCGCAGAGCGCGAACAACGCGCTCGCGGTGCCGTCCCTCGGCAACCCCGACCGGTCCTCCGATCCGTCGCTCACGGAGAAGGGCTTCGCGCAGGCGGAGCTGCTCGGCGCGTTCGCGGCGTCCGCGTTCGGCCTCGGCGGCGACGCGATCGCGAAGCCCGAGCACGCGATCGCGCGCCTGTTCTCGTCGCCGATGCGCCGCTGCATGCTCACCGCGACGCCGGTCGCGAGAGCGCTGAAGATCCCGATACGCGTCCGCGGAGACATCCACGAGCACGGCGGATGCTTCGACGGATCGAAAGACGTCGACGGCGGCGTCGTCGGGCTCACGGGGATGACGAAAGCGCAGCTCGAGGCGGAGTTCCCGGGGTGCGTCGTCCCGGACGAGCTCGCGAACGGGTGGTGGAGCCCGGAGCGAGGCTGCGAGACGGTCGCGCAGGCGTTGGAGCGCGTGAAGGGCGTCGCGGACTGGCTGTGGCGCGAGGCGAAGGCGTGGAAGCCGGAAGACGGCGCGATCGCGATCGTGGCGCACGGGATGTTCATCGACATCCTGTGCAAGACGCTGATGGGGGTGCCGACGCGGACGGGGAAGCAGTCGTCCATGTTCTGCACGAACAACGCGGGCGTGCACGTGTTTCAGTTCCACGTGGGGGAAGGCGCCGACGCGGAGGGGGGCCCAGGGGAGGGCGCGGGGGATATCGCCGGTTTGTTGCGGTTCAACGTCGTGGAGCAGTTCCAGCCGGCGGAGGTGCGGTCGGGCGGGAGCGTCGTCGGTCTGGACGAGTGCTACATGCACGAGGGGAACGCGTGAGCGCGATGAGCGACGGAGTGTGGTACCGCGGCGGCGTGTGTGTTGACCTACACTACAGACTATTCTTCGCTACAGCCGTCGTTTCTTCCCCGACCGCATGAACGGCCGCAACGCCCACTCCACGTCCGCGTCGTCCGCGTCGATCGTCCCGAGCTTGATCTGGTACAGTTTCATCTCGAACCGCGGGCCGATCTCCGTGAGTGACACGCTGTCCTTCCCTCTCGGCATCTCGTACGTGTGATGCCGCATCGATATGTAGTCGTTTTGGTTCGCGAACGTGATCACGCGTTTGCTCTTCGTCCGCGGCGCCGGGAACAGATGCCGCAGTATCGTCTTCACGCGCTGCCCGAGCGTCGTGTTGAAGTTTTCGAGTATGAGATGCGGATTCACCTCGCTGACGTGCCCGATGTCCTCGTCTTTGATGTCGTGCCGCATCACCGTGCCGCTGAGGGTCGTTCCATACGAAGCGATGTCGGGGTGGAGTTGAAAGGCGTCAGTTGGAGTTGAAAGGCGTCGCGGGCGGGGATTGAAAGCGAGGGGTGGGCGGAGAGATGCGCCGGGAAAAGTCCTTAAGGATCGGCGTTCACCACGCCAACGCGGCCGTATGGGGACCAGTGTAAGAACGCACCTCAGCCCAAAGTACGCCGTCGGCCCGAACGGCATGTGCGACACCACCAGCCCGTCCGGCTCGCCGCGGTGCTCGTGCACCATCACGAGGTCCGTGAAGTCGTTCGACCGGCACAGCTCGACGAGGTCGGGGAGGACCTGCGCGCCTCGGTTCACGCGCTGCGCGGTTGGCATGAGCAGTTTCACCTCCTTGACGAACTGCGTCAGGCGGCTCGACGGATCTCTCGAGGTGGTCACGAGAACCTTCGGGTCGCGCGTGTTCGCGTTCTTGTACTCGTCGTCCGCGCTCGCGCCGTTCTCCGCGGTCTCCACGTCCTCGAGCGCGAGCTCGTTCCGCAGCCGCGCCTCGTCCTGCTTGAGCTCGTTCGGGATCGCCTTGCCTTCCTCCAGGCACTGGCGAATCTTCCGCTTCTTCTCGTACAGCTCGCGCTCCTTCCCTTCCAGGGACTTGCGGTAGATGAACTCCCTCCGGAGGCGCGCGGTGCGGCGGATCATGGCGACGCGACGCGACGCGACGCGAGGCGACGCGAGGCGAAGCGGAGGCGGCGGCGCGACCGCGAGTGCGCGCGGGGGTGGCGGCGTCACTCAGGTTTGTTGATTGACGACGCTCGCCGGAGAAATAATTTTTCAGCGAGGAGCGCCGATACCAGTGACCGCCGGTCGGTCGGTGCGGTAGGAATCCACTTCGCGGACGTCAGCCAATCACCGCGCGATCTGCATCTCCGAATATTGGTCGCTGCCACCGCTCGCCCTACTTGGCTCGCAATCGCGTCTCCGCGGTCGTCATCTTCGCACACGCTTCGCCGCTACCACACGACGACAGTATCCAAAATGGCTGCCATCTCCGCTTCCATGTCCCTCTCCGCGGTCGCGAACAAGCGCGCCGCGGTTCGCTCCACCAAGCGGTGCGTCGCGCGCGCGATTTCCGGAGCTCGCGGCGACGACGACGTTTTCCCACCCGCTCCCGCGATCGATCGCGGTTGTTGGTTCGTCCGCCGCGCGCGGTCGCGGGAACGCGCGCGTCGCGCGTCGCGCGACGTCGCGCGATCGAACGCCGCGCGGGAGACGGTCGCGGGACACGTCTCGGCGTCTCCCCGTCGCCTTCGCGCGGGCGTTCGATCTCGTCGCGGCGCGCGGCGCGCGCTTCCGCGGCGCGATCCGTCCCGCGCGCGACGAGCGCTCGCCCACCCTCCGCGAGCACGAGATACCGTCGCCGTCGCTCGTCCGGACGTCGACGCTGACGCCCCCGCCCCAACGCGCGTTCCCCTCGACAGCTCCGCCGTGAAGTGCGCCGCGAACAAGGAAGCGTTCGTCGCGAAGGTTGAGAAGGCGGGCAAGGCCGCGCTCTCCGGCCTCGCCGCGTCCGCGCTCCTCGCCTCGGTGCGTCCTGACCCGATCTTCGTCGCGAGAACCCGAGAACCCGAGAACCCGTCGCGACGCGTCGTCCGCTCGCGCGGCTCCGTCCGCGCGCGCGCGCCGCGAACGCCCGGCGACGACGCGGAATCGACGACGCGACGACGCGCGCGCGCCGTCGCGCCGAGCGCGCGGTCGCGTCGTCGCTCGCGGCGCGTCGCCGGGCGCGTCCGCGGAGCCACGACGAGGCGTCGGTCGCCGTGGATAGATCTCGCCGCTCGAGCGCACAGCTGTGTTTTCTTTTCGACGACGACGCCGACGCCGGCGGGCCGACCGACCCCGCGCGAGTCCGTACTGACGATTCCTCTCGCCCCCTCCCCCCCCCTAAACCCTATTCCCTCTCCAGTCCGCGGGCGCTGTCACGTACGACGAGCTCCAGGGCCTCACCTACCTCCAGGTCAAGGGCACCGGCCTCGCCAACACGTGCCCCGTCGTCGACGGCGGCGAATCGTCCAAGTCCATCAAGGCTGGCGACTACGCGCTCGAGAAGTTCTGCATGGAGCCGACGAGCTTCACCGTGAAGGAGGACTCCGCGTTCAAGGCGGGCGAATCCGAGTTCACGAAGACGAAGCTCATGACGCGTCTCACGTACACGCTCGACGGCATGACGGGCTCCTTCAAGGTTGGCTCGGACGGCTCCGTCGCGATCCAGGAGCGCGACGGCCTCGACTACGCCCCCGTGACGGTTCAGCTCCCGGGTGGCGAGCGCGTGCCGTTCCTCTTCACGCTCAAGGAGTTCACGGGCAAGGGCAACACGTCCCAGTTCGGCGGTGACTTCGTCGTGCCGTCTTACCGCGGCTCCTCCTTCCTCGACCCCAAGGGCCGCGGTGGCTCCACGGGGTACGACAACGCCGTCGCCCTCCCGGCCAAGTCCGACGCGGACGAGCTCCTGAAGGAAAACAACAAGAACGTCGCGGCGCTCAAGGGCTCCGCGGTCTTCAACGTCGCGAAGTACGACCCGGTGACTGGGGAGGTCGCGGGGGTGTTCGAGTCCATCCAGCCCTCCGACACCGACCTCGGCTCCAAGGCGCCGAAGGACGTGAAGATCACGGGCCTGTGGTACGCCCAGCTGCAATAAATTTTAAACAGGCGGTGTGGCGCGTCGAGTGTCGAGTGTCGAGTGTCGAGTGTCGAGTGTCTCATCGATAAGAAGAAGCGAAGCGAGCGCCGGATTAGCATGGCGCATTAGATTTGTTGCGATGAGAACGACAGAGGAAAGACGTGATTGATGATTGACGCGTATCGTTTACAAGGTTTTCGCGGCTCGCGCGCGTCGTCGACTCCACCGCGAATCGCGAAACAAACGCGTTCGACGCCTCCCTCGCGCGTCGGTCACCGTCGACAACAGTCGCAGTAGTACCCCTCGCGCATCGGATCCAACCGCCGCAGCCTCTCCAGACTTTTCGCGCGCTCCGCGTCCCCCTCCTCCGTGCCCATGCTCTCGCACAGACGCGCGAGCGTCGCGACCGGCCACTTGCTCCCCGGCTCCAACTCCCTCAAGGTCGTTCCATACAAAGCGAAGTCGGGGTGGAGTTGAAAGGCGTCAGGTGGAGTTGAAAGGCGCCGAGGGCGGGTATTGAAACCGAGGTGTGGGCGGAGAGAGACGCCGGCGAAAGTCCTTAAGGATCGGCGTTCACCACGCGAACGCGGTCGTATGGGAACCAGTGTATATAACGCACCTCAGCTCGCGACACAACGCCGCCTCTCGCGCCAGCGTCTCTCTTATTGCGGTCGCGTCGCTCTTCGCGTCGTCCCCGGCGGACGACGTCGACGTCGACATCGTGTTGCGCAGCAGCCACCGGTGATACATCCACCCGGACTGGTCCTCTGGCTCGGTGAAGAACGCGTTCTGCACGAGCTCGTACTCCGCGCGCAAGACGTCGGGGGGTAACGACGACGACGGCGGCGGCGCGTCGTTTTCGTTTTCGGTTTCGTCTTCGCGCTTTTCGCGCTTCTCTTCCCCTCCTTCCCCTAAGCTCCCTCCTCCTCCTCTTCCGTGTACCCTCGGCAGGTACGCGCTCCGGTGATGCCACGCGCTGTAGTTGCTGAAGTTCGCCTCGATCTTCTTCGTCGTGAACTCGAGCTCGTCCGCGTCCGGGACCTTCGCGAGCGCGGCGACGAACCGCCTATACCCCCAGCAGTGAAAGTTCCTGTCGTCCGCGTCGAGCAGCCTCTCGACGAGGACGAGCTCGCGCGCGAGCGTCGCGTCTCTCGCCGCGACGTCCGCGCGCGCGTCCGCCTCGTCCACCATCCGCGATATCGTCCACTTTCGATGATACCACGACGGGTAGCTCTTCGGGTTCTTCTTCAGCGTCTTCTCCGTGAGCGTCAGCTCGTCCGCGAGCGGCGGCCGCGCGCGCGCGTCGACGGCGTCCACGCCCGCGACGATCGCCTCGCGTCGAAAGTTCCACGCGGTGAACACCTCGGGATTGATCTCGAGAAGACGCGCGCTGACCGCCATGCTCTCCGCGTCGTACGATCTCTCCGCGCGGCGTCGCAGGAAGTCGCTCTGCAGCGCGCGGATGAGCTTCACCTTCGGGAGCATCGCGGCGCGACGCGCCTGCGGGAGGGAGGGAGGGAGGGCGGGACGACGTTGAGAAGTTCGACGGTTGGATCTGACGACGACGACGACGACGACGACGACGAGGAGGAGGACGCCAGAGGGCGACGCGGAGGACGACGACGCGCCTTGGACTCCTCAAGGGTTTCTCGCTTGCGGCCGTGCATCGCGGCGGAGGAGGGACGGCGCGCCCGAGCGCGCGCGGGGACGAGTGCCGCGCCGACTGCGCCTCGGGCGTTCGAATTAACATCATCGAGGAAAACGACCGATACACGCGCGACCACGACGACGGGCGCACTCTTCGCCGCGCGGGCGCCACCGCGGAGGCCTCCGCACCCGACCGGTCGTCGCGAGCGCGAGATGGCGGCGACGGTGACGGCGGCGACCGCGGCGACCGCGCGCGTCGCGCGCGTCCACCCCCGCGCGTCCACCCCCGCGCGCGATCGCGCGTCGCGATCTCACCCGCGGCGACGGCACGTCGCCTCCTCCTCATCCTCATCCTCCTCCTCCTCCGCCTCCCCCGCCGCCGCGATCGAGGAAGAGCTCGACGTCGTCCTCCTGGAGACGACGCGCGCGGACGGCGCGCGCGCGAGGATCGTCTACAGCACGACCGCGGAGGTGGACTGCTACGACCTCGAGAGGCTGTGCGACGACGTCGGCTGGCCGAGACGACCGATATCCAAGGTGAAAGCCGCGCTCGAGAACTCGTTCTGCGTGTCGTCGCTGTACCTCGAGCTCGTTCCGCCCACCGCCGACGCCGACGCCGACGCGACCTCGACCTCGACCTCGAGCTCGAGCTCGAGCTCGAGCGCTTCCTCCGCCGCGACGACGGACGGCACCCCGCCCGTGGGCCTCCCAGGGGTCAAGTACCCGAGATCTCTCGCGTACGGCGAACGGAAGCTCATCGGCGTGGCGAGAGCGACGTCGGACCACGCGTTCAACGCGACCATCTGGGACGTCGTCGTGGACGGGGAGTATCAAGGGAATGGTTTGGGAAAGGCGCTCGTGGAGCAGACGATACGGACGCTGATGTCGCGGGACATCGGGAACATCACGCTCTTCGCGGACAGCAAGGTGGTGCCGTTTTATCAGTCGTTGGGATTTGTGAGCGACCCGGAGGGAATCAAGGGGATGTTTCTGTACCCGACGACGTGACGGCGAGGAGACGAGCGGGGGATACAGTGATGTACTAGGGGTGTAGGGCGTAAGGCTTAGGGTTTCAATAATACGTTTTCAATACGTTTACACAACACGAGACGAACGTCCTCGCGGTCATCATCGACAGCCGAGGATGGCGCGTCCGTAGTCGTCCACGGTCGGGTTCTCGCACGCGCGCTGCGCGTCGCTCGAGCTCAAGAGCGCGCCCTCCCAGTTCACGCCGTCGAGCTGCGCCCAGTTCCCGCCGCCGTCCCTCCCGAAGCGCGCGTTCGTCAAGATGGCGTTGTCGAAGTCCGCGCCTCGGAGGTCGGCTCCCGCGAAGGACATCTCGTAGAAGTTGGTTCCTCGAAGCACGCTCCCGCGGAAGTTGGTCCCGACCGCTTTCGCGCGGCTCGCCTCCCCGCCGGTGAAAATCGCGCCCTCGAAGTTCGCGCCGGACATGATCGCGCCGCTCAACACTTTCCCGTCCAAGTCCGCGCCGGAGTAGTCGCACCCGCCGAGGTCTAAGATGGCCTCCGGGAGCGCGCCCGTGCCCACCTCGAGGCTAAACTTCGCCCTCGTGTCCTTGAACAGGTCGAGCGCCTCGATCGTGCACCCGCCGGGCATGTCTCGCACGGGCGGGGGCTTTTGGCCCGCCTCCGCGAGCGCGGGCCCCGGGCACGCGGACAGCGCGAGCGCGAGCGACGCGCTCGCGACGGCGCCGAGGACGGAGGAGACGACGCGCGATGGTGGTGATGACGCGGCGTCGGAATCTACGAGACGTCTTCCGTCGACGACGTCGACGTCCCCGACGCGCCGACGCGACGACGACGACGACGACGCGCGCGCGGCGGTCACGCGCGCGCGCGACGTCGCGGAGGGGTTCGAGCCGACGCGAGGGCGCGCGGAGACGCGCGGGAGCGTCGCGAGCATCGCGCAGTGACGGCAGCGCCGTGCGCGCCGTTGTGCAGATTGACAAATCAAATCTACACTTACCTTAACTGAAGTCGTCAGTCACAGGAAACCAAAAAAATCACCACCAGCCTTCCTCACGTTCTTCTCCTCCTCTAAAACGCGCTCGATGCGAGCGTTAAACGGCTCGACCTCGTCCGAAGCCGCGGGCGCGTTCCTCGCGTCCTTCACCGCGCCGCCGCTCGCGTCGACGTCGTCGTCGTTCGGCGAGTCGAGCCACGCGTCCGCCTCCGCGTCGACGGCGGCGGCGGCGCTCGAGCTCGACTCCGCGTCCACGCGCGGCTTCGTCACCGCCGCGGGCTCGCGCGTCGGCCGCGTCGGCGGCGTCCTCTCCTTCTTCTTCTTCTTCCCAGCCCCGGCCGCGGCGTCTCCCGGCTTCTCCTTCGTCACGGACGCGCTCTTCGCCGCCGCCTGCCGCATCATCCGCCGCGCCTTGCGAACGTCCCCCGCGTTTTTCGGGTCAAAGGTCACGCCGTGCGCCCGCGACGCGAACAGCGCGTCCGCAGCCTCGGCGATGTCGTCCGCGTCGTCGACGTCGCCGAGGCGGTGGCGGTTCACGCCGCCGGAGGACTCGCCGCGGTCTGAATAATCGTCGGAGTCGTCCGACGAATCGGAGCCGCCGCCGCCGCCGGGGTCGCCGTCGTCGTCGTCGTCGTCGCTGTCGGAAAACCCGCCGCGCGCGCCGATGGCCATCATCCCTCGGATAGCGCTCGGCGCGCCTCCAGGGCCAGCCGGCGACGAGTACACGTCGTTCATCGTGCTCTCCGTCGTCCCTAAGATGTTCGCCAGCGCGTCCTGGATGTCGTTATCGAACGCGTCCCAGTACCAGCGCAGAAACCATTTCTGCGCCACGCGCTTCCGCGTGAGACACTTTTTCAAATTCGCAACCTCCGCCTTCTTCTTCTCCACGACGTCGATCCACGTCTTGACGCACTCGCGCGCGACGTTCGCCGTGATCCTCGCCACGTGGTTGCGAATGATCCGCTTCGCGTGCGCGAGCTTCTCGTGCTCCGCGCGCCACGCGAACAGCGCGGTCGCGACCACGCGTCGTTCCCCGCGCGCCCGCATCGCGTCAGCCTTACGCGTCGCGCGCCGCGTCGCCCTCGCCGCGTCGGCGTCCGCCCGCCACGCGTTGAACGCCGACGCGAGGCGCGCGTTCGCCACCTTGAAGCACAGAGACTTGAACTTTCTGAACCGCGCGGCGTCGTCGCGCCAGGACGCGAACGCTCGCGCGAGCGTCGCTCGGGACATCCGCGCGATCACGCGCGACGCGATCGTCCGGTGACGGCGACGCGTCGCGGCGGCGACGCGCCAGCCGGCGACGACGCGCGCGTGCCGGAGGTGCGTCCACCGCGCGACGACGCGATCCATCTGCGCCGCGCGGCGCGCCGCGGCGTCGACGTGGAGAAGCCAGCGATCGAACGCGTCCGCCGTGACGCGAGCGCGGAGCTTCGAGACGGCGCGGCGCGCGAAACGCCTCGCGTCTCTCGAGCGCTCCGCGATGAAAACCCAGGAGTTGAACGCCCTCGACGCGCGCCGCCGCCGCATGCGCAGGGCGGCTCTCCGTTCCAGGTTTTTCGCGGACACCGCCGCGTCGTGGTGCGTGAGCCATCCGTTCATCGCGCGGCGAAGCTCGCGTTGGGACATTTTCTCGACGTATCGACGCATCAACGACCGTTTCTTCTTGTTCTCCCTCGTCTTCTCCCCCCACGTCGCGAACCCCGCGGCGAGGTGCCGCTTCGTGACGCGCGTCGCGTGTTTGCGGAGAAACTCGCGCTTCCGCCTCTCGTCCGTAACGCGCGTCTCCCAGGCGTTAAACGCGCGCCATCGGGTCCAGCGGTACGCTTTGGACGCCGCGCGCGTCGCCAGCGCGCGCTCGCGCTTCGTCTCGCGCGCCGCCTCCGCCCACGCCGCCGCCGTCCTCTCGCGCGTCTTTCGCGCGGCGAACTCGGTCGCGCGTCTCGCGCGCCGTCTCGCGCGCGCCGCCTCGGACGCGCTCGCCTCCCAGCCGTAAAACGCGCGCGATAAACATTCGTGGCGCATCCGCGCCGCGGCGTTGACGGACAACGCTCGCAGCCGCTTCCGCCGCGTCGCGCCCGCGCGAAACCCGTCGAACGCGTACGCCAAGTCTCTGCTCGTCGCCCTCGCGCGGAACCGCGCGACGACGCGCCGGTCTCTGCGCGCGCGTCGAGCGCACAGAAACCAGGACCGAAACGCGCTGAACGCGAGCCGCCGCGACCAGCGTTTGACCACCTTGGACGCCAGCGCGCGTTTCTGCTGCTTCTCCATCACCCTGACGCGCCACGACACGAAGCACGTCGTCGCGGGCCCGCGCACGAGCCGCCCGGCCGCGTGCGTCATTATCCTCTGCCGCCGCGCGCGCTCGTCGTCGCACGTCTTCTTCCACGCGCGCCACGCGAGGTCGATCGCGCGGATGACGTTTCGCGCGAAAATCAACGACACGAGCTTGCGTCGCGACGCGCTTAAATTCGCCCAGTTCGCCCACCGCGCGAACGCGCCGCGGTAAATCGCGCGCCCGACGCGCGCGCGCCTCTGCTCGACGACGCGGCGGACGAACCGATCCCGCGACGCGACGTTCTGCCACCCGGTGAGGACTTTGCTCAGGAACCGACGCGTCGCTCGCGCGTCGAAACGCATCGCGTTTCGCGTGTGCACCCGCCGCGTCCGACGCTGCCGCGACGCTTGGTCACTCCACGCCCACATCGCGTCGTACGCCATCCGTCGCAGGCGCTTCGTCGCGATGTACTCGAACCCGCGCCGCTGCGCGTTCATGCGCGCCATCTTCGTCGCGTCGTCGACCGCCGTCCTCTCGCGCGTCGCGCGAATCGAATGAACGCGCAGGCGCCACCGATGAAACGCCGGCTCCGTCGTCCTCCTCCGGTTCCTTCGCGTCGTCGCCGCGATCGCGCGGCGGCGCATGATCTCCGACCTCGACGTCGACGCCCACGCGCGAAACGCGGAGCTCTCGAGGACGTGCGACCACCGCATGACGTGCAGACGCGTCCGGCGCCGCAGCGCGATCCGATCCGCGGCGGCTCCTCTCCAGCCGTCGAGCGCGCGCGCGAGCGCGACGTTCCCGAGCCTGGCGCCGATTCTACGGAGCAGCGTATTCTTCCTCTGGACGTCCGCGTGAACGCTCCACCACGCGTCGAAGCACCTCGCGGTGACGTGGCGCTCGCGCCGTCGCGCGAACACGCCGCACGCGTAGATCGCCCTGTGTTCGACCACCGTGAGCAGACGACGCGTCGACGCCTTGAGCTCTTCGTTCGCGCCCTCCGCGTTCGCGAGCGACGCGTCCGCGAGCGCCGCGTTCACGCGATGATCCTCGATCGTCCGCGCGAGCTCCTCCACATGCTCGCGCGAGTACGCCCGAAGCAGGTCCAGCTCCGCGAGCGCCCACTCCCGTAGTTCCTCCGAGCTCGAATGCAGTCGGAGCACTTCCTTTTCGATCGCCGCGCGCGCGGCGACTTCCTTCGTCAACGCCGCGACGAACTCCTTCGCGACGACGCCGCCCATGGCTCTCAGCGCGGACGCGTGCTCGCGGCTTCCGTCGCCGCCCGCGGACGATGACGCGAACGACGCGTCCGCGATCGCGCGGCCGCTCGGAGACGCGCGGGTCGAGCCGGGACGGGAACCGGGACGGGAACCAGGACCGCTCCCCCCCTCCGCGAAGAGCGGGCGGCGGAACGCGTTCGGCGGCGGCCGATCCCGGGGAACCCGCGCGCCCCGCGACGGCGACGGGTCGGACGACGACGACGGCTCCGCGGTGGGAGAGAAGAACTCCGCGGGGCTCCCGGGCGCGGACGGCAGCCGTCCGTCGTCCGTGTCGTCCAGCGTGTCGTCCTCCTCGCGCAGAAACGAGAGCGTCGGGTCTTCGGGGCCCGCGTCCCCGCGGCCGGTGACTGATCTCGTCGTCGAGACGATCGAGTCGTCAAACGCGGAACTCGTCCGCGTCGGCGAGTTCGCGAGCGACGTCGCGGTAGAGACCCCGCCCAGGTCCGGGTCGATCGCGGTACCGACGCGCAGCGCGGTGACGCGCAGCCGCACGCCGTCGACGCGCCTGTTCTTGAACACCAAGTCGCGCGTCGTCCACGGCGAGGACAGATCCTCGGAGACGCCCGGGAGGAGGATCCACTCCTCCCACGTGCCGAAATGCGACGACGCGAACACGAGCCTGCGGCGCGCTTTCCTCGTCGCCTGGAGCATCTTCCCTCCCGACGCGCGGCTTCGGAACCCCCAGAACTCCCCGCCCGGTCGGCGCACGATCTCCAGGTGCGTCGTCGGCGCGTGCAGCCCGACCGACGACGCGAAGTCGTCGCGCGCGAGGGAGCGGCACTGTTCGAATCGGTACCGCGCCCCGCCTCCGCCCGCGTCGTCGGCGTACGCGTTCGCCGCGTACGGGACGTCGTCGTCCTGGCCGAGGAGCGCGACGACGTCGCCGTGCGACAGGTTAGGCTTCGGGTCCGAGTTCAAGATCACGTGCGCGGTGCGTCGCCCGTGGACGACGAGCTCGCCGAGCATCTTGGCCGTCGGTTGATGTTAATTCTCTTCTCTCTCTTTCGCTTGCCTCGCTAAATTCCGGCGGATCGAATCTCGCCGCGCGCGTCGCCTCGCGACGACCGAGGCGCGCGCGCGCGAGCGGATTCGCGCGCTCCGACGCCGCCGCGCCTTACTCAAAGACCGCGCGAGGACGCCGCTCCCGTCGCGCGTCTTCTCGTGCGCGGCCCGACGCCGCGCGCGTCTCACTGGATCAACAATGTCAACCTCGGTCGCGGCTGATGCGCCGAGCGCGATCGCGATCGGGCAAATTGTGTGTGTGTGTTTGGCTCGCAGGTGTGTTGAGTACGAAACGTTTTTCACCCACCCTTCGGTTTCAACATTTGATCGCATCCCCTTTCAACTGACCGATGAACATATTTCGTACGAGACCGCTGAAAAATGGAGCTACGACACGCGGACAGGCGAGGAACGCCTCTGCGTGCCCACAAACGAACGAACGAACGAACGAACAAACGCGGCGCGCCGACGCGGCATACATCTCATCGTCTTCATCACAACCTCGCCCCGCCGCCGCCGCCGCCGCTCGCGTCGCGTCGCGTCGCGTCGCGTCACGCCATCGTGTCCTGAAACGGATCGTACGTCGAGTTCCCGTCGCGATCGAGCAAGTTGAGACTCCGCAGTCGCCGCTCCTGGTAGTACTCCGTCCGATCCAGCCGCGCCTCGACCGACGCGTAGTACCCCAGCACCTCCTCGAGCGCCTGCTTCTCCCCCATGCGCACGCGCGCGGCGAGCCGCAGTCGCGGGGACGCGTCGGCGTCGTCCGCGACGCCGCGGTCGTCCTCGATCTTCGTGGCGTACGCACCCAATGCTTCCTCGCACCCTCTGAGGGGCGTTTGATTGGTGGGAGATATGGCGGGAGGGGATGTGATTGGTTAGTAATTTGATGACGTGGACGTTTGATCGGACGAGAGCGACGGAGAGGGCGCCGGCGAAAGTCCTTAAGTAACGGCGTTCACCACGCCGACGCGGTCGTATGGGGACCGGTGTAATGAGAACGCGCCTGAGCATCGTGACGCACGCGTCGGCTTCGTTGTCAGGGCTCACCGGGTCGGAGATGAGGGCCCAGCACTCCTGGCGAAAGATCGCCTCGAGTAGGAACGCGTCGTCGTTCTTCAGGTTTAACAGTCGCATGAAGACGACCATCTCCGGCGGCGGGTCCTCAAACGCGCGAATCGTAAACGCCGGGCTCTCCTTCAATCCCGCGACGGACAGCACGTCCATCTTATCGAACGCGTTGACGTCGTCCTCCGGGATCGACAGCGGCCCGAGGACGTACCCCGGCCTCGAGCAGAACGCGTCCACGAACCCGTAGTCCAGCGCGAACTGCGAGTCGATATTCGCGGGGCCGTAGTTGCACCGAATCTCTTCGCCTCGTTTGGCGCCGCCGGCTTTGGTCTTCTCGACGCGGAGCAGCACGGAGCCGCCGCCGTCCGCGCCGCCGCGCCCGCCGAAAACGGCCGCGATCCCGCCGTTATTCAGCTGCCACGTCTGCGAGCACAGTCCGTCGTGGTTCGCCATGTCTATGCCGGGGATCAGCGCGATGCTCTCGCCTTGGTCCACCGGAGGGAGCGCGCGGGACCGGAGCACGCCGAACGCCCACAAAAATTCGCGCTCCGAAAACGCGCCGCCGCCGTCGTCGTCCCCGGCGTCCCCGAAGAGCGCCGGGTGCTCCTTGAACGTGGTTTCCTTCAGCGCCGCGTGCGTCCCGCGGACGTACGAGTCGTACCCCGCCGCGTTCGCGAGCAGCTGCGTCCCCGCGAGCTCGGCGAGCTCTTCCGAGGACCAGAAGAGAGGCGCGTCCAACGCTTCGACGCGCGGGAGGCATCTGATGAGGGTCGAGGGTCCATACGAGCGAACGTCGGGGTGGAGTTGAAATGCGTCAGGTGGAGTTGAAAGGCGCCGAGGGCGGGCGTTGATACGAGGGACCCTGGGCGGAGAGAGACGCCGGGGAGTAAAGTCCTTAAGGATCGGCGTTCACCACGCCGACGCGGTCGTATGGGAACCAGTGCATGCACAGAACGCGCCTGATGTACGCCGCCCATCTCGAGTCGTCGCCGAGGGATTTCTCGTGCAGGAGCTGCAGCGCGAGCGCGCACCACGGCGGCGTCGTCTCCGGATCGAGCGCGGTACCGATCTTCGACGCGAACGCCGTCTCTTTCGTCATCCAGAGCGCGCGCGGGACGACGATCGCGGCGTCGCCGCCGCCGACGTCTCGCGTCGCGACGAGGCCCCAGCCGCGTCCTCCCGGCGTCGCGTCCACGAGCGCGGGCGAGACGCTCGCGACGTCCGCGCCCTCGCGCTCGAGCCACGTCCACAGCGCGTCGAAGTCGGCCTGCGTCCGCGCGTCGTCGTTCGCGGACGTCGTCGGCGCGGACGACGAGGAGGTGGACGGCGTCGGGATCGCGCGAGCGGATAGCGACGACGACGACGACGACGACGAGCGGCCGTCGCGATGGCGACGGAGCGGCGGCGGCGCGCGCGACGTCGCCGCGGTCGCGCTGGACGGCCGCCTCGCGGCGCACGGTGGCGCGGAGGACGCGAGCGCGGACATCGCGGACATCGCGTGAGGTGACGTGCGCGACGCCCTCGCGCGCGATCGACGGAGTGTCGACGCGACGACGGCTCCGAGACCGCGTGGATGGCGCCCTCGTGGGATAATTCATCAGACGGATGCATGGGTCAAATCATCATCTTCAAACCACGCGTCGGTTTCCATGCTGCAGCTTCATCGCGTTCGACCGATCAACGAACGTCACTCATCGGCCCGGCGAAGTTTTACGCGCGAACGGAAGGAAGGAATTCGAACGAGGAGACGACCGGACGCGCCACAGCGAGCGACGCGGCGAGCGGACGCGCGGGCAGCCATGAGCGACGATCGCGCGGCCGCCGCGGAGGACGCGAGCGCGTCCTCCTCCTCGCTCGATCGCGGCGGGACGTTCTCCTCGGTGGACTACCCTCCCGCGCCGCTGTTCGCGACGACGCGGAGATTCCCGTCGTCGTCGTCCGCGATGAACGATCGCGCGTACAGCTCAGCCTACTTCCCGTCGTCCTCCTCCTCGCTCACGGCGTCCGACGCCGCGCCGAGGCCGCGGCGCGCCGCCGCGACGGAGGCGGAGGAGAAGGACCCGAACGCGATCGACATCGAAGCGCTGAAGCGGTCGGTGATGTGGCCGGAGAAGCGCGCGCGCGCGCTCGGCATCATAACGGACCCGATCGTCAGCGCGTCCACCGCGCCCGGGAGCTTCCGATTCCCGTCCTCGCGGCGCAGCCTGTGGGACGCCACCGCGATCGGCGACGCCGTCCACGTGTCGTCGCACCAGCACGCGCCGGAGATCAGGGTCTCCGGCGCGATCACGGCCGCGCTCGCGAGGGCGGCGACGAAAGCGCGGAGTCGCGCGGAGGACGCGCGGTTTCAGATCATCGAATCGCGCGACGACGCGCGGCGCTACGCCGGCGACGACGCGGGCGCCTCGGACGTGAAGGGCGTCGAGGTCGTCCGCGTGCGAGGCGACGTGAAAGTGCGCGACGTGACGACGCTGGACGCCGCCGACGACCGTGCAGGCGTAACGGACACGATCATGACGTTACGGGACGTCGCGGCGAACGGCGACGCGTCCGACGGCGCCGCCGACGACGCCGGCTGCGTCGTCGTCGACGCGCGCGCGCTGGAGGACGTCGCGGGGGAGACCGAGGACGCGACGCGCGAGCGGTTGAAGGCGACGACGCTCGCGTGGGAGCGCGACGCGGACGCGGTCGCGAAAGATTTCGTCCGGAGGTGCAGCCGGAGGGTGACGCTCAGGCGCGTTTTATCTCACGCCGGTTCCCGTGCGACCGCGTTCGCGCGGTGAACGCCGTTTCTTGAGGACTTTTCCCGGCCTACTGTACGTTTCTCTGCGCCCATCCCACGCCTTCTTTCGAATCCGTCTGACGCCTTTGAACTCCACCCCGACGTCGCTTCGCATGGAACGACGCTCAGGCCGGGGGCGCTGTGGCCGACGCGTTTCGCCGTCGCGACGCGCGCGGGGGGCGTCGGCGACGACGGGTTCGTGGACTACGACGCCGACGCGGGGAAAACGGTCGAGATCGAGGCGTTACTTCTCGTGCCGAACCAAGTGTTCGTGATGTCGCCGATATTCCCCCCGCGCGTCGCCGCGGACTCGCCCGTGCACGCGGACCTCCTCGCGAAGCAGAGGCGTCCGGCGGACCCGGAGGCGTCGAAAATCGAAACCGGCTTCCTCACGATGGACCAATCGCGGCGACTCGTGCCGCTGCTCGAGACGGAGGACCGCGCGTTCTCCGTCCCGCTCGTCGGCGTGTGGGTCAGCGGCGTGTCCTCGATCGCGCACCTGCACGCGTGGGCGGCGGCGGCGCGGTTCCACGCGCACGACGGGATCGCGGACAAGGCGACGCGCGACGGAAGTTTTCTTCTCGCGGCGTACATGCCTCGATCGAAGATGCCGGGGCCGGCGATGTACGACGTGAGAGTCACCGGCGGCGCGGCGTCGTTCGCGAGGTACGTCGCGACGATGACGTGCGGCGCGGGCGAGGCCGCGGAGGCGAAGTTTCTGTCGCGAACGGAGAAGGCGAAGGCGGTCGCGTTGGAGGGCGGCGAGAGGGCGTTTCTTCTTCGCGCGAGTCGAGACGAAGAGAAGAAACGCGGCGTCTCCGCCTCCGCCGACGCCGCCTCGGGCGGCGGTCCCGCGCCGCCCACGAGCGGGGAGGTCGCGTACGCCCCCGGGGCGTACGAGCGCGCGAGAAAGAGCGCGCGCGAGCTCGCGGACGCCGCGCGCGCGGCGCTTCTCGACTTTGAAACGGCCGAGGAGACGGCGGCGCGCGCGGCGGCGCGCGGCGCGCCCGGGTGGCGGCCGATCAAGCCGCCGCCGACGGCGTACGAGACGGCGACGGCGCGGAACCGCGCCCGCGCCGCCGACGCCGCGACGCTGACGGCGACCGTTCGCGCGTCGACCGACGCGGACGTGGACGACGCGACGTTGCGCGCGTCGATGGAGACGCTCTCCCCCGCGGCGCGGATGATCGTGTTGGAACAGCAGCGCGCGATCGCGGCGTTGAAGGAGCAAGTCGAGCTTCTGCGGTGCGAGGCGCGGTCCGTCGCGAGCGGCGAGGACGGGGTCGGGGTGGAGTACCAGCGTCTGGGAAGCCACGACTCCGGCGAGGAGGACGAGGACGAGGACGAGGACGAGGACGCCGGGCCGATGCCGCTGGACGCGAAGGCGGTGTGGTGGGGCGGCGGCGTGCCGGAGCTTGAGGTGCGTTCTATACACTGGTCCCCATACGACCGCGTTCGCGTGGTGAACGCTGATCCTTAAGGACTTTTCCCGGCGTGTCTCTCCGCCCACCCCTCCCTTTCAATACCCGGCCTCGGCGCCTTTCAACGCCAACTGACGCCTTTCAACTCCACCCCGACATTCGCTTGTATAGAACGGCCCCGAGCGCGTCGAGACCGCCGAGACCGCCGGGCGCGCCGTCGGCGGCTCCCGCGCCGCTGAGGCGGAGGCTGCGGCGGCGGCGGCGCTGTCTCGCGGATCGCCGCGGTCGCCCCTCGGGGGTGGGCGGTCGAGAGGGCTCGCGTACAGCCGACGGAAGCAAGCGAGAGAGGAGGAGGAGGAGGAGGAGGCGGGGTTCGCGGAGCGCGAGGTGGCCGCCGCGAACGCGGCGACGCGGACGTCCGGCGCGATGTCCGGCTTGACCGCCGCCGAGGCGAACGCTTTCGTCGCGGCGGTGGAGACGGCGGCGTTGAAAGCGGCGGAAGCTCGCGCGACGTCGTCGACCGCCGCCGCGTCGCCGTCGCCGCCGCCGCCGCCGCCGCCGACGACGTCGACGAACAAGAAGCCGCGGAAACCGAACGAGCCCGCGCGCGACCCGGGGTTGATGCCGTTCGTGGACTTGCACGACTTCGAGTCCGACGCCGGCGAGTCCCCGACGGAGCGCGCGGTGGACCCGCTCCCGCAGGCGGACGACGCGGAGTTATTAGACGCGGAGTTATTAGACGCCGCCGCCGCCGCCGACGACGACCGACCCCGACCGCGGACGCACCGCGAGCCGACGGTCGGGTACGCGTCCACCGGTTTAGGCATGGAGCTCACCGGCGTCGCGCTGAGCGACGTCGAGGAGAGCGACGGCGACGGCGACGCGGACGCGGCGACGTTCAACGACGACGGCACCGTGCGCGAGTCGCTCGGCGACGCGACGCGTAAGTCGCAGCTGATGGTTGACCCGACGATGCTGGAGGGCGAGGCGCTGAGGAAGCTCGTCGCGAGAGCCAAGGCGGAGCTCATCGGCGAGGTGCTCCGAGGCCGAGACGCGGAGAGAGACGCGGACGGCGGGAGCGGCGACGACGACGACCTCGGCGACCTCGGCGACGACGTGGACGCGGAGACGCGAGTCGTGCTCGGCAAAGACGCGCTGCTGCGCGAGGCGGTCAAGAGAGGGTTGGACCCGATGTATCCGGTGATCGATCACGTCGCCGCGGAGGAGGAGGAGGAGGAGTCGCTGGACGGCGACGAGGACATCATCAGGAAGTACGCGGTGGGGGAGGGCGACGAGGGAGGAGGTCTCTCTTCGAGCGCGCGGCTCGCCGAACTCGAGGACTGGGAGGAGCGCGCGGACAAGGAGGAGGCGAGAGCCGCGGCGGTCGCCGCCGGCGAGGAGGTGCCCGTTGAGGTGTTCCACGGGAAATCGTTCGCGTCCGTCGCGGAGACGGCGCCGGCGGCGGAGGCGCCGGCGCCGGCGGCGAGCGTGGACGTCGCGGACGTCAAGCTGAAGGACCCGGAGACGCGGTGGCACGCCGCGGGCGCGGTCGCGGAGGTCGTGACGAGCGCGCGCGGCGGCGGCGGCGGGGAGGATGGGGGAGACGCCGAGGAGGTCGCTGCCGAGGTCGCCGCCGAGGAGGACGCGCCGAGCAAGCCGAAGACGGCGGCGGAGCTCAGAGCCGCGAAGAAGGCGAAGAAGAAGGCGAAGAAGGAGAAGAAGGGCAAGGCGCTCCGCGAGACCATGGCGGCGCGCGAGGACGACGACGATTGACGCGCGCGCGCGTGCCGACTTCTTACAATCTGTAGGCGGGGGTGATAAACTTAAGCTTAACGTCAATTTTTGAAGCGCCGTCGCTCGACCGCGCGATCGATCGTCTCGCGCGCGCGCCTACGCCGCCGCCTTCGCCTCGTTCATCTTCGTCATCATCGCGACAAACTCCTCGTAATCCACGGTCCCGTCCCCGTCCGTGTCCGCCTCGTTGATCATCGCGTCTAGGTTCTCCATCATCTCCCTCTGCTCCATGACGGACATCAACCCGATCCCGTCGAGCTGACTCACCGCCTTGCGCAGCTCCGCCGCGGTGATGCTCCCGCTGTTATCCTTGTCGAAGGTCCTGAAGAGCTCGCGCATGTCCTGCTGCTTGAACTGCTCCTTCAGGTGAATCATCATGTCGACAAACTCTCCGTAGTTGATCTCCCCGTCCCCGTCCTTGTCGATGTCCGCGATGATGTCGTCGATGTTTTCTCGGAGGTATCGCAGCTCGGAAGGCGAGATGAAACCCGTCCCGTCCAGGTTCTTCACGACGTGTTTCAGCTCGTCGTGCGTGATGTTCCCGCTCTGATCTCTGTCAAACTGCGCGAAGATATCTCTCAGCGCGTCCTTGTCCATGTCCAGCGACATCCGCCCGGCCATCATGTTGAGGAACGCGGGGAACGCGAAGCCATCCGCGTGCCGTTTCGGCTCGTCGCCGACGTCCCATCCCCAGTGCTTGAGCTCCTTCATGCGCATGTCCGCCTTTTGCGCGTCCATCTGTTCCTTCAGCTCGCCCAGATACTTTTGCCTCGCCTCGTCGCTGAACATCCCCATCTTCTCCGCGGGTCGGTTCTCGAAGAACGCGAGACCGGTGGACATCAGCCCTTGCTTGTTCAGGCCCGTCTTATCCGGATACATGTTTCGCGTGGGCCTGATGTGATTCGGCTTCTCCGTCGGGTAATTGTTCACCGGCGGCTCGTTGTACTCGACGCCGTAGGGCAACTGCGTGGACTCGTTCCTCGACGGGTTGCGGCTCGGGTGCTCCCAGCCGTTGCCGAAGTACCCGGGCGGGGGCACGCCGTTCATCTTCGGGTCCTTCGCGTACGGCGCGTCGTTCACGAAGTCCACGAACGCTCGCGAGAAGGCGCCGGTTTTTCTTCGGCCTGGGATGATCACGTCGTCCACGTGCGACGGATCTTTGTCGTCTCGCGCCCACGGCGAGTCCGAGACGGGGCGCTCGTGCGGCTGGAGGTCCGGCATGCGGCTGCGAGAGGGAGGGAGCGGCGGGGAGGGATGGGGGACGGGGATGTCAGAGAGGCGCTTCGCGGAGGAGGGACGGCCGCGGCGGGAGGGGGGAGGAGGAGGATCGATCGCGCGCGAGAATTCATTCGCTGTTCCCCCTTCCTCGCGAAGCGACGGAATCGCGTTTCGTTTTTTTCCCCCGCGATCGCGCGACGACCGCGGCGGGGGGAAGACATCGCGGACGCGATGAGGATCGAATCACTCACACAGGGTCCTTCCATGCGGCCATGACCGGGTTCGGCTGCACGCCCTGCGGCGCGCACTCCCCGGTCCTGCGCTGGGAGTTGCCGTTGTAGTAGAGCCCCGACTTGGGATCCCACGATTTCGTCTGGTGTCCCGTCGCCCGCGGGCCGGACATCCCTTTGTAATCCACGCCGCTGGCCATGACGTGCGGCGGAGAGGCGTCGGTCGGCGGGGGGCGAGCGACGACGACGGCGCGGGGGGTGAGGTGAGGTGACTGCCGCGCGGGTGCGTTCGCGCGCGCGTGACTCTGACGCGCGCGTCGTGGAAGAAGAAGAGGACGTCGCTTCGACAGACTTTCGCGCGGCCTTGACCGCCAAATCGGGACGACGAGACTGAAGCGCATACGATTTCGTGCCGTTCGAGTACGTACTACGCGCCCGGCGCTTCCGGGCGTTGACAAGACCCCGACTTCCCCAACGTTGGATGCGGATGGACGCACTCGCAGATCGCGTCGCGCCTTCGCCGCGCGCGGCCTCGGCGCGATGGACGACCGCCCGTGCCGCCTCCGCGTCTCCACGTGGAACGTCGCGGCGGTGAACAACAACCCGTTCGAGTACCACGTCGCGCACGACGACCCCGCGTACGACGCGCTGATGGCCGCGGTCGAGGCGCTCGTGGAGTCGCCGGGCGAGCGCGACGTCCCCGTCGGCGTCGTGTTTCCGCACGACGCGATGTCGTCGCTGTGCGAGGCGATGCGAGGCGCCGGGTTCGACGCGAACGACGTGGACGCGACCGCGGCGTACTACCGCGATCGCATCGCGCCGCGGCTGATCGTGTCCGGGTTCCTGAGGGACGAGACGCTCGGCGCGAAGCGACTGTGCTCGATGCCCGACCGCGTCACGAACACGATCGCGCTCGCGAACGGCGATCGCGCGTGCCGCCCGTCCGTCGTCAACGGGTACGAGCCGCCGCTGCCGGACCTCGCGACGTGGTGGAACGCGTGGAGGGCGTTCATGTTCGACGTGACTCTGCCGCTCCTCGACGCGAAGACGGGGGAGACGCGCGCGACGACGCCGTGCCATCTCTTGCGGAAAATCACGCGCGCGAAGTATCCCGCGACGACGGAGACGGAGGAGCGGCTGTCGCTCCCGCTGCAGCTGACGTGCCTCGCGGTTTTCGACGCCGTGCTCGTGCACGTCGTGAATCAACTCGCGCCAGTGGCCACGTGGCACGGCGTCAAGACCGGGCTCGTTCGAGCGCTGCTTAGGGATAAGACGGCGCGCGCGTGCGAGATTTTGGCATCCCCCGAAGTCGCCGCGTCGTCCGCGGACGTCGTGTGCCTCCAGGAGGTTTCCGCGTCCATGGTGGCCGCGTTCAAAGCGCACGACGTCTTGAGCGCGAAATACCACGTGCTAACTCCGGAGGCGATGGACGGCGCGAGGGACCAGAACAGCGTCGTGCTGCTCGCGAAGGAACGGTTCGACGTCGACGCGGAGGAGTGGCGGGGCGAGGACACCGCGGCGGCGACGCGGCTTGCGATGGAGGCGCGCGACGCGCTCGCGCCCGGGGATCTGTTTGTCGTTCGATGCGTCGAGCGCCTCGACGAGGACGAGATGGACGCGATGGACGCGATGGACGGGGAGGGAGTGGGGGGGGCGCGTTTGAACGGCCGGCGGCGATTCGTCGTCGCGTCTTTCCACGGCGACACGAACGGACTCATGACGATCCCCGTCGTGGACGCGCTGGATAAGCTCATGATTCTCAAGGACGTGGACGAGGCCGCGGAGTGCGAGGGCGGGAAGCCGTGGCTCGCGCCGCCGCCGCCGCTTCTCATCGTGGGCCTGGACGCGAACACGTACGTCGATCACGTCCCGGGGAAAAGGCTAGGCGTCCGCGAGTTTAGCGATCACATCGCGAGGCGCGAGATGGCGACGTGCTGGGGCGTGTGCGACCCGCGCGTGCACACGACGTTCAACGCGCGGACGTACCTTCAGCCGCAGCTGAACAAGGCGGTGCGGATGGCCGAGCGCGCGAGCAGCGACATGACGGACAAGAACCCCAAAGACCACATTTTATTCCGCGACCCCGCCTTGTTCGACCTCAACGAGGACACCGCCGGATACGGCACGGGCGAGGACCCACGGAAAGTGCTGTACGTCGGGCAGAAGCGCGGGCCGGGGTTCTCGTGCCGGTTCGTATCCCGGGATAACACCGGTCGCGGGAGGTTCGTGAGCGACGCGCCGTTTCCGACGATGTCGTTTCCGAGCGATCACGCCATCGTCACCGCGGAGCTGGAGATGAAGTGGCGGCGGGACGACGCGACGAACGACCGATGACGCGCGAAACGCGTACTGTAGTAGCTAGGGCCTATCGCATAAGTAGACTACAACTAGTAGAGCGATGCAGCGATGCCTTCGAAGGTAACGCGCGCGCTTCCGCGCGCCGGCCGCCGCGCCCGTTCACCGCTCGCCGCTCCGCGCCTCCGCCGAGCGCGCGTGGAGCCAAATCTTCGGCCGCTTCGTCACCCGCAACGGCAGCGGCCGCGCCGCGAGGTCGATCACGAGACCGCCGAACCCCTCGATCGCGTCCAACACCTCGAACCCGTCGACGCGATCTGCGCCCGAGACGAGGTAATCGAACCCCGAGCGGTCGACGTCGTCGCCCTCGTCTTTGCGGTAGCTCCACCCGCGTCCTTCTCTGAGGGTCGAGGGTCCATACGAGCGAACGTCGGGGTGGAGTTCAAAGGCGTCAGAAGCGGAGTTGAAAGGCGTCGAGGTGTGTCGGGATTGAAAGCGAGGGACCCTGGGCGGAGAGAAACATACGCCGGGCAAAGTCCTTGAGGATCGGCGTTCACCACGCGAACGCGGTCGTATGGGAACCAGTGTGAAGAAGAACGCGCCTGACTTGTCCGAACCGAGACGCGCCCGTCGTCGCCGCATCGGCGTCGACGTGCACCGTCCCCGGCACGTCGGCGCGGAGCGCGTGTAATCGCGCCAGCGCGACGCCGCCCGGGTAGTTACACCTCGCCGCGAGCGCGAACGCGACGTGCGCGGCGACGCCGAGGCACCACGCGAGGACGACGACCGCGGCGAAGAGCGCCCAGATGAGCTCCGCGACGCCCGCGCGTTTGTACTTTCCGCCGCGCTTCGTCCGCGTCTTCTTCTTCGCGCGGCGCGACAGTAACATCCCGAGGACGCACCGCGTGATCTTCGCGCGGCGGGTCCACGCCCTGCCTACCGCGGCGGCCGCGCACGCGGTGAACAGCGGCAGCGTCGGGAACACGAATCGCAGCTCTTTATGCGGGAGACGCGAGATGACGACGACGTAAAAAAGTCCAATCGCGAGCGCCGCGCGAACGCGACGTTCCAACGCGGCGCCGACGAGCGACAGCGGATACGACACCGTGAGCGCGCGAGGAAGCGCGGAGGTGAAGTACCAGTGCCACGGAGAGACGCCCCATTCGGAGCTCTTGTTGAGGACGGTATTGAAAAACGCGACGCGTCCCTCCGGCCACAGGACGCCAGTCGCGCCCGGCCAATGCGTCGTCGACGGCGCGATGGAACGCGTCGCGTCCTCTGGCGGGCGCCACATGATCGTGTCCAGCGCCACGGTCACCGCGAGGCACGCGAGGACGCACCGCGCGCCCCACCACGCCGCGTCCGCGATCGCGATCGCGCGCGTCCACAGCAGGTGCGTCGCGACCGGGACGAGAAGGAGGGCGACGTCGCATCGGAACAACACGACGGCGGCGACGAGGAGGAGGACGCAACGCCGCGCCCTCGCGTCGTCGTCGCGAGCAGCCAGTCCGCCATCGCGGTCGCCGGTCGCGAGCAGCCAGTCCGCCATCGCGTGCGTCGCGAGGATCAGCGCGAAGACGTTCGGCAGCGTCCGAGACGCGTAGAACGTCTGGTGAAACGACGTCGCCGTGAGGAGCGCGAACGCGACGGACGCGGGCGCGCCGATTCGAGACGCGAGCGCGAATCGAAATCGCGCGATCGCGAGCGCGGTGCACGCGCCCAGGGCCAGCCGCGCGACGATCTGCATCGCGACCGCGTCGCCGTCGAGGCTACCGATCGAGTCGCTCCGTTCGATCAGCCACTTGATCGGGGCGACGAGTCCCGCGAGGACGACCGCGCCGGCGAACGTCCTCGGGACGACGCCCGGGAAGTCGTGGTGATCGTACCGCCCCAGGTTACGGCCGTGGTACAGGACGTCGTGCGTGGCCTGGAGGTTGAAGCTCTCCTCGACCTTGGCGTACGGCGCGAGCGCGACGTGGAGGGCGATGACGAGGAGGACGAGAACGTCCGGCGCCCACGAGAGGACGCGCGCCATGGTGGGTGGCCGCGGGTTGGCGCGTCCGCTTCTGACGAGATGGTCAGGAGATGGTCTCTCATCTCAGAAGACGGCACCTCGGACCGAACGACGCGGAGTTTCGAGATCTCGCGGCGTGATAATCCGATCGCCGCTCGTCACAGGACGACGCGCGCCATGGCGGACCCGGACGCGGCGCTCGCGAACATGGAGAACCTCATGCGGCGGTACGAGGAGATGCGCGCGACGGGGAAGATCGACGGCGGCGACTCCGACGACGACGGCAGCGACGCGGAGGGCGACGTCCCCGACGATTTCGACGAGGGCGGCGGGTGGATCGACGACGGATCCGACGACGGATCCGACGACGACGACGACCTCGACGTCGACGACGCGCGAGAGGACCGCGAGCTCACGCCCGAGGAGGCGAAGCGCGAGTTCCTCGTCAGCGAGTGCGTGCGCATGCTCAGCAGCGGCGCGCGCGAGAAGAAGTTCGTCGGCATGCTCCTCGCGACCAAGATCGGCGACGCGGACGCGCGCGCGCTCGAACGCGTCGCGCGCGCGAAATCCTTCTCGCCGTTCCTCACGTCGATGCTCCGCGCCGCGCCCGCGCCGGTGACCGCGGAGGACCTCGCCGGGGACGACGACGACGACGCGACGACGACGACGACGATGAAGCGCGAAACCATCGAGAGGGAACGCGAGGAGCGCGCGCGGTCGTCGCACGCGCTGTCGCTCGCCGTGTGCGCGGCGCTGTGCCGATCGCCGCGCGTCGCCGCGAGGGACGACATGCTCGAGCGGCTGCCGCTGTTCATAAACGCGATGATGCGCCGGGGGAGGTACGCGTCGATCTCGCCCGCGGGCGTCCACGACGCGTGCGAGGCGGTCACGGCGATCGTGAGCTCGGGGAAGGAGGACGCGGAGGCGATCGCTGCGGAGGGGGGGGCGCTCGTCGCGTGTTCGATCGCGATTCGCGACGCCGCCGCGGAAACGCGCGGGGACGGGGACGGGGACGGGGATGGAAACGGGGACGAAAACGGCGGGAATCCAGACGCCGACGCGCGGTTCCACCCGCTGCTTCCCGCGATGACGCTCCTCGCGCGGCTGTTAGAGATCCCCGCGATCGCCGCCGAGATCGAGGTCCCCGGCGGCGTCGGCGGCGGCGGCGTCGACGAGAAGAATCAGTCGCGATCGCGCGAGGCGCGCGCCGTGGCGCAGGCGACGCCCGCGCTCGCCGCCGTCGTCGCGTCCCGCCCAGGGACGCCGCTCGCGATCGAGGCGCTGCGATGCCTCGCGATGATTCTTTCCACGCTCCCGGCGCGCGCGGCCGCGGGGCCGTCCGGGGGAGGGTTGCTATCGTTCGAGCTGAGAAGAGTCGCGAGGAAGTCCGGCGGCGGCGAAAGAGACGGAAACCAAATGCTCGACGACCTCCGCGGCGGCGTCGCGTGCGTCCTGCGCTCCAAGTCGCCGCGGGAGATCCGCCTCCTCGCGCTCGACCTGTGCGCGGCGGCGACGTCGATCGCGGGCCCGCGGTGGCTCTGTCGCGACGACTTAGGCCGCGCGGCGGCGGCCGCGGGACGGCAGCCCCGGACGGTGCCGTTTTACCGGCTGGCGTTGGAACTGACGCGCGTGGAACTCGCGGTGACGCTGCACGACCTGACGCGCGACGATCTCGAGCTCCGCCAGCGCGCGCGCGCGATGCTCTCCGTCCCGCTCGTGACGTTCGAGCGCCTCGTCGCCGCGCTCGCGATCGACGCGAGCGCGGAGGACGAAGATTTCGGGGGGGGCGGGGGGAAGTCGCTGATGTCCGCGGAGACGGCGCACGCGGCGGTGACGACGTTGGCGGACGCCGCGGGCGCGTTGATTGACTTTTTGGAGCTTTATGCGCATTCAGGCGCGTTCTCCTTACACTGGTCCCCATACGACCGCGTTCGCGTGGTGAACGCCGATCCTTAAGGACTTTTCCCGGCGCATCTCTCCGCCCACCCCTCGCTTTCAATCCCCGCCCTCGACGCCTTTCAACTCCACCTGACGCCTTTGAACGCCACCCCGACATTCGCTCGTATAGAACGCACCTCGGACGAAGGAAGCCGAATGATAGGTTCGAACGACGACGACGGCGACGACACCGCGGCGAGCGCGGGCGAGAGCGGCGCGTCGGACCCCGCGGTCGTCCTCGCGGTCCTGCGCGCGGCGTCGTCGTTCCTCGCGGAGTTGCCGGACGCGCACGAGCGGAGGGTGAACGCGTTGCTCCCCGCGCTTCTGCGCGGCGGCGGAAAAGGAAAAGGAAAAGGATTCGGAGACGACGACGACGATGGCGCGACTGTTACGACGGAAGCGACGCGGTCGCTGTCCGTGCGTTTCCTACTCCCGTACCTGCTTCAAGCGACGGAGACGCCCGCGGGGTTGGACGCGTTCGCCGCCGCGGACGGCGCGAACGCGATCGCTTTCCTCGTCGAACGCGCGTGCGCCGACGACGACGACGCCGACGCCGTCGGCGTCCTGAGCGCGTGCGTGGCGACGTTTAGGAACGTCATGGAGGGCGCGGCGACCGGGCAAATCGGCGAGGACGTCGCGGAAGACGTCGCGGTCGCCTTCGGCGGCGTGCGCGCGCGCCTGAGCGCGTGGGCGAAGAAGCGCGCGGCGGCGGCGACGACGACGACGAAGCCGAAGCGCGCGACGGAGGAGGAGGAGGAGGAGGACGATTTCGTTCGCGCGGCGTCGGCGCTCGACGACGGCGTCGCCGGCGCGGTCGCGGTCGGCACCGGCAGCGGGTGGCGCGAGACGCACGATCTGCTCGAGCGGTTGGTGCCGAGCTCGGAGATGGCCGACGTCAGCGCGCTCGTCGCGGGCGGAGTGAAGAAGATCCAGACCGACGGCGACGGCGACGGCGGCGGCGGCGGCGGCGATTCGGAGGACTGGCCGTCGGACGAGGAAGTGTACGACGGCATCAGCGACGCGACGAGGGAGTACATCGCGCTCAGGGAGGAGCTCAACGCGAAATAAATAGCGATCGATCGATTTATTGCATCTTACTCTAGCGATCTAGCTCGAAGACGAAGACGCGAGCGGCGGCGTGCTGCGGCGTGCTGTCGTTACGAACGCGTCGAGTCGCGCGTCATCCATCAGTCCTCGACGATGGGTTGAAAGTTGCGATACGCGACCACCGCGTAGAAGGGATCGGACGCGCTCCTCTTCACGAACCGTCTCAACTTCCCCACGATGGAATCGTCCGGGGTCACTCCCACCTCCGTGATCACCTCCGCGCGCGTGAACCCCTCCACGCAGTCGAAGTACTGTTTCACCAACCCAGCGCGGCTGTACCCGCTCCCGTCTCTCCACGCCCGGATCGCCTTCTCGTAAAACTGCCGGTTACTGAACGACACGATGAAGACGCCGCCGGGCTTCAAGACGCGGTACACCTCCGCGAACACCTCCTCCGGGCGCTGCAAGTACTGCACGGAGACGCAGCACAGGACCGCGTCGAAGGAGTTATCCTTCGCCGCGAACCCGGGGCTCTCGTTCAGGTTCCTCACGAAGAACCGATCGAGTCGCGGGTTCTTCGACAGCTCCTCGATATTCATCCCGTGCCCCACCACCTCCTCGTACGAAACCTCCTCCGGCAGGTGCGACACCCAGCTGCTGCACATGTCGAGCACGCGCGCGCCCGTAGGAACGCGCTCGCGGTACAGCTGCGTGAGCTGCGCGAGGAACTCGTCGTCCACGTGCGTCACGAGCCGCTGAAGCGCGTACCAGTTGGCGTCGTCCACCGTGACGATCTTCGTGCGCTCCTCTCGCGACAGCACCTCGCGACGGATGGCGCCCCCGGCGGCTCGCGTGACGACGACGACGGCGCGTCCGAGGGGGCGGCGCGAGGAGGAGGAGGAGGAGGAGGCGGCGCGCGGACGCGACGGGAGGACGGTCGGGACGAGCGCGGCGGCGGACATCGCGGCGCGCGTGTCGCGTCGTGCGGTCGAGAGTGACGTGTCGTGTCCACGCGTGTCCGCCTCGAGCGTTCGCACGTTTTGGCACGACGGCGTCGAAGGAAAGACGCGGTCGGTCGTTTCCGACGGCGCTGCGTCTCTCGTCGTGAGGGTGCTGTGTTTTTACATGCATGTACAAGAGACGACGACGGTGACGTTTCATCATCGTCTATCTCCAAATCATCCCCGCGCGCAGCGACACCGGCGCCGGCCCGGTGACGTCGTAAACGCTCCCCACCGTCACCGGCAGCGACTTGACGCCGCCGCCCGCGGGCTTAAACCCGACGCCGCACTTGAGCCTGTCCGCTCGGATCTTCTCCCGCCGCGCCTTATCCTTCAGGTCCCACGGGTCCGGAACGTACTCCTGGATCTCCGGCCCGCCGCGCCCGCCTTTACTCGCGGGCTTGAACGGCTTGGGGCGGTCGACGTCGTCGACGACGACCCTCTTCGGGTCGTTCCATACAAAGCGAAGTCGGGGTGGAGTTGAAAGGCGTCAGTTGGCGTTGAAAGGCGTCGATGACGGGGATTGAAACCGAGGGGTGAGCGGAGAGACGCGCCGGGCAAAGTCCTTAAGGAATGGCGTTCACCACGCCAACGCGGTCGTATGGGGACCGGTGTATAGAACGCGCCTTCTTCTCCGGCTCGGCGTGATCGCCCGGCTCGTACGCGTAAATGTTCTCGTCGAACAACCCCGAGCAGTTGTTCCCGATCTGCGCGGTCCGCCCCTTGAACGGCTTCTCGATCTTCTCCCTCGCCTTCTCCTTCGCGTCTCGATCGAGCTCCCTCGCGGGCTGGTATTCGTCCGGCATGGACTCAAACGCCGGCGCGATGGTGATCTTCGGCGTGCCGACGCACCCTCGCTTGCTCGGCGCGGTCTTCACGCCGCGGTCGCGCAGGTACTGCGGCGTGCCCTTGACCGCCTTGGGCGGCTTCGGCTCGGGCCGCTCGCCGTCCGGGAGGTACTCGTGGTGCTCGATCGGCATCTCGAGCGCGGGCGGGAACCAGCCTTTGCCCGTGCGCTTTTTCTCCTGCGCGAGCGCGTGCTCGCGCTCGTGCTTTCCCGGATCCACGTACGGCTCGCCCTCGCTCAGGCGCAGGAGCGTCTTCTCGATGAGGCCCTCCGGGTTCGTGGGGTAGTTCATCCCGCCGGTCATCTGCGTGCCGTTCCATCGGTCCGGGCGCTCTGCCGCGAGGTGGGGCGGGGGGGGGAGGGGTTGGGATCGATCGCGCGTTCAGCGAGGGGACGGGGCGATCGGTCGATCGGAATAATCGTGGAACGCGCGCGAGGATTCATCGTTCGGGGCGGGCGCGCACCTCCGGAGACGTCCACGTACTCCGCGCCGACTTCGATGCTTCCGGGGTACGAGAAAACCCCGAGCTTCTCCTGGTGCGGATTCCTGTACGCGGGCACGCCCTTCGGGCCCTTCGGGGGGGGCATCGCGCGTGCGGACCGCGCGACCGCGAGTGGCGATTATCATCTCTCGCGGCTTTTGCCCGCCAAATTTGGCACTGCTTCAGTTCGTCGCGTGTCGGAGATTTCGCCGAGCGCGGTCGCGTCGAGTCGCGTTCGGCGTATCACATCGCGCGTTCGTCGCGTCGTTCGTCGTTTAAAGCTACGGACGAGTCGCGTCGTCGTCGCGCGTTCATCGTTTCCCCTTCTTCCCCTTCTTTCCCTTCTTCCCCGGCGATGCCGCGCTCTCGACCGCGGGCGCGGCGGCGGCGGCGGCGGCGGCGGCGGCGACCGCGGCGACCGCGGCGACCGCGGGCTCCGCCGCCGCCGCCGCGGGCGCCTCCTCCGCGCGCGCCTCCGCGGCGACCGCGGCGGCTTCCTCGGCGACGACCTCCTCGAACGCGGCGAGCGCTTCCTCTAAGATGGCGTCCTCCATCTCGAGATCAAAATCCTCCTCCTCCTCCTCCGCCGCCGCCGCCGCCGCCGCCTCCGCCTCCGCCGCCGCGACCGCGTCTCGCTCGTCGACCGCCGCGTCCTCCTCCTCCTCCTCCTCCTCCACCTCCACCGCCGCCGCGGTCGTCTCCTCGACGTCCTCCCTCGCCGCCGCCGCCGCCCCGGTCCCCTCGCGCGGCGGGTCCGGGTCCGGATCCCTCCCCAGCGCGCCCCCCGGGGAGTACATCGCCTCCGCCGTCTTCGCCATGTCCGAGTACGCCAGCAGCTCCTGCAGCGAGATGGAGTTGAAAGGCGTCAGAAGCGGAGTTGAAAGGCGTCGAGGACGGGGATTGAAACCGAGGGGTGAGCGGAGAGATGCGCCGGGAAAAGTCCTTAAGGAACGGCGTTCACCACGCCAACGCGGTCGTATGGGAACCAGTGTGAGATAGAACGCGCCTGCAGCGAGACGCACTCTCGCTTCAACGCGTCGCACTCCCGCGCCAACGCGCTCTTCTCCCCGAGCAGCGACTCCGTCTGTCGCCGCATCTGCTCGTGGAGCGGGTCCCCGCCCTCGCCGCAGTGCGCGTTCGCGAGCAGCCGCTTGTTCAGCGAAAGGTTCTGTCGCTTCAGCGACGCGTGCTCTTGGCGCAAGCCGTCGAGCTCTTTTCGCAGCGCCGCGTTGGCCGCGAGCGCGGCGTCGCGTTCCGCGCGCCACCCGCGCGCGACGGACGCGAAGCGCTCGAACTCGGCCGCGTCCTCGTCGCGCGCGCGGCTCTCTTTGTCTTTGGAGGACCCCGGCGATGCCGTGGGGCTCGTGCTGCCCCAGCCCCAGTCGTCGTCGTCGTCCGCCGGTTTCGTTTTCTTCGCGCCGCCGCCGCCGCCGCAGCGCGCGGGGGACGGTTTTCCGCGAACGCGGTTCCCGTCGACGCGTCGCAGCGGCGAGCGGTAGACGCGCAGACCGCCGCCGCTCGGGGATGCCCCGCCGCCGCCGCCGCCGAGGCGCGACCCGCGCGACTTTCGCGGCGGCGTGACGTTCTCGACATCGAACGCGTCGGGTTCGTACCCGAAGCCCCGCCGCGCGGCTCTGGCGCCGCCGCCGCCGCCGCCGCCGCCGCGTCGCGGACTCGCCCCCGGCTGGCCCTTCGAAGCCGCCAGCGCGGCGTCCGCGTTCTCGATCCCCTTCTTCATCGCCGCCGCGGTGCTCTCGATCGCGGTGCCCAACGTCTTATCCAGCGCGTTGCCCAAGAACATGACGGTCCGACCGAGGCCGGTGAACGCGTCCGAGGCGCCGGCGACGACGCCGTCGATGGCGTCGGAGAGGTCGTCCCCCGGCGCCGTCTTGGCGCGCGTCCCGCGGCCGCCGGAGGCGGAGGAGGAGGAGGACGACGACGCGAGGCGATCGAGCGCGCTCGCAGCGCTGCGGTGCGACCCCGCGCGCGCGACGCCGCCGCGCGATGGAAGAAGCGCGCTCGCCGCGGTGGACGCGTTGTTCGAGGACGCCGACGCGAACGAGGACGAGAGGCTCCAATCGTCCCATTCCTGACGGAGGAGGAGGGGGAAACCGAAAAAAACGTCGTCAGTCGGCGCGCGAGTCGCGTCGCGGAGGACGGACGGCGGACGGCCGTCGACGAGGAGCGACGCGGCGACGCGGGCGGGGCGACGACGCACCGCCATGTCGGACTTCGGCGGTTCGAGGTGTTTCGCCGCGCGCGATGCCGGCGGCGGCGCCGCGCGAGCGATCCCTGAGGACGACGAGGAGGAGGAATGAGGAACCGTCGGAACCGTCAGTCGGGTTCGAGGAAGCGGTCGAGCGTCGGCACTACGCGAGACGAGCGAAAAACCGTCGCGGACGCACCCGCGGGCGGCGCGACGTGCGACGCGAGCTCCGGCGTCGGCGGCGTTCGCGCGGTGTCGTTCTTCATCGCGGCGGTCGTCGTCTGAGAGAGAAACGAGGAGGAGAACGTCAGCGTCGGCGTGCGTCGCGCGCGCGGCGGGCGGACGGACGGATCCCGTCGCTCGAGGGGTATTCATTCCGCATCTTCGCGACGCGACGAGCGCCGCGGAGAAGGGAAGGGACGGCGGGACGCGCGGCGCGCACCGTGCCCTCGGGCGTGGTCGGGCCGCCGTCGATGCCGTGCGCTGCGAGAGTCGAGAGGATGCGTCGCGTCAGCTCAGCGGTCGAGGGGGGAAGACGGCGACGAGAGGCGAGATGGACGCGCGCGGATCGGCGGTCGACGCACCGGCGTCCCCCTCGGCGGTGACGCGCGAGATCTGCGTCACGCCGAGCTTCCTCGCCTTGCCCGCGTTCAGAACGGGCGGGCGCTTGCGCATGAAGCTCGACGACATCGCGCGGGATTGACGATACGACGACGGACGCGCGTCGGGGAACGGCGTCTCGCGCGCGCGCCGAGTGACGCGCGAGGCGAGGCGCGGCGACGCGGAACACCCGACAGATGATGGTCGATGCGTTTTTCTCGTGACTCGTGTTCGCCGCTTCAAAATGGCTTCAATACCACACACGCAGCAGGTTATGGACCCGATACGTACAAACGCGTCCGCCGCGACTCGAACGACTCGACGCGTATCCTCTCGTTTTCATCGTGTTACAAACGCGCGGCGTGCGGACTACGACACTTCGCGCGCGATCGCGAAATCTCACGCCTTGACCGTCGCGCGCGCCTTCTCCTCCACCAGGAACTTCTGCAGTCCTTCCACCATGTCTTTGCTCCCGCAAAACATCGGCGACCGTTGATGGATGTGCTGCGGGACGACCTCCATGACTCTCTTGTCCGCCATCTCGCCCCACATCGCGAGCCCGCCCGCTTGCTCCGCCAAGAACCCCATGGGCGCCACCTCGTACAGCAGCCGCGCCTTGCCCTCCGGCGCGCTCGCGTCGGGCGGGTACAGCCAGATGCCGCCGTAGAGCAGCGTCCTGTGGAAGTCTCCGACCAGCGCGCCGATGTACCGGTACGAGTAGTTCTCCTCCTGAAGCTTGTCCACGTACTTACGCAGCTCCGGCGCCCACTTCTCGACGTTCCCCTGGTTCCCGGAGTAGATCTTCTGCCCCGGGTTGGGCAGCTTCACGTCGTCGTGCGAGAGGACGAAATCCCCCGTCGTCCAGTCCAGCGTGAACCCGTACACGCCGTGCCCCACCGAGATCATCGCCACGGTGCTGCTGCTGTACATGACGTACCCCGCGCACACGAGCTCCTCGCCGCTCTTGCGCGTGTTCACGAGGCACTTGTCCATCGCCTCCTCCGGGGTATCGTCGAGGCTGACCTCGCACTCGCCCGGGGAGTAGATGCCGAAGATGGAGCCCGTGGTGACCGCCGCGTCGATGTTGGAGGAGCCGTCGATGGGGTCGAACGTCACGATGTAATCGCCGCTGATGGCCTCGGACGCGACGGGGACGTCCTCTTCCTCCGTGACGACGATGGCGCTGCGCGCGGTGTCTTTGATGCACTCGCAGAAGATGTCGTTGCTGATGACGTCGAGTTTTTTCTGCTCGTCCCCGGACTCGTTGCTCGAGCCCGCCATGCCCGTGAGGCCGCGGATGGGCGCGGTCGCGACGAGGGAGGAGATCTTCTTGCACGCGACCGCGATGGAGTTGATGATGATGGAGAGGTCCACGTCCACGTTGTCTCTCGCTTGCTGCTTGAAGAGGAACGTCTCGAGGGTGTCCTTGCCGACCGTCAGCGCGAGCGGATCGGTCGATGGCTTGGACTTCGACGACGCCGCGGCGGCGACGCGGACGGACGCCGCGCGACGCGGCGCGCGAGACGCGCGGCGGGGCGCGAGCCCGGACGCGCGCCGCGCGAGGGAGGGGCGCGCGAGGACGGACGACGCGACGGACATCGCGGACATGGTCGTTCGCGCGGTGCGGGGAGTGGCGCGACGCGCGAGCGAGCGGTCGCGCCTTATCCAGAGATTCCTGTCGTCGATCGCGCCCGCCGGGCCCGGCCCGCGCGGCGATCGGCACCGCGCTCGCCTCGCGTTTTTTTCGAGTACGGTGACCTTATTACGTCGGTACTTCGAGGCGCTCTCTCTCCTCACGCGTCGAAGTCGGAGTCGTCGTCCTCATCCTCCTCCTCCATCTCGGACTCCGACTCGTCCTCCTCGTCCTCCTCGTCCGACTCCTCCAGCGCGCGCTTCCGCTTCGCCTCGGACGCGCTCGCGGAAGCCCTCCGCGGCGGTTTCTGTTTCGGGACGACGACGACGTCGTCGTCGTCCTCCTCCTCCTCCTCGCCCCCCCCCTCCTCCTCTTCGTCGTCGTCGTCTATCGATATCACTTCCTTCTTCTTCTCCGCCTTGGGTTTCTTCGCGGGAGGTTGGGCCTTCGTCGTCGCGTCGACGGACGCCCGCGACTTCGCCGCCGGCTTCGGTTTCGTCGGCTTCGCCGCGGCTTTGGCGAACACGGGCGCGAACAGCTGCGCCGGCGCCGGTCCCCTCTCCGCGGCTTTCCCTCGGAACACCTGCGCCGCGTCGTCGTCGTCGTCGTCGTCGTCCATCTCGTCGTCGTCGTCGTACGTGTACTTCATCGCCTTCGCGGACTCGCGCTGGGGTCGCGCGGACGCCCTCCGTCCGCCGCCGCCCCCGCCGTCGTCCTCGTCCTCGTCCTCGTCCTCGTCCTCGTCGTCGACGACGATCGCGTGCGTGTTCGCCGCCTTCGCCGGGGACTTCCCATCCCCCGCCGCCGCCGCCGAGCGCATGGCGGCCGCGGCGGCGCCGCCGTCGTCCTCGACGACGCTCAGCATCGGCTTCGCGCCTTCCTCCGCGGCGACGGAGCCCGCGAAAAAATCCACGACGGACGGGTCCGTCTTCGGCTTCGGGTTCGCCGCCTCGGCTCTCTCGCGCTCCTCCAGCGCCTTCGCGATGACCGGATCCAGCGGCGACGCCCCCGGCTTGACGCTCGCGTCTGCCGCCGCGTCGGTCCGCGACGGTTCGGCTTCCGCGGCCTCCTGGACGTGCTTCAGGCTCTCCGGGAACGGCAGCGGCTCCTCGCCCGGGTTCTCCTCCGCGGTGCCCACCCACGAGAACCGCGAGAAGATGATCACGCTGTCGAACCAATCCTCCAGGTTCATCCTGTCCTTGCTCTTGACGTTCAGGGTGAAGTATCGCGTCGTCCGCGATCGAACGATCGTCCCCTGCAGTTTCAGCCGCCCGAGGCCCGCGTACTCGACGTACAACACCGGGTTCTGCGAGTCCAGCTTGGCGAGCGAGCCGATCCGACCTTCCCTCAGCGCCGCGAGCTGACCGGGGAACACGGTCATGTACCGGTTCTTCCGCGTCGACGACTTCTTGTGGATGTCCTTGCAGTCGCTCCGGCGCAGGAGCTTGCTCGGGACGAGCTCGCGCACGGACGACGGGCGCGCGCGCGCGACCATCCGCGCGTCGAGGGCGTCGTCGAAGATCGCCCTCGAGAGCTTCGCCGCGGCGGCTTCCTCCGCCTCCGCGGCCTCGGCCGCCTTGTCTCGCTTCTTCGGCGGCATCGCGGGAGGGATGGAGACGCGGAGACGCGGAGACGCGCGCCGGGGTGATGGATCGACCCTGGTGCGCGTGCGCCTCGCGCGGCGATCGTTTGAATCTGAAAAGCTGCAAGCTGTTCGATCGCGTCGGTCGGGAAAAAAGTGACGTCCGTCCAGGTCATCGAAATGCCGACGAAAAGCGCACGCAGAGCCGCGCGCCGCCTCGCTCGCGTGCATGCACGCGTGGACGCGCGCGAGAGAAGCCGCGAACATGCTCACGTCCACCCTCGTCCGCGTCTCGACCGTCGCGGCGGCGCGTCTCGGCGCGACGCGCGCGTCGAATCCTTCGCACCGCGCGTCGAATCCTTGGCGGCGGGATCCGACGACGCGCGGCGCGTCTGATGACGCGCTTCTTCTCCGCTGGGACGCGCTTCGAGCGGCGGCGACGACGCCGTCGCCGCCGTCGCGACGCCGCGCGCGCGACGCGGCGTCCTCTCGCGGCGTGGCCACCGCCGCGGCCGGCCGCGGCGGCGGCGGCGGCGGCGGCGGCGGCAGAGGCGGACGAGGCGGCAGAGGCGGCGGCAGAGGCGGAGGAGGCGCGGCGACGGCGCGACCGGGACGCAAGGGCGTCGGCCCGCCCGCGCGCCGCGGCGGGAAGAACAAGCCGTCCTCCTCGGCGCGGCAGAAGCAGCCGTCGGGGCGGATGGTGCGAGAGAACCCGGAGGTGGCCGCGTTCGACGCGGACGTCGCCGCGCCTCCGAAGCGCGGAGGAGGCGACGCGGAGGAGATGCGACCGAACCCGATGGGCGCGCCGATATGCATCGACTTCAACGACGACGACGACTTCAGAGACGAGTACGAGGACGAGGCGGTGGAGGCGGAGGAGGAGGAGGAGACGCGGTACGAGGACATCACGCGCGTGGAGGTCGAGGGAGACGGCGACGGCGACGGCGACGGCGACGGCGGCGACTTTCTCTCCGCGCTCGACGCGCGCGGCGGGTCGTTCGAAGAGGACGACGAGACGCGAGGCGGCGAGTGGACCACGTTCGGCGCCGCGGGGGCCAGCTCCGAGGACGGCTCCGACTCGGAGTTCGACGACGACGACGAGCTGTACCTCACGGACGCGGACGACGCGCTGACGTTGTCCACGGCGCAGCAGGAGAAGGGCGCGAGCGTGAAGAGCGCGAAATACCTGCAGACGTGCGTGCGCGTCCAGGACTGCCCTCCGCCGAATTTCCCCGAGATCGCGGTGATCGGCCGCTCCAACGTCGGGAAGAGCTCGCTGGTGAACCTCCTCACCGGCCGCAAGGACGTCGCGAAGACGTCCAAGAACCCCGGGAAGACGCAGACGATCAACCACTTCGAGATGATCACGGGGGACGGGAAGTGGTACCTCGTGGACTTGCCGGGGTACGGATTCGCCAACGCGCCGGAGCGTTTACGGAAAAAGTGGGCGCTCTTCACGCGGGAGTACCTCCTGGAGCGCGAGAACTTGCTCGCGGTGATGCTGCTCATCGACAGCACGGTGGAGCCGCAGCGGTTAGATCTCGAGTGCCTCGAGTTTTTGGGCGAGAACGACATCCCGGTGAGCATCGTCTTCACGAAGGTGGACAAGAAGAGGAAGGTCAAGAGCGGGAAACGCGCCAAGCCCGAGGAAAACGTCGAGGCGTTTTGTCGCGAGGTGTCCGAGTACTGGGAGGAGATGCCGCCGATGATCTTCACGTCTTCGAAGACCGGGGACGGGAAGGCTGCGTTGCTGAATCACGTCGCGACGTTGCGACAGTTCTTCAAGGAGGGCGAGGGACGCGGGAAGTAGGCTCGGAGTCTTTTTTTCTTCGATGCGACGCGACGAGGCGTCGCGAGCGCTCGCGATGATATTAATTAAATATCTTCGTAATCATTTACACGGGCGGGCCATCATAGATACACTACTCGTCACCGATCCCCCACCCCACCCTCCGATCAGTTCGGCCGCTTATCGTACAGCGTGTTCTTGATCGGAATCGCGCACGGTCGGTAAAACGTCTTCTCGATGATCGGAACGCGCGCGTGCTCCGGCTTTCCGTGATGCGCCGTGTCGATGCCGTACCCGCACGCCATGCTACTCGTCTTCACCGCGCCGTAATCCCGTCCCCACGACGTCTGCGTCGGGTTGTTGCTGACCCTTCCTCCGATCATGCTGTTCGGCACCGCGGTCTGCCCCAAACCCTCGGGGTCTTCCGCGTCGTCCTCGAACACGAGGTCGTAGAAGAGCTTTTTCGGTCTCTTCGTCTCCGCGGGCGCCGCCGCCGCCGCGTCCTTCATCGACTCCTGCATCTCCCTGAACGCGCGCTCCGTCGCCGCCTGCGTGTGTTTGGCCTCCATCTTTAAAGCTTCGCGGTGCTGCGCGGTGCGAAAGTCGTACGAGAACTCGTCCCTCTTGGAGTAGTCGCTCGTGCCGAAGCCCTTCATTTTCTCCTTTTGCGTGTCGCCGTACTTGAGGCGGTCCTGGTACTTGACCCCTTCCATCAACCACGGGTGGGACTTGTCCAGGTACACGTCTGGGATCTGATGCGCGCGGGAGGGAGGGAGGGAATGATAATGGGGCGAGGAGCGATCGGTCAGAGGGAGGCGCGCGGCTCGGATCGGATTCGGTCGAGCGCGACGCGACGCGATCCGTCGTCGAGCCATTTCGGGCGAGAGGGCGACGCGCGCGTCGTTCTCTCCGCGCGAGGATTCGAGAAGCGCACCTTGGAGCCATAGAGACCCTTCTTCGCCGGGGGGCACACCGGCTGCGCGCCCGTGAAGCTCGACCGGACCGAGTCCTTGATCGGGTACGGCAGCGGTTTCTCCTGCGAGACGAGACGGGGGAGGACGGACGACGCGCGGGGTCAGTCGGCGGGCTGATGATTCACTCATTCGTGCGCGAACGTTCGTTCGTTGCTTAATTGGGGTTAGGCCGAGCGCGGGCGCGCGAGCCGGCGCGGTCGCGACGTCGCGCCGCGCACCTTCGTGCCGACATCGATGTACCCCGCGGAGGAGAACACCCCGAGGATGGCGTTCTCGTTGTTCGAGTTGTTGTTCATCGTGCCTCGCGCCTCGACGACTGCCCTCCGCGCGCGGCGACGGCCTCCGATTTACCTCCGTACTTCCCCTCGCTTCATTGGCGCGCGGCGTGGCGATGGCGTGGCTCGTCGCGACGCCAACTCATCAGCTCGGACGAGGCGGACGGTGAGTGCCTCCCGCGCCGTCGTCACGATGCACGACTACGACAGCGACAGCGACGAGCCGACGCGGCGGACGAAGCTCGGGACCGTCCTCAGCGTCGCCGCGGGGATCACGTTCGGCGCGCTCGCGATGAAGGTCCGCGCTCGCGCCCGGCGTCGACCGCGCGCTTCCTTCCGCGTTTGATGATTTAAATCCACGCGCTCACCGCCGTCTGATCGCTCACCGCACTTCTCCGTCCCCTCTCTCTCTCCTCTCGTCCGTCGTCGCGCGCGCTCTCACAGTACGTCAACAACGGCGGCGTGAAGCTCTCGATGCCGTCGATATCGCTCCCGAAGAAGACCGTGGAGGTGACGCTCCAGTCCGGGCAGACCATCGGCGAGCTCGTGTGTGAGTACACGGGCGAGTACACGGAGGAGAATTTGGCACTCACGCAGCGGCTGAACCGTGGGAAGCTGGAGGACTTGGACTTCGTGCAGCCGGGGACGAAGATTAAACTCGTCGACAACCGGAAGCCGAAGCTCGCGACCGCGGAGGCGGAGTGGTGGAAGAACAAGGAGAACGGCGGGAGCGTGGAGATGAAGAAGAAGAAGAAGAAGGGGGACGCCGCGGAGGCGGGGGCGGAGGGGGCGGGCGGGAAAAAGGACGACGCCGAAGCCGCCGGCGACGGCGAGAGCGAGAGCGAAGGCGCGAACGCGGACGGCGACGCGAAGGAAGGCGAGAAGGGCAAGCCCGCGAAGGTGTTCAAGCATAAGAAGCCGAAGAAAGAGGAGCCGCCGAAGCTCAAGGTGAAGAAGGACGGCGTGGACATGCTCGGCGAGGGGCGGTGACGACGAGGCGGGCGCGCACAGCTGTGCGTCTCGCGACTATCGGGTCAACGTGACATCATACCAGGGTGGGGTGCCGCGAAGCCCCCCGCGTCATCACAACACTCGTCGCGCCGCGTAGGGCCTATCGCGCGCGTCAACTGTCATCGCCGTCGCCGTCGCTGTCGTCGAACAACGTCAGCGCGTCCTCCTCCCCCGCGGGCTCGTCCTCCACGACGGATCCGCTCCGACGAATCCGCGCCAACACCGTCTCCGACAGCTCGCACCGCGGCGTCTCCACGCGCTCCACGCGCTTCCCGAGGACCGCGACGAAGACCGCGCGACGCCCGCGCGCGGGGTCGCCGTCCCCCACGACGCGCACCCTCAGCCCGACGCGCGTCTCGCGCGCGACGCGCTCGAGCAGACGAAGGCGGTCGGCGGCGGGGAAGGATATCGACGCGACGACGCCGACGCCGTCGGGACGGTTCGCCATTCGAACGCACTCCCGCAGCGTCGCGAGCTTGTCGTCGTCGCCGTGCAGCGCGTCGACGGTGCCCTTGTCGAGGACGACGACCGCGGCGCCGGTCGGGACCGTCGGCATCGAGCGCGCGTCCGCGACTTCGCACCGCGTCGCCGGCGCGGCGGCGGCGGAGGAGGAGGAGGAGGAGGAGGAGGAGGAGGAGGCGTATCGCTCGCGGAGGATCTCCACGATGCCCGGGTCGATGTCCGTCATGAGGACGTCGGTGAACGCGAACGCCTTGGCGAGGTCGTATCCGATGGAGCTGCCGCCGCAGCCGACGTCCACGACGAGCGAGCGCGACGGAGACGACGCGACGATGGGCGCGACGTACGGACGCAGGACGTCGACGGCGTCGTCGAACGCGCAGTGCCACTCGCGCGTTCGCGCCGACGGATCCTCAGCGTAGACGCGCGACCAGTGCCTCAGGTACGGGGACTCCTCGTTCGCCGCCGCGGGCGCCATCCTCGTCGAGCGTCGCGACGCGTGCGCGGCGACGAGGACGAGGACGACGCGCGCGGCGGCGGAGCGCGCGCGACACTGCTCCGAGACGCCCTCGCATCGTTTTCGTCAGAGTTGACGGCGCCGCGCGTACGCGTGGCGGGTTTTCCGCGCGCCGCTCGGCGAATTTTCCTCAGAATCAGAAGCGCGATCGCGATCGCCGCCGCACGCATCCCGCCGTCGCGATGGCGCGTCTCTTCCTCGATCAGGAGCCGCTCACGCAGTACAAAGACCGATCGTTCCAGGGTAGCATGGACGAGTACCTCGAGAAGCTTCGCACGTCCACGACGCTGTACGTCGGGAACGTCTCGTTCTTCACCACCGAGGAGCAGATCTGGGAGCTCTTCGCTAAAGTCGGCGTGCTTCGGATGATCGTGATGGGCCTGGACAAGAACGCGAAGACGCCGTGCGGGTTTTCTTTCGTGGAGTACCACAACAGGAAGGACGCGGAGAAGGCGGTGAAGTACCTCAACGGCACGAAGCTCGACGACCGCGAGATTCGGATCGACTTCGACTGGGGATTCGTCGAGGGGCGGCAATTCGGCCGCGGGAAGAGCGGCGGTCAGGTGCGAGACGAATTCCGGACGGACTACGACGCCGGCAGAGGGGGGTACGGGAAGTTGATCAAGACGGAGCTGGAGGCGCTCGCGGACGGCGACGGCGAGAAGGGCGCGGACGGCGAGGGGTACCGCGGCGGCGACGTCGTCGGAGGCGGCGACGCGCGCGCGGACGACGCGGGCGGCGGCGGTGCGACGGCGGCGGACGATAAGGTGGTCGTCGGCGCGAAGCGCGGGAGGGACGACGACGGCGACGCGAAGGAGAACCCGCGGTTCCGCGGGGACGGGAACGACTCGGACGAGGATTAGGCGATCGTAGCACCTCTTATCGTCGACTTCGCGGACGCGTCCCACAGTGCATTATTTTTCTCACGTCGTTCAGTGCGGCGCGCAGCGCGCTCTTCCGATTCCGCCGGTCGCGGTCGTCGCTGCGAATCGGCTCCGGAAAAACTTTTGCGGCGGCGCCCTCCTTCCCGTCGCGCCGTCTCGCGCCTCCGCGCACTTCTCGACGCGCGAGGACGCGAACCGACGAGCGTCGCGAGCTCGTGGTGGGACACCCGCGCGCGTCACCCCGCGCATCGCGCGCTCGCGTCGAGCGCGAAGGGGTGGCTTGGCGTCGGTCCAGCCGACCCGTAGTCTACTAGGGCATCGGCGCGGTCCGAGAGTTGTTAACGGCGGCGGACCGACCGACAACACCCCTCGGCGGTCGCCCGGATCGATCGCCATGGCGCCGCCCACCGCGCACGTGGACCTGCGCCAACCCGGGCTGATCACGAAGGAGATCACGTCCACGTCTTTCTCCTTCTACGACGCGGAGGAAGCGCGACGGATCAGCGTCAAGCGCATCTCGAACCCGGTCCTGTTCGACGCGCTGAGCAACCCGGTCGCGGACGGTCTCTACGACCCCGCGCTCGGGCCGATCGACCAGCGCGGGTCGTGCGCGACGTGCCGCCTCGGCGCGATGCACTGCCCCGGGCACTTCGGGCACATCGAGCTCGCGGTGCCGGTGTACAACCCGCTGACGTTCTCCGTCGTCGTTCGGCTGCTTCGATCGGCGTGCTTGCACTGCGGCAAATTCAAGCTCGCCGCGGACCGCGTCGCGGCGTATCGCGAGAAACTGCGGCTCATACGCGAGGGCGACCTCGAGGGCGCGGCGAATGTCGACGTCCACGGCGTGAGCAAGCAGACGCGCGCGGAACTGAACGAGATCCGCGAGATGGTGGGCGACCTGGGAACGATGGACACGACGCACGTGAGTCGCGTGATTCCCGTCGCGCATCAAGGCCGACGCAAGGACCGCGTGCGGTGGACGTCGCACGCGATGATGCTCTCGCGCGACCTCGTGAAGGAGTTCCTCGCGGCGACGCCGGGGAAGTGCGAGAACTGCGGCGTGTGCTCGCCCAAGGTGAGCCCGGAGGGGGCGAACAAAATTTACCGCGCCGCTTTGACGAAGAAACAGATCGAACACAACGCCGCGCTGACGCCGTCCGTGGACCTCGAGGAGGAGCTGCGGCGCGGGTTGAGCGGTCCCGACCGGGGCGACGACGACGCCGAGCCGCGCGAGGACGGCGAGGACCTCGCGGGGCAAGAGGTGGAGCCGGACGAGGGCGGAAGGATACGACGAAGGAGGCGGAGGAAAAAGAAGGACGCGACCGGACTCGAGTCGTCGGACGAGGACGACGACGAGGAGGAGGAGGAGGCTGACGACGACGACGACGACGACGACGTCAAGGACGAGGACTCGGACTCGAAGAAGCGCAAGGCGCCTTCTTCGGAGCCCGCCACTCCCGTCGCGAACGGCGCCGCGCCCGCGCCCGCGCCCGCGAAGAGGCAAGTCTTCATCACCCCGATCGAGGCGCGATCGATGCTCAAGAAACTCTGGGCTAACGAGTACGACTTCGTCTCCATGGTCTGGGTCGCGAACGCGCCGTCGTACGACGCGAAGACGTCCTCCCCCGCGTCGTCCGCCTTGGACAGCGCGGGGGCGTTGGCCGCCGCTTCCGCGTTGCCCGAGCGCAGGAGCGACCCGGCGCGGTTCTTCATGCAGACGGTGCTGGTCACGCCGTGCCGGTTTCGTCCGCCGTCGAAGATGAACGACATGATGTTCGAGCACCCGCAGAACACGCACCTGAACGCGATCATCCAGGCGAACCTGACGCTCGCGGAGCTGTTCCGGAAGCCGCCGACGGTCCCGGAGCCGCCGGAGGTGAGGGCGCAGCGCGCGGTGCGGGCGTGGCTGACGCTCCAAGGCGGCGTCAATCGGCTCGTGGACTCGAGCAAGGCGGAGGGAGGCGAAGCCGGCGGGATGGGCATACGTCAGCAGCTCGAGAAGAAACAAGGGTTGTTTCGCATGAACATGATGGGTAAGCGCGTGAATTACGCCGCGCGGTCGGTGATCATGCCGGATCCGTACCTGAAGACGTCGGAGATTGGCGTCCCGCCGGTGTTCGCCAAGAAGCTGACGTTTCCCGAGAACGTCACCGCGCACAACGTGGAACTGATGCGTCAGCTCGTCGAGAACGGGCCGGACATTCACCCGGGGGCGAACGCGATCGAGGACGAGCGAGGGCGGGTCATCCACCTCGATCGGTTCACCGCGGAGAAGAGAGCCGCGATCGCGAAGACGCTGCTCGCGACGCCGGCGACGACGACGGGGGAGGCGACGGCGGCGGCGGCGGGGATGTCGCTCGGGGGCGCCGCCGCGAAGGCGAAGACCCCCGCGTCTGTCGCGTCGAAAGGTAACAAAATCAAGTTCGAGGACGACGACGACGACGACGATGACGTGGACGCGAAGACCGCCGCCGCGAAGGCTGCGGTCGTGAAGGCGGCCACCGCGGCGCCGTCGCGGCCGCTCGCGAAGAAGGTGTTTCGACACTTGCGCGACGGCGACGTTCTGCTCGTGAACCGTCAGCCGACGCTTCACAAGCCGGGGATCATGGCGCACACCGCGAAAGTCCTCCCAGGTCAGCGGACGATACGCATGCACTACGCCAACTGCAGCACGTACAACGCGGACTTCGACGGCGACGAGATGAACCTCCACTTCCCGCAGGATCATCTCGCGAGAGCCGAGGCGTACGAAATCGTTCGCGCCGATCAGCAGTACACCGTCCCGACGGACGGGAAACCTCTTCGCGGCCTCATCCAGGACCACATCTGCGCCGGGGTTTTGATGACGTGTCGAGACACGTTCCTCGACAAGAGCGACTTCACGCAGCTGATGTACCTCGCGCTCGTGGACTTCGCCGGCGCGGAGACGGGCGGCGGCGCCGTCGTCGGAAAGAGCTTGAAACCGCCCGCGCCGGCGATTCGCAAGCCGCGCGCGCTGTGGACCGGGAAGCAGCTGTTCACGGCGGTGATCGAGCACATCACGCACGGCCGCGCGCCGATGACGGTGAGCCACGCCACGAAGGTGCCCGCGAACTACTGGGGCGGCGAAGACAGCGGCGAGGGGGTGCTCGTCGTGCGCAGAAATTACGTGTGCTCCGGCATCCTGGATAAGAACACGTTCGGCGCGCACGGCCTCGTGCACGCGGTCGCGGAGCTACACGGGAAGGTGCTCGCGGGCGACTTTATCTCCGTGCTGACGCGTCTCCTCACTGCGTTCTTACAGAGGCACGGGATGACGTGCGGGATGGACGATTTGATCCTCCATGAGGAGTCGGAGAGAGGCCGCGAGGAGGAGCTGCACAAGGCGACGGCGGCGTGCCGCGGCGCCGCCGCCGCGTTCGCGGAAGCGGACGTCAACGTCCCGGAGATGGCGCTCAGGAAGCAGATCGCCGCGCGTCTCAGCGAGCGCGAGGGCGCGGAGGCTGCGCTGGACATGCGAAGCAGCGGCGCGCTCGCCAAAGTCACGTCCGCGACGGTGAAGCGGTGTCTTCCCCACGGGACGAAGAAGCCGTTTCCTAAAAACTGCCTGTCGTTGATGACGCAATCCGGCGCGAAGGGAAGCATGGTGAACTTCTCGCAGATCGCCGCGTGCCTCGGCCAGCAGGAGCTGGAGGGAAGGCGCGTCCCCAGGATGATCAGCGGGAAGACGCTGCCGTGCTTCCCGCCGCACGACACCTCCGAGCGCGCTGGCGGATACGTCAGCGATCGATTCTTCAGCGGGTTGCGGCCGCAGGAGTATTACTTTCACTGCATGGCCGGACGCGAAGGGCTCGTGGACACCGCGGTGAAGACGTCGCGTTCCGGGTACCTGCAGCGCTGCCTCGTGAAGAACTTGGAGACGCTCAGAGTGCACTACGACCACACCGTGAGGGACTGCGACGGGAGCATCGTGCAGTTTCACTACGGCGACGACGCCGTGGACGTGACCAAAGGGGGGTACCTGGAGAAGTTTCAGTTCCTCGCGGACAACCCGGAGCTCCTGCGCGCGAACCTCGCGGCGGCGGAGAAGGACATCGCCGCGCTGCGCGTGATCGACGAGGCGGACGAGGACGAGGAGAAGGACGCGAGCGGGAAACACCCGGCGCTGCCGGTCATGTCTTCGCGTCCGCTTTCAAACGCGCTCGGGACGCTTCCGGAGCGATTCAAAGATAACCTCGACGCGTTCATTCAACGCGCGGACCCGGCCGTGTTCGCGAACGGCGGCGACATCATGGAGAAGAAACCGCCGCCGAAGGCGAAGGCGGCGAAGAAGAAGCCGACGAAGAAGGAGAAGGAGGCTGCGGAGGCGGAGGCGGCGGCGGCGGCGGCGAAACCCCCCGGGTTGCCCGCGCTGTCCGGCATGACGGCGGACGAGTTCAAACGCCTCATGAACCTGCGTTACCTCAGCGCGCTCGCGTCCCCCGGCGAAGCCGTCGGCTGCGTCGCCGCGCAGTCCGTCGGCGAACCGTCCACGCAGATGACCCTCAACACGTTCCACTTCGCGGGAAGAGGCGAAGCGAACGTCACGCTCGGCATCCCGCGTCTGCGCGAGCTGTTGATGGCGGCTTCGAAAAAACTCGCGACGCCGGTGATGACGCTGCCGCTGCGCGACGGCGCGAGGAACCGCGAAGACGCGACCGCGCTCGCGCGCCGTCTGCGCAAAGTCCGCCTCGCGGAGCTCGTCCGGAAGTTAAAGGTCGCGGAGCGGCCGTGCGCGCGGAGCCACGGCGGCTCGGGCGAGCTCGCGAGAGTGTACACGGTCACGGTGGAGCTGCGAGGGCCCGTCGAGGCGGACGCCGACGAGGGCAACGAGCACGTCGCGATGGAGACGGACGACGGGTCGGGCGACGACTCGGACAGCGACAGCGACAGCGAGAGCGGCGCCGACGCGACCGGGAAGCTGGACGACGGGAAGGTGACGTTCCGGCAGATGGCGAGGGCGTTCAAGCGCGACTTCGCGCGACGGCTGCACGGCGCGCTGAAGATGGAACTTCGCAAGCGCGCGGCGGCCAAGGTTGCGATTCAGTCGGGGAAGATGGAGGGCGCGGCGCGCGTCCAGGCTGTCGCGGACGACGCCGGAGCGGCGGACGACGGCGACGACGAGAAGAAGGTCGCGAGCGCGAAGCGGGCGTCGAACAAGCGCATTCTCGAGGAGGAGGAGGGCGAGAACGGCGAGGACTCGGACGAGGAGGACGAAGAGGAGGGTGCCAAGGCGGAGGATCGAAAAGACGCGCGCGGCGACGACGGCGAAGGGTTCTCGAAAGAAGAAGAGGTCGTCGAGGAAGAGAAGGCGTCCAAGGCGCACGACATGAAGGAGGAGGAGGAGGAGGAGGAGGGCAGCGACGGCAGCGACGACGACGACGACTCCGGGTCGGACGACACGGACACGGACGGCGAGGACCTCGGCGACTCCGACTCGGAGACGGAGAAGCGACCGCCCGCGAAGAAGAAAAAACCATCCTCCTCCTCCGCCGCGCCCGCCGCGAAGAATCCGAAGAAGGCGACCCACGGCGGCGGCGACCTCCTCGAAACTCTGGAGGACATCGTGGATGGCGTCGTCGTCGACCCGCGCGCGCGCACGTGCACGCTGACGGTGTCGCTTCGCCTCGGCGCGCCGCCGGTGCTCATCATGGAGGCGTGCGAGGCGGCGGCGGCGAACACGACGGTGCGTCACGTCCCCGGCATCGACAAGACGTTCGTGATCGGCAAAGACGCGTCGGAGGACCCGAACGGCCTCAGCCCGCTCATGGTGCAGACCGACGGCGTGAACTTCGCGGCGGCTTGGGCGAACGACGACCTCGTGGACTGCGCGAACGTCAAGACGAACGACGTGTACGCCATGATGCAAACGTACGGCGTGGAGGCGGCGCGGGAGACGCTCGTCGCGGAGGTGCGGGGCGTGTTCGGGGTGTACGGCATCGCCGTCGACGCGCGGCACCTGAGCTTGATTGGGGATTTCATGATGGCGCAGGGGGACTACCGGCCGTGCTCCAGGGCGGGGATGGAGACGAGCACGAGTCCGCTCTTGAAGATGTCGTTCGAGACGGCTGCGGCGTTTTTGGTGGACGCGACGATGCGAGGGCAGGAGGACACGCTCGAGTCGCCGAGCGCGCGGATCGTGTTGGGGCGGACCGTGGACATGGGGACGGGGACTTTCGGGCTGCGGTACGACATGAAACGCGCCGCGGAGCTGCGGGAGGAGATGAAGAAGAACGTCGGGGTGTTTTAACGACGAGACGAGGACGAGGACGAGGACGAGGACGAGGACTCGAAACGCAATTCGCTCACGATCACGTCTTCGCGCCCCACATCTCCACGTACTGCGTCGCCAAACTCTTCGACAGACTCGCGAGCGCCTCTTGGTCTGACCTCCCGGGGCGTTCGTCCCATAAGCGAGCCATTTTGTCGCAAATACTCTTGTGCGGCCACAGACCCAGTCTCCAGTCCATCTCTTGGCACTCCTTGCTGCAGTAGCACACCGACTTACAACGCGCGCATATCCTGAGGTTTTCGCTCTCCGCGCAACAGTTTCGACACCGGCGCATATGCTTCAACTCCTTGTTCGCGAGCGCGGCCACCTGAACTTGCTCGAAAACTTTCCGCAGTTCCTCCGGTGGATGATGCATATCAAACGAAGAAACAACGTCGGGGTGGTTCTCCATCCACGCAACTAGTTCCTCTTTGGTAGGCGTATTAACGTCCAGGCCGCTCGCCCGAAAGCGAATGAGCGCCACAAATTTCATCAACCCTTCCGCGTCGCCGTCGTTGTCGTACCCGAGTTCGATCGCTCGGAGCATGAGAAATAACCCGCGCATGTAGTTTATCTCGCAACCAAGTCCGCACGCGTACTTGATACCGAGGTACCAGAGCAAATAGTTGACTCCGTACACCACTCCGTGCACCGAGTCGAGTTTGAGATATTCATCCCGCTTTCCAGGTTCCCACGGCTTTCCTGTCGAAGGATCGCGCTCGAAACACCCGCGGAAGCACGCGCCGTTGCCGTAAGCCCTCTCGGCCCACTGGAACGCCTTCTTTTCGTTTCGAATACTGGCAAAGGAATCGTAGGCGATGGACAGGTCCATCATCGCTCTCACCACACCATTCTCTGCAGCGACGCGGCACGCATTTATTGCCCCCTCCTCTACTCTTTCCGTGGTGACCACGTCGGATCTTCCGAGAGTCTCCCACCACTGCCGCATTCGGGAACGTCAAGCGGGGACCGAGCGACGAAAGCGAGCGCGGGCGCGACCGATGCGATCCGCGCGCGACGTCCGCGCGAGCGCGGACAACGCGCGCGGAGGAGGAGTGGCGACGGCTCGACAGAAAAGCGATGTTTTCAGATTTTTTTTGGCAAAAAAAATGCGTGACGTGCGAACTCACAGACGACTCCGCGCCACCCGCTCGCCTCCTCCACCCGGATCCCTCAAATTCCACACCGCGCGCACTTCGTCGTCGTCGTACGCGTCCAAACACCCCTCGAACGCGGCCTCGTGCACCTCCCAGTCGTCCTGTCCCCCGCTCGCCTCCGCCGCCAGACGCAGCCGCCGCAGCGCGCGCGACGGAATCGAAAAATTGAGACGAGGAAAAACGTCGTCGCCGTCGCCGTCCTTCCCGCCCCTTCGCGCGTTGCTCGTGACGAGGCCGATGACGACGCCGTCTGCCGCGCGAACGACCGGGCCGCCAGACGCGCCGCTGTGCACCGCCGCGGACGTCGTCAGCATCACCGGCTCGCCGCCGACGCCGCGGCGGACGACCGCGGAGACCACTCCCGGAGACGCCGACGCCGCCGCCGACGCCGACGCCGACGCCGACACCGACGACCCGCCCGCCGCCGCCGCTCGCGGCCCCACGCGCGCGTGCCCTATCACCGCGCACGGCTCTCCGCGTCGGCACGCGTCGTCGTCGTCCGCGAACGTCGCCGCGCGCAGCCGCGTCTCGTCGCCCTCCGTCGTCGTCGCGGCGAGCACCGCGACGTCCAACGCGCCGGCGAAGACGAACGCGGGCGTCGCGTCGCGCCACCCGCCGCCGGCGCCGGGGACCAACACGCGCTGCGAGCGCACGCGCGGGCCGCGGCCGTCGCCGCCGGCGGCGCGCGCGGACGGGTGGACCACGTGCGCGTTCGTGAGGATCAGCGCGGGGTGCCCGCGCGCGCCGTCGCCGGCGGTGAGGACGATCCCGGACGCCCACGACGGATTCGACGCGTCGTCGTTTCCGTTTCCCGTCGAGAGAAGGACGACGGACGTCGACGCCGCGTCGTCGAGCGGCGTCCTCGGCGACGCGGACGTCGACGCGACCGCGATCGGGGGCGCGTCGTCTTCTTCATTCGTGGACGACGAAGATGACGACGATGACGACGCCATCGTCAGCATCGCGCGCTTGACGCAATCGATCGTCAGCGCCAAGGGCACGGCGTCGTCCTCTCCGCCGCCGCCGCCTCCTCTCGCCACGAGCGGCGGCGTCAGCATCCCGAGCACGCCGCCGCCGGCGTCCAAGACCACGCCGCCCTCGGTCCCGGGGAGCGCGCGGAGATCCAGCATCAGGATCGGCGGTGGTGCTGACGTGTCCGCCACGTGGCGTCCGACGGGTGTCCGACGCCGCCACGTCCGCGACACGGATCCTGTCGTCACCGCGTTCGCGAAGTGACTCGGCGCGAGGACGCCGAACGGGGAGCCGCACGATAGGATCGCGTCGCCGGCGCGCGGGAGCGGGGATTCGCGCGCGAACGCTCGGGATATCCCCGGGGACGGCGACGGCGAAGGAGGACCGGTCGCCGCGCGGAGAACGACGAACCCCGCGACGACGGCGCCGACGTCGAAGCCGCCGCCGCCGCCGCCGTCGCCGTTCCACGGCACCGCGCCTCCCGCGGTCCACCCGCGCTTCAGCGCGCCGAGGCCGTCGGCGCTCGCGAGCGCGTTCACCGCGTCGCGCGCGTCCGGGGGCACCGCGGACGCGACGACTCTCGCGGGGACCCACACACCCCCGGAGCCGCCGTCGTCGACGGTCGCCTCTCGCATCACGTGCACCTCCGCGTCGTCGACCAGTCCGAGTCCCGGGGCCCCGCCGCGGGCGTCGCGTCGGAGGAACGGGAGGAACAGCGCGAGAGGGGCGACGAGGAGCTCGCCGCCGCCGCCGTCGACGATCGACGACGGGAGCCGCATCGCGGACGCGGACACGGACGTCGTCGGCGCGCTCGCGTCGTCGCCGTCGCTGCCGTCGAGATCTCCGCAACGACAAAACGCCGCGCGTCGACCGACGGCGAGGTCGGGGTCCAGCGCGCGCACGCGCACGGTCGCGGTCAGCTCCGACGCGATCGTCGCGAGCTCGACGCCGGAGACGACGCGGTGACGGTGCGACGCCATCGCGCGGCCGGCCGGGCGGCGACAGCGGAGGCGGCGCGCGCGATGGAGTGTCGAGGCGAGTGCCCAGTGGTCCGAGATCGAGAGTTCTCAGACGCCGACCGCTGCTCAGGTGCGTTTTTCACCCATCCATTGGTTTCAACATTTGATCGCGTCTACTTTCAATTGACCGGTGAACTTTTTTGGCAATGAAGACAGGATCCCTCCTCACCCAATTTAGGGACCACTTCCGATCCGCGCGGGCACGGCGTCGACGCGCGCCTCCGCATCGCACCCCGCACGAAGCGCGGACTCGCGGGACTCGCGCGCCGCGTCGCGCCTCGACTCGCCGCGGGAACTCGCGCGCCGCGTCGTCCCTCGTGGGCCTCTCGACGCGAGGGTCGGAATCGCGGAAATCGGTCGACCCCCCTACAGGTAGCTCGCTCGCCGCTTTCGGAGCTCGTCGTCCGATCCGTCCGTCCGTCGTCGCGATGCCCGCCGCGTCGTCGCCGAAGCGCGGCCCCGGGTTCAAGAGCGACGCGTGCTCGAACGAGGTCGCGCGATGGTTCGACCAGCAGTCGCAGCTGTCGAAGGACGCGTCGAGGCACGCGGGCGCGCTGGACACGATGCGCGTCGGACGCCCGACGATGGCGCCCGGATCCTCCGCCGGACCGCTGGTCGTCGTCGAGCACAAGGCGACGTCGCTGGTGGACCTGCGCAAGCCGAAGCCGAAGCGCGAATCGACGCCGCCGGTCGTGAACGTCGCGCTGTCGTTCGGCGACGAGGGCCGCGTCGCGGCGTCGGTCACGCCCGCCGCGACGCGCGCGAAGCGCAAGCCCCCGGTGCCCCTATCGACGCGGCGGTCGCAGAATCATCCGATCCCGACGCAGGCGACGCCGATCGCGCCGACGTTCGCGTCCACGGTCGGCGCCGACGCGATGGGCGTGGACCCGGTCACGGGCGAGAAGATGAAGCCCGCGTACGGCGGGCTCAAGGGCGTGAAGACGGCGTATCAGGAGATCTTCAATGCGTTCGGCGACCCGAAGACGGCGGAGACGCTGAAGCCGGTGCTCGCGATGGCGAAGCCGGATGCGGTGGAGAACCAGTCGCACAAGAGCGAGTGGGCGGACATGGTGCGCGGGAACGAGGAGACGCAGAGGCACTGGCGCGAGAACGCGCTCAAGACGACGAACATCGCGCACGACGAGCCGGTCATCGCCGCGTTCGGGGAGGTGCCCGGGATCGCGGAGGACAAGGCGCGGCAACGCGAGCGACTCATGGAGAAAGTTTTGGGATCGCGTCTCTACTACGGCGACCTGCTCAACGACGACGCGGCGGCCGCGCTGGAGGAAACGCTGATGCACGCACCCCCGGAAGAGCGCGAGAAGATTCTGGAGACGCTGCGGGACGTCCACGCCGGGACCGCGGTCGCGCGAGGCAAGCGCGCGCCGCTGTCGCACGACCACTACAGAGTCGGGTACAACCCGCTCGCGGCGGCTGCGGAGGCGAAGCGTCGCGCGGAGGCGGCGGCGTGCGTGTCCTCGGGCCCCACGCGCGCGGAGCAGGCGCGACGCGCGCGACGGAAGGAGATCAAGCGCGCGGAGATGGAGGACAAGCAGAGGATGAAGGACGCGATGCGTGAAGAGGCGGCGGCGACGGCGGCGGCGAAGGCGAGGGGCGGCGTGTGCTGCGACCCGCGCAAGATGTCCTCGTCCAAGACGAAGGATCCGTCCGCGTCGCAGTTCGACCTCGGGCCGTACGGCAAGCAGAAGACGGAGACGACGACGTACCAGTCGCAGTGCGGCAACCTCAGCGCCATCCTAGACGAGATCAAGCGCCCGGACCCGGCGCTGAAGACTGCAGACAACCCGAAGACGCGGCTCACCCCGGCGGTCGGCGCGGTGCAGTGGCTGGGCGTCGAGGAGCCCCGCAGGGTGTACCCCGTGCCGTTGCACCACATCAGGCGCGCGCCCACGGAAGAGGAGGGGTTCAGGAGAGGGAACAGCACGATGCGGCAGTCGTACCAGCCGCGGAGTCGGAAGGACATGGCGGCGCAGGCCAAGTCGCAGAGGGCGACGGCGGCGGCGAGCAAGACGATGCGGAGCGCGTCGACGATTCCGCTCGGGCCGACGGGGCACATGGACCACCCGCGGCATCGGAAGCAGACGGGGTACGAGAGGGATTACTCGTGGAGGGGCGCCGGCGCGGCGGAGGACGCGGGCGCGGGCGCGGTGGTCGCGGCGAGTTTGTAGGTAGTCTCTTCTGATGGAAGAAGAGTTTGTCTGATTAAGTTTCACCTAACAAAAGTTCATCGGTCAGTTGAAAAGGGGCGCGATCAAATGTTGAAACCGAGGGATGGGTGAAATGTTTGTTAATAACGCATACGCGCCTCGGAATTTCTGTCCAGACGATAATTTGACATTCGACAGTCCATCACATCGCGCGCGCCCCCCGGGCGCCCTGCCGAAATGGCTCCGAACAACGCGCTCGCGGAGCTCAAGCGCTCGCGCAAGCTCCGTAAGAGCGCGACGCCCGCGAAGACGACGCCGCCTCCGGGCGCGACGACCGTGCTCGACGCGGGAACCGTCGAGGATCGAGGCGCGGGAATCTCGGTCGGCGACGCGTCGGGCGCGGCGAACGAGGCCGAGGTCGTCGCGCGCGAGATCGCGTCGTTCCTCCGCTCCGACGCGCGGCTCGGTCTCCGCAGCGAGATCCGCGCGTTCTTCACCGTGTGGACGTTCATCACGCGCCTGCCCGGGCCGACGTGGGTGGACCATCACCCCGGGTTCCTCATGTTAGGCGCGTTCTATACACTGGTCCCCATACGACCGCGTTCGCGTGGTGAACGCCGTTCCTTAATGACTTTTGCCGGCGTCTCTCTCCTCCCACTCCTCGCTTTCAATCCCCGCCCTCGACGCCTTTCAACTTTAACTGACGCCTTTCAACTCCACCCCGACATTCGCTTGTATGGAACGACCCTTAGGCACCGCGTACTTCCCGCTCGCGGGCGCGCTCGTCGGCGCGTGGGTCGCCGCCTTCTTCGACGCCGCCGTCGCCATCGGGCTCCCGCTCCCCGTCTCCGCCGCGTTCAGCACCGCGGCGTCGTTCTGGCTCACGGGATGCTTCCACGAGGACGGCCTCGCGGACGCGACAGACGGCATCGGCGGCGGGTGGAGCCGGAAACAGATCCTACGCATCATGACGGACACGCGACTGGGGACCTACGGCTGCGCGTCGCTGACGACGTACGTCATCGCGAAGGTGGCCCTCCTCGCCGCGTGCGGCGCGTCGTCGTACGGCTACGAGTACGACGGGGGGTCATCAAATCCGCTATCAGGGTCCCTGTCCCTAACCGGCGCGGGGCCGGCGTTGGTGCTCGGCCACGCGCTCGCGCGTTGGACCGCGCCGTATCTGATTCGCACGCGCGCGTACGTCGACGAGGGCGGCCCCAAGTACAAGTACTACTCGTTCATGCTCCGGGCGCGGTCGCTCGTGGGGTGGGCGCGGGTCGCGGTCGCGGGCGCGACGGCGCTCGCGGTCGCGGCGGCGGTCGTCGGGGTTCAGACGGCGTGCGTTTTGTTTTTGGTCGTGTGGACGTTCGCGGAGGCGGCGGGGAGGTACGGAGAGTATCTGCTCGGGGGCGTCATGGGGGACTACCTCGGCGCGACGATATGCATCGCGGAGCTGCTCGTGCTCGCGATGGTGGTGATGGTTCAAAACGCTCAGAACGCGGGCGTTTACGCGTCGATCGTTAAGGCTGGGGGGATACTGAAGTCGTTCGCGGAGGAGCGCGCGGCGGCGGCGGCGGCGGCGGCGGCGGCGCCGAAGAAGGGTTTATCGCGGCTGTTCAACCTCTTCGCTTCGAAACCGCCGCCGAGAGTGGCGGCGGCGACCGCGCGCGCGTTCCTTCGCGAGACGTTCGTGGACGGCGACAGCGGCGCGCGGTGGGCCGCGATCGCGAGGTTCGTCGCGCTGCTCCTGGCCACGTACGCGTGGTGCAAACGCGTCGGGCATCCGGACGTGTTCGTTCGCGCCAACGCGGTGGCGGCGGCGGATGCGGCCGAGGAGGAGGAGGAGGAGGACGACGATCTAGACGAGGAGACGGCGCTCACGGAATCCGAGGACGAGAGAGACGAGTTCTCGCGCGGGCGCTCGAGGACCGTCCGCGCGGCCGTCGCCGCCGCCGTGCCGGCCGCGTCGTCGGCGACGCCGTCGCCGTCGCGGTCGTCGTTCGGCGCCGGCGCCTTCGACGACGCGACGCGACAGTCGCTCGCGGGCCCGTTCGCCGCGTTGGAGCTGCACACGCCGCCGGTGCGCCGCGGCGTCGCCGCCGCGCTCGCGGCGGCCGCGGAGCACGCCAACGCCAACGCCAACGCCAACGCGACGCGCGTTACGACCGAGACGCAGACGCTGAACGAGCGCGAGTCCGCGGAGGTGGCGTGCGCGTCCCCGGTGGCGTCGTTTGAAAAACGCGCCGCCGCCGCGCGCGCCTACCTCGACGCGCTCGCGAAACCCGTCGGCTCGTTGGGCACTATCGAGGCGTGGGCGTCGAGGCTCGCGGCGCTTCAGCGCACGATGAACGTCAAGGTGGACGCGATCGCGTGCCTCATCTTCGCCGCGGATCACGGCACCGCGGCGTCGAGAGAGGAGGGCGGCGAGAGTTGCTCCGCGTATCCCCGATCCGTCACGCGGAGCGTCCTGGAAGGCATCGAGAAGGGCGTCGCCGGCGCGTGCGTCATCGCGCGGTGCAACGGTGTGTCGCTGCGCGTCGTCGACGTCGGCGTCGCGGGCGCCAACTTCCCGCGCGACGGACGCGTCGTGCGGGTGTCGAGCCGGAAGCTGATCGGCGGGACGGCGTGCTTCACGCGGCGACCGGCGATGCACTCGGAGACGGCGGACCGGCTCGTGCGCGTCGGCCGCGACGCGTTCATTCAGTACGTCCTCACGGAGACCAACGCCGACGCGGTGTGCCTCGGGGAGGTCGGCATCGGGAACACGACGGCGGCGTCCGCGCTGATCTGCGCGCTGACGGGGGCGTCGCCGCACGACGTGTGCCGCGGCGGCGCGCGCGCGGGGCGCGACCTCGACGAAGACGCCGTGCGGAATAAGATTGACGTCGTGGAGCGCGCGTTGCGGCTGCACGCGGCGTCGATGCGGACCGCGGGCGCCGCGCTCGCGAAGCTCGGCGGCGCGGAGATCGCCGCGCTCGTCGGCGCGATCCTCGAGGCGAGCGAGAGGGACGTCCCCGTCCTCGTCGACGGGTTCGTCGTCACCGCCGCGGCGCTCGTCGCCGCGGCCATCTCGCCGGCGGCGTGTCGCGTGATGTTTTTCGCGAGCAAGTCCGGGGACGAGACCGGGCAGGGCGCGGCGATGGCGAAGGTGCGGGCGATCGCGAGGGAGAACGGGATCGACATTCAGGAGGGGCCCGCGCTGTCCATGGGGTTGAGGATGGGGGAGGGGTCCGGCGCGATGCTCGCGGCGCCGATTTTGCGCTCCGCCGCCGAGGTTTTGAATCGGATGGGGACGATCAAAGAGTTGCTGTCGTCGGACGCGGGGGGCGGCGGGGGAGGGACGCCGAGGGAGAGCGAGCGCACGCCGACGTCGTCGTCGAACATGACGACGCAGACGCCGACGCGAGGGAAGCGATCGAAGTCGTTCTTAGCGTCGCTCGACGACACGACGTCGTCCTCCGACGGCGAGGAGGAGGAGGAGGACGACGATGACGACGACGACGACGACCGCGGGCTGGCGAGCGAAAAGTCCGTGGAGTACGAGCAAGTCATGCGCGCGCTCAGTCCCTGAGTTCAGTGCGATTTATATTATTATAAGACCCGAAAGTACAACTTAAGGTTCACGGTATCGGCTCGTCCCTCACGACGTCTTGCAAGTCTCTTTGTGCGACGGCCAGTCCGCGCGCTGACACTCCTTCCCGCAGTAATACGTTTTTCGACACCCCCCGCACGCTCTCCACGAGACGTCTCGCGCGTCGCACCGACCGCACGTGCGCACTTTCGCGCCTGTCTTCGCGTCCGCGTTTGCGTTTTTTTCGTTTTCTTTGCCATCCGCCGAGCCGCCGGCGCCGCGCGTCTTCTTCGGCTTCGCCTTAAGCTGGTCGGGTCTCGCGTTCGAATTCGAGTCTCGCCTCGTCGCTCGCTGCGCAACCTCCGGCGTCTTGAAAGGAAAACATATGCTGCTCGAACCAATGGCGGCAGTGTACTCGTCGGCGGGCAGCGTGAACTTCATCTCGAGGTGGTCGATCGTCGAGCAGAAGCATCCGACTTGCTCTCACACCCGCTTGCACGTGGAGCGATGCGTGCGAAGGGCAGCCTTCAGGCACGCGACGCCGCAGAAGGCCTCGCCGCACATCGCGCACTCGGAGAAGCACGGCGTCTTGCACTTGTCGCACGGTCGTTTCATCACCGGTCCGTCCGGCATCGAGAAGTCCATGCCGTTCGCGATGATGTCGTTCGAGTATCGCTTCACGAACGACTCCTTGGTGTGCGTCGCGTCCATGTCTGCTGCGCCGACGCTGGATGCGACGAGCCCGGCCCACCCCGCCGTCCTCGCGCACGCTTCGTTCCACTCGCGCGTCGTCGCGCGCTTCTCGCCGAGCGTCACGGAAAGCGCCGCCGCGTTCGCGTTGAACGCCGACCACCGTTGGTCGAGTCGCTTCTGATTCGCGGCGTCCGCGCGAAAGAGGCGCGCCATTTGCGAGATCCCGGGGACGGCTTCGTCGGACTTTCGCAAGACGTCAGCGTAGACGTCGTCGTCGCGGATCCATCGCGGCGAGTGAGGCCACAGCGGAGGGACCCCGCCGAACGCTTTCAGCGCGTCGCCGTAATTCTCCTCCATGTCCACGGCGAGGGCGGCTCGGACGGAGTGACCGTCGCGATCGCTCGAATGATCTGAACGGCTTCCTCGGACCTGTCGACGAATAAACTAACGACAGAAATTTCGAACGACCGTCGGTCCGCGCGCGGCTGGGGGCTTCCCTCGACCGTCGCGCGCGCGTAGACGAGCGATGACTTCACGTACGCAGACCTACGGTATAATAAGATAGCTAAATCTACGTGATGAATAAGGTAAATCACGCGCGGCGCCGCGACCGGCGTCACTCCGCGACGGCGACGGCGATCCCCCCCCTCTCGCCGCCGCCGCCGCCGCCGCCGTCGTCCGACGCGTCCAGCATCTCGCGGAATAACGCGCTCCGCCGCCGTCTTCGATGCGCGCCGAGCGCGACCGCGTGCGACTCGTCCCTCACGAGCCGCAGCAGCACCATCCCCGGGTCGAGGTTCTGCTTCGCTCCGGCGACGTCCTCCGCGGCGCCCGCGCGCACGCGCACGGCGGCGAACCCGTCGCCGTTCTCCCCGGCGGCGGCGGGGACGTACACGGACTCTTCGCCGCTGAGACGACCCTTGGACAACGACGCGAGCGCGACGCGCGGACGCGTCGAGTCGCCGCTCGCGCGCGCGTCTTGGCCCCCGCCGACGCCGACTCCGACTCCTTGCAAGTTCACGATCTCGACGTTCCGCGCGCGCAGCGCCTCCGCCGCGGCCGCGAGCTGCGCCTTCCCACCGTCGATCAGAAGCAAGTCCGGGAGCGGTTTCGATCGAACGCTCCCGACGCGCTTGTACACGGCGGCGTAGATCGCCGCGGGGTCGTCCCCCGGCGCGATGTCGCCGCCGCCTGTTCCGGTGTTCTTGAGCTCGTACCGACGGTGCCCCGCGTTGTCCGCCCTGCCGTCGACGAAGGACACGACGGACGCGGCGGTGGACGACCCGGCGAGGTGGGAGACGTCCACGCCCTCGATCGTGCGAATCGCGACGTCGGACGATGACGACGACGACGCGGCGTCGGACGCGATCGGAAGTCGAAGAACGCGCGCGAGGCCTCGGCTCGCGGCGACGACGTTCGCGGTGCGTCGCGCGGATTCGACCGCGTTCGCGCGCGCGAGCGACGCGAGCGACGTGGGAAGGCCGGGAGGGAGGTCGATCCCGTGCTTGACGTACCTCCTCGGCTGCTTATTAGTCTTCGAATTCAGCGGCGGCGGCGTTCCGGACGCGTCGGCGTCGGCGCCGACGGCGGCGGCGGCGGCGGCGCGAACGACGCGCTCCAACCCGCTCGGGTCCGGCAGCGCGTGCGGCGTGTAGATCGCGTCGGGTACGTCCCGCGCGTTCAAAACGCTCGCACCCTCGCCGTTATCGACGTTGTAGTACGCCTCGAGCGCTCTCTGCGCGGCTTCGCCGAGGACAACCTCCATCGCGACGCGCTCGTCGTCGTCGTCGTCGTCGTCGAATCCGAGCGCGTCGGCTTCCTCCTCCTCCTCCGCCTCCTCTCCCTCGCCGATCCACGCGACGCGCGCGCCGGCGGCGTCGACGACGCTATCCTCCCTCCCCTTCGCGCGTCGCGGTCGCGTCCCCGCCTCCCCGCGTCCCCGCGTCCCCGCGTCCCCGCGTCCCCGCGTCCCTGGCAACGCGACGTCGGCGGTCAACATCCCCGCGATGGTCCCGTCGCGTATCCGCACGATCTGCACCGCGCAGTGCTCCCCCTCGGAGGCGGCGGCGACGACGTCCACGCGCAGCGCGCTCCCTCTGCTGTCCTCCGCGAGCAGCGCGCTCAAAGCGCCCATCGCGGCGTCGCCCGGCGCGGCCGCCGCGCGAATCGACGCCGCGGCGGCGCGCTCGTCTCGCGCGTCGAGCGTCGTCGCGGCGTCTTCCGCGGCTTGGCCGCCGTCGAGCGCCGCGGCGGCGAACGTCGCCGCCTCTCGGAGCGACGCGACCGCGTCGTCGTCGCCGTGGCGCGCGCGGAACGCGAGCGAGCGGAGCGAAAGCGCGCGCTCGAGGTCCCCGAGCGAGCGCATGGCGTCCGCGCGCGTCGGACGGAGCCACGCGCGGACGCCGCCGGGATTCGAACCGCCGACGCCGACGCCGCCGACGGCGGCGGCGACGACGCCGGGCGAGACGCGCCCGCCGACGCCGTCGAGACCGAGTCGGTTCCGGTGCGATGGGGGCGCCGCCACAACGTTGTTCTTCACATCGCCGCCGCCGCCGCCCGCCAAATTCGCCGTCGTCGTCGCTCTCTCCGCCGCGACCGACCCCGCGTCGACGACGAAAAACCTCGGCACCTCGTCCGAAATCGTCGCCACTATGAGCGCCGCGTCCGGCCTCGGCGCGTGCTTCAACAGCACGTTCAACGGCGGTTTAAAGCGCTCGATCAGCCGCGCCTCGAGCGCGAGCGCGTCGCTCTCGCCGCCCGGGGTCAACACGTTGTCTACGCTTCGCGCCTTCGCCGCGAGCGTGCGGTGACGCGGCGAACGTTCGAGCAACGCGGGGGATAAGTACCCGCGCGTTCTGTCGCGTAAATTTTTCGCCTTGCCGACGTAGAGCACCTCGCCGTCCTCCGCGAGCCAGCGGTATATCCCCGTCTTCGCGGGCATGTCCGCGACCGCGCGGCGCAGGGATTCGACGTGGTCGATCGCGTGGCCGTGCGCGGCGAGGACGTCCTCCGCGGCGCGGCGCGCAGCCCGCGGCGCAGCGAACGCGTCATTCTCGTCCGACACGTTCGAATATTCCGACACGTTCTGTGTGTCCGACGTTTCCACCACGGCGTCGGACGACGACGGCGCCGCGAACAGCGCGGCGGTGAACTCCCGCTCCGTGAACCGGTCCCCGAGCGCGGCCCACGCGGCGGCGGGCCCGGAGACGCTCGCGGTGGACTCCAGCTTGGCCCGCGCGGACGCCGCGGCGGCGGCTTTTGCCGCGTCCGCCGCCGCCGTCGCGCCCGCCCGACGCATCCGCCACTTCTTCAGCGCGGCCTCGACCTCTTCGTCGGTCGGACGTTCGAACAACGCTCCGTTCGCGCCGCCCGCGCGCGCGTTCGCGACGACCGCGGCGTGCGCTTTCGCCTCCGCGGCTTGCGTGATCTCCCCTTTCGTCGCCGCGATTTCGTCGGACATGACTTCGAACAAACTCAGCGACGCGCTCGACGACCCGGCGACCGCGTTCTTGGGCGTTATCCCGTGCTTCGCGTTGTGCGCGCTCTGCTTCGCGCGGCGTCTGTCGATCTCGTCGATCGCCTCCGTCATCGCCTCCGTGTACGGCTCGTCCGCGAAGAAGTAGCACTCCCCGCGCGCGTTTCGAGCCGCGCGGCCGTGCATCTGAATCAACGACCGCGAGCTTCGCATGAACCCAGGGACCCCCGCGTCGAGCACCGCGACCAGGCTCACCTGCGGGAGGTCCAAGCCCTCGCGCAGGAGCTGCGCGCCGACGAGGACGTCGATCTCGCCCTGCTGCAACCTCTGCAGCTTCTTCGCGCGCTGCGGCGCGGTGAGTTCGCTGTGCAGCCAATCCGCGCGCGCGCCGCCGAGGCAGTTGAGGTATCCGGCGAGGTCCTCGCAGTCCGCCTTCGTGAGCGCGCAGACGAGGGACGCTTCCCCGCGCGCGGCGCGCTCGCGGACGAGGCGCGCGATCTCGGGGAGCTGCTTCGCGCGCGGGAGGACCGTGACCGGGGGGTCGAGGACGCCGCTCGGGCGGACGACCATGTCGACCATGGAGTGCGACAACGACGACGACGGCGGCGGCGGCGGCGGCGGCGGCGGCGGCGGCGGCGGCGGCGGCGACGACGACGAGAGCACCGCGACCTCGCCGCTCGGCATCACCCGGATCTCTCGTCTCGCCACGTCAACGGACGCTTCTGAATCTGAAGACGATTCCGATTCCGATTCACCCCCGCCGCCGCACCACGCCTCCTCGATCGCCCCCGGGGTCGCGCTCACGAGCAACGCGCGCGGGACCCGCTCCCAAAACTCGTCGAACGTCAGCGGGCGGTTATCCAACGCCGATGGCAGCCTGTACCCTCCGGCGACGAGCCCGAGCTTCCTCGACCGGTCCCCGCCGTGCATCGCCTTGAGCTGAGGGAGCATGACGTGCGACTCGTCCGCGACGAGGAGCCAATCGCGCTTCGGCTTCGAATCGCCGCCGCCGAACGCGCCGCCGGCTTCGGCCGTCGTCGAAAAGTTGAAATAATCCAACAGCGTCACCGGCGGCGCGCCCTCGTCCCTCCCGCCGAGATGCCGGCTGTAGTGCTCCGCGCCAGGGCACCACCCGAGCTCGCGCAGAAGCCCGACGTCCGCCTTTGTGCGCTGCTCGAGACGGTCCGCCTCGATCTGAAGCCCGTTCGCGCGGAGCTCCGCGGACCGCGCGCGCATCTCAGCCTTGATCGCCTCGGCGGCGACGGCGAGGCGCTCGGGCGGGGTGATGTGATGCTGCCGCGGCCAGATCGTGACGCGGTCGGGAGGCGGCGGCAGCGGCTCGCCGTCCGCGGCGGCGCTCACGAAATCCCCTCGTCGTGTCCCTCGCGTCGCTGTCTTCTTCTTCTTCTTCTTCCCCGCGACGGCCACGTCAGCTTCCACGTCAGCTTCCACGTAAGAAGCATCAGCGTCGTACGCGCTCCGCATGCGTCCGAACCCGACCAGCGACCCGTCCGGCGCGACGTCCATCTCCACCGGCGCCTCCTCGTACGGCGGCCACACCGCTATCCGCCGCGCGCCGTCCACGTCAGCGTCTGCCTCGCCCTGCCACGCCCACTGCCCGCGCGACACGCCGTCCCACCGCGCGTCTTTCGTCTCCTCGTACAGGAGCGACTCCGTGAGCCGCCTGGCGACCGCGTCTTGACCCGCGACGCCGAGTCCCGGTACCCCGCGTTCGAAACACAGCCGCGCGTCGACGTAATCGCTCGGCATCCCCATCCCGTAGAGACACGACACGGACGCGACGACGACGACGTCGTCGCTCTCCAGCAGCGCCTTCGTCGCCCTGTGCCTGAGCGCCTCGAGGTCCTTATCGACCGCGCTCCGCTTCTCGACGTACCGCCCGCGCGAGTACGACTCCGGGACGTACAGCGAAAAGTGCGACACGAACAGCTCGACGTGACGACTGTCGCGGAGATACGCGCGGAGCTCGCGCGCCACCTGCGCGGCGAGCGTCTTGTTCGGGACGACGACCAGCGTCGGAATTGGTTTGGGTTGCGACGCGATGACGTTGGCGACGACGAAGGTCTTGCCCGTGCCGGTCGCGCCGCGCAGGCACGTGAAGCGGCGCCGCTCGTCGTGGACGAGTCGCGCGCAGTCTGCGATCGCGGCGGGCTGATCGCCCGCGGGCGCGAACGGCGCGCGCACGGAGGAGGAGGAGGACGCGGGCGGATCCGCGGGCGGCGACGAGGACGACGCCGCCGCCGCGACGTCGTCGTCGCCTCCTCGCAGCGCCGCGGTCGCGCGTCCGCGCCAAGGAGGACCGAGGAGGTCGCCCCCGCGACCTCCCGCGAGACGACGACGATGATGATTTTGTATCTGTTGTTGGCGCGCGATCGTCGCGAGCGATCGCTCTGGTGGGGCGACCCATCGCTGCGCGGACGACGCGCGGCGGCGCCCGCGCGCGACCGCGTCCGCGAGCGCGCGATTCAGTCGGCGCATGTTGCCGTTGCCGTGCGTGTTGTTCGCGCGTCCGCACGCGCTCATTCGCCCTGGACGCGCGACGCCGACTGCCGCGCGCGTCGTCGTCGTCGACGTCGACTCCAGAAGTGCCGATCGGATCTTCCAGGTTCTGTTTCCCGCGTTTTCATCGGAGGTGTCTGGTTGAATGGTATCGGCGATGGCGACGGCCAGTTCGGCTTCGCCCGCTCGCCGCCGCCGACGCGCGCACACCCGCGGCGCACGACCGCACCGCATCACGCCCCCGCCGCCGCCGACTCGACGAACATGTCCGCGTTCGCCGTCGCGTCCTCGGCCGCGCGCGCCGCGCCGCCGCGCCGCGCCGCCGCCGCCGCCGCCGCGAAGCCTCGCGGCGCGAGCGCCGTCGTCAAGCCTCTCGGCGGCGCGCGGCGATCGGCCGTCGCGACGCGCGCGAAGGACGACTTCCAACCGGAGACGGACCTCGAGCTGAGCGACCTCACCGCCATCTCACCCATCGACGGGAGGTACGGCGCGAAGGTGAAGGTGCTGAGGGCGTGCTTCTCCGAGTACGCGCTCGTTCGCGCGCGCGTCATCGTCGAGGTGCGATGGCTTCAAAAGCTCGCGTCCATCCCGCAGATCGCCGAGGTGCCCCCTCTCAGCGACGAGGCGAACCAATTCCTCGAGGACTTCCTCGCGAACTTCTCCCCCGCGGACGCCGCGGAGGTCAAGAAGGTGGAGCGAACGACGAACCACGACGTCAAGGCGGTCGAGTACGTCATCAAAGACCGGATCGCTTCGAACCCGGAGCTCCACGCCGTCACCGAGTTCGTCCACTTCGCGTGCACGTCCGAGGACATCAACAACCTCTCCCACGCGCTCATGCTGCGCTCCGGGATCGCCGCGACGACGCCGCTGATGGACGACATCATCTCGAAGATCGCGGAGATGGCGGAGACGGAGGCGGCGACGCCGATGATGAGCCGGACGCACGGGCAGCCCGCGTCGCCGACGACGCTCGGGAAGGAGTTCGCCAACGTCGCGTACAGGCGCGTTCTAGTATCACACCGGTCCCCGTACGACCGCGTTCGCGTGGTGAACGCCGATCCTTAAGGACTTTCTCTCCCAGCGATTATCTCCGCCCATCACCCCTCGCTTTCAATCCCGACACTCCTCGACGCCTTTCAACTCCGCTTCTGACGCCTTTCAACTCAACCCCGACGTCGCTTCGTATTTGAACGGCCCGCAGGCTCGCGCGGCAGCGGAAACAGGTGGACGCGGTGCCGCTGTACGGCAAGATGGCCGGCGCGGTGGGGTGTTACAACGCGCACATGTCCGCGTACCCGGACGTGGACTGGCAGAAGGTCGCGGAGGAGTTCGTGACGGATTTGGGTCTGACGTGGCAGCCGTACGTGACGCAGATCGAGCCGCACGATTACATGGCGGAGCTCTTCTCTGCGGTGTCGCGGTTTAACACCATCGTCCTGGACCTCGATCGAGACATCTGGAGTTACATCTCCATCGGGTACTTCAAGCAGAAGACGATCGCGGGCGAGGTCGGCAGCAGCACGATGCCGCACAAGGTAAACCCGATCGACTTCGAGAACAGCGAGGGGAACGTCGGACTCGCGAACGCGATGTTCGAACACCTGGGCGCCAAGCTCCCGGTGTCGCGGTGGCAGCGCGACCTCACCGACTCCACGGTGTTGCGCAACCTCGGCACCGGGTTCGGGTACTCCATGATCGCGTACCAGAGCACGCTGCGGGGTTTATCGAAGCTCGAGACGAACGCGGACGCGATGGCGGCGGATTTGGACCGGAACTGGGAGGTGCTCGCGGAGCCGATTCAGACGGTGATGCGCAGGCACGGAGTGGAGAAGCCGTACGAGAAGCTCAAGGAGCTGACGCGCGGGCGACGCGTCGACCGCGACGGGATGCGCGAGTTCGTGGAGACGCTGGAGATCCCGGACGAGTCCAAGGCGCGGTTGATGGATCTCACCCCGGCGACGTACATCGGAAACGCGGTCGCGCAGGCGAAGGACATCCTCGCGCGAGTCAAGGCGCTGTGATGATGATTTGGTGACTGTGATTTATTTCGGAAGACGTGCGCGTCGACGTACAGTATACGACTCTTATAAACCGATCAAACGATTGCGTTATGTATACATTCGCTTCCCGCGTCTACAGTCATCACACGAACTGCGACGCGGAGTCGTAGGTCCGGAAGCTGTCCAGCATCCTCCCCAACGTCGCTCTCTCCGCGGCGTACGCGCGGTCCGGCGCCGACACCACGAACGCGAACAGCCGCCCCGTGTTGTCCACCGTGATTTTCACCCCGTAACTGCTCCCCGTCGCGCCGCCGGAGATGTCGAACGACGCGTACTCCCGCGCGTCCGCGCCGCTCTTCGTCACGCTCCGCTTGATCTCCCCCGTGGTGATCGCCTCCTGGAGCTTCGCGTCCGCGCCCGCGATCGCGTTCAAGGCTTTGTCCGTGAGGTCGAACGCGGCGCCGTCCTCTCCCGCGCGGTTGAGCGTCAGGCACACGGCTCGCACCGCGCCCCTGGACCCGGACTTGACCCACCGCGAGTCCTGCCCGCCCGCGCCTTTCTCCACCTTGGACGGCGCCTCCTCGACCCAGTCGCTCGGGACGTCGTACGAGTACTTCGCCTTATCCGGGGTGGTTCCGCCGAGATAGCCGTACGTCGCGGGCGGCGACGCGGCGCCGTAGAAGGTGGCGAACGTGACCGGGCCGGACGACGCGTCGCCGGCGGAGCCGGCGTCGACGCCGTACGCCGCGAGCGCGGGGTTCGCGCGCGCGAGGGCGGGGAGGATCGCGGCGGTCGCGGTCGCGAGCGAGAGGGCGAGCGTCTCGCGGCGCGATGGCGTCGGAGGAGGCGCCGCGTCCGTCTCGGAGGAGGAGGAGGGCGTGGACGATCGCGACGATCCCGTCGCGCGCGCGACGACGACGACCGCGGGCGATCGGGCTCGCGCGGACGACTTCCGGAACGACGCGGGCGACGCGCGCGCGGCGACGCCGCCGACCGTGGACGCGATCGCGAGCATGACGACGAGGTGCGGTGCGGCGGCGGGGAGGGAAGCGAGGATCGACGGCGCCGTGCGGCGTCGCTGTGACGACGCGGACGACGCGTCGACGGACGACGACGCGGCGATCGCCTCTGCTCGTCCAGTCAGCAGCATCCGCGCGCGATGCGTGATGATCCCGAAAAGCGAAAACCTGCATCGGATTCCGCCCGCCCCGCCCCACTCCGTCTCCGCGCGCCCCCACGCGTGGATGTCCGCGTGCGTCGCTCGAGCGGCGAGCGCATCGCACTCGTCGTTCACGGGCCGCCGCGCGCCGCGACCGCGTCGACGCGCGCGCATGTCCCCCGCGTTCGTCCGCGCGGCGAAGGGCGATGGCGATGCCGGTGCCGACGTCTTCGAGAAGTTCCCGCAGTCCGAGAAGCGCCACTACGCCAAGGATCCTGTGCCGCGCCGCGTCGTCGTCCTGTGCCACGGCGTCACGTCGCGCGAGTCCGCGGGGTTATTCTCGGCGAACAACCTCCTGCAAGGCCGCGTGGACGTGTGGTGTCGGTGCGTGTCCGCGGCGCTCTACCTCAGCGACGGCATCCGCCGCGACACGATCGTCTCCCTGATCCTCAGGGACGGCGACGGCGACGGCGACGGCGAGAAGAACGATGATGAGAACGGCGAAGGAGGAGGAGGAGGAGGAAAGTGCCGCGTCGTGAGCGTCAACGGCGGCGAGGTCGTCGGCCTCGCTCCCGACGAGGCCACGATCGCGCGCGTGCTGCAGCGAGCGCTGCAGCACGCGTCGCTCGACGCGCTGAGCGCGCTGGGGTTCTCCGAGGACGACGACGGCGACGACGACGGCGGCGGCGGCGAAAAGTCGCCGCGGAACGCGGAGAAGCGCCGCGCCGGATGGCTCGCGAAACAGCCCGGCAGCCGCGGCCCCGTCCCCGGGGTCGCCGTGGAGGACCACCCGAGCCTCGAGGCGTGCCTCGACGCCGTCGTGCGCGGTGGGAAACACAAAGAAAACGGCGAAGAAGGGACCGTTTTCGTGCTCGACCTCAGCGGCGCGTCGATGATCGTGTTGCTCTCGGCGGCGGACGGCGCCGGCAAGCTGGCGCCCGGGGCCACGTTCGTGCTGGGCGACGACGCCGGGCTGACGGCGAGAGAGATGGCGCTGCTCGAGAACGCGCACGGCGCGGCGGTTGGGAGGGTCGCGTTCAGGACCTTGATGGCGAGTCATTGCATCGTGTTGGCGCACAACGCGTTGGATCTGCGGCTCGACGTGCCGCCGATGCCGTCGAGGAATAAGCCGCCGAAGCCCCCAATACCGCTAGGGTGGGGGTCCTAGAAACAGACCTCGCCTCCAATGCCTGATATGATGAATTAAACTCACTACTCGCACTCGCCCTAAAGAGTCCGCCGGTCGTCAAGTGAGCGACCGTCGAATACTGCGAACGCTATTAATATGATTACCCACCTTCGTTAACGATCGATCGATCGATCGCGACGGTCGGTTAACTCCCTTTCTCTATCGCGTCGAGCTTCCCGCTCCCGAAGCTGCCGCTGCGCCGATCGAGCGTCAGCGCGCCCTTGGACGGCCACCCGAAGAGCCTTCGCATTCTCAACTCCGCGAGCCGCCCCGCGCGCGTCCGCCGCGCCGCCGCGACGGCCGCGGCGACCAACGCCGCCACCGCGACCGTTACGAACACCAAAACGCTCGCACCGCCGCCGTTACCATCCATCATCACGCGCTCGTCCCACGGCCCGCCGCTCCGCGCGGCGAACGACACCGCCGCGCCGAGGGCCCAGTCCACGTCCACCCCGCCGACGGCGTTGCTGAGAGCCGTTCCATACGAAGCGACGTCGGGGTGGAGTTCAAAGGCGTCAGATTTGGGATTGAAAGGCAACGCGGTCGGTGATTGAAAGCGAGGGACCCTGGGCGGAGAGAAACGACGGGAGAGAAAGTCCTTAAGAAACGGCGTACACCACGCGAACGCAGTCGTATGGGGACCAGCGCGAGGAGAACGCGCCTGAACGCGATCTTCGTCTCCTCGCGCAGTCCCACCGCGTCCCCGAGCGCGGCGGCGATGAACGCCGCGCTGAAACAGTACTTCCGCAGCTCGTCCTCGCCGTCCTTACCGGACGATCGCGTCCGCACGAGCGTGTCCCAGTCCGCGGCGCAGATCTCCTCGCCCGCGCTCGCGACGTCCGCGACGGACGCCTTCTCCGGGAGCCCCAAGAAGCGCGCGGTGTGATGAAAATTTTCCGTCGCGATGAACCGCCCGCGAAGCGTCGGCTGAAACGGCCGCGGGTGTCGTCCCACGCCGCACGACGCGTGCGGACACGCGTCGTGCACGCCCAGCAGTCGACGCGCGGCCTCCCTGCACGCGGTGAAGTTCCCGTCGCCGCCGTCTTTCTTCCCTCGCGGCGCGCACGGATCCCCCGCGCCGCCGCCGCCGAATACTCCGAATCCGAATACTCCTCGCGACCGCACAGCTGTGCGACCCTCCCTCCTCCGCCCCCCAGCACCCCGCATCGCCATCTCGTGCGCCTCCATCGCGCTCTCCTGCCCCAACCCCAGCGCGCTGTGCGTGTACACCCTGTGCGTCATCCCCCCGATCGTCAGACTCTCCACGTGCGCGCTCGGCACGTCCTCCTCCGGCGCCCCCTCGAACGTCACCTGCAGCGAGGGTCGTCGTCGGGGTGAGTTGAAAGGCGTCAGATGGAGTTGAAAGGCGTCGATGGCGGGGATTGAAAGCGAGGCGTGGGCGGAGAGAAACGCCGGGAAAAGTCCTTAAGGATCGGCGTTCACCACGCGGACGGGGTCATATGGGGACCAGTGTGAAGATAGAACGCGCCTGCAGCGACGCGCCGCCGAGCTCGAGCACACCGAGATGCTTGGACGTCACCTCCCCGAGCGTCCCGCCCGCGTAGTTCGCGGCGACCCACGCGTACAGCCCCTCCTTGCTCCCGGGCAACACGTACGCGTAGCGCGGCGAGAACTGGAACGACGATTGCGCGCGCAGGGCGTCGACGCACGACGCGAGGACGCGCCGCGACGCGCGCGGGTTCTTCGTCGACAGCTCGCGGACGCCGCCCGTGGCGAGAAGCATGAGCGGCGTGTCCGCGCGCGCGTCCTCCGGGACGAGCGTTCGCGCAAAGTCGAACAGCGGGCGCAGCGACGCGCCCGCGGACGCGGGGTCGTCCGCGAACGAGGAGAGGCCGGGAACGACGCGCATGACGCCCTCGGCCTTCACGCGCGGCATGCGTTTAGACGCGCGCCGCAGATCGACGGCGTCGCGCACGCTGAAGACGTGCGCGCGGGAGCCGCTGCTGCCGGCGTCGACGACGACGAGGTACCGCGGCGCGTCGTCTCCCTCGAGAGGCGACGACGACGGCGACGACGACGAAGACGACGACGAAGACGCGAGCGACGACGACGACGACGACGACGACGGCGACGGCGTGACGCGCCACACGATCCACGCGAGGAGGAGAAGAGGGAGCGTCGTCGTCCGCGCGCGATGCCGTCGCGCCCGCGCCTCGCGTCGCTCCGCGCGCGCGTCGCGCTCGATCGCCGCCTCGCGCGACGGCGAGGAGGAGGAGGGCCCCGCCGGCGGCTTCGTCGACGGGGCCCCGCGCCCGGACGCGGTCTGCATCGCGCCCTCCGCCGCGCGCGTCGCGGTGTCGTCGAAGGCTCCCGAAGAAGCCGCGGGCCGTCCGACAGCTGGCGCTGGCGGACTCGCGCGAGCGCGCGTCGATCGGCCGAGAGCAGAGCGCGAGCCTCGCGCGGCGCCAGAAATTCGGTCGCGCGACCGTCGCACGGTGTGTAACCGCGACGCGCGTCGATCACCATGAGCGGCGCGTTCAAATCCCGCGACGAGCACCGCAGGGCGCAGGAGCTCGAGGAGGCTCGTAAGGTACGCCGCGCGCCCGACGCCCACGCCGCGCGATTCGTCGCATTCATTCAGCCCCTTTCCCTCTCGAGATCTCGCCGAATCAGCGGGCGCCGAGTTTAGGGTTCCCCCGCGATCGGCGCTGACCCCCCACCCCACCACTCATCGCGATCGCACAGGCCGGTCTCGCCCCCGCGGAGCTCGATGAGGACGGGAACGAGATCAACCCGCACATCCCGCAGTTCATGGCCGCGGCGCCGTGGTACCTGTCGCAGAACAAGCCGGGCCTGAAGCATCAGAAAGCCTTCAACCTCGTCGAGAAAGAGGGCGGGGACTGGTACAAGCGCGGCGTGAAGACGTTCCAGGCGACGAAGTTCCGCAAGGGCGCGTGCGAGAACTGCGGCGCGATGACGCACAAGAAGAAGGACTGCGTGGAGCGCCCGAGGAAAGCGGGCGCGGCCAAGACGGGGAAGAACATCGCCGCGGACGAGCTCATCCAAGCCGACGTCGACCTCAACTACGACGGCAAGCGCGATCGGTACAACGGCTTCGACGCGAGCGACTACTCGAGGGTCGTCGACAGGTTCGACAAGGCGGAGGCGCTGAAGCAAGAGGTGGCGAAGAAGAAGGAGCTCGAGCGCGCGTACCGGAAAGCGAACCGCGCCGACGGAGACGTCCCCGAAGAGAAGGACGAAGACGACGCCGCCGAGTCCAGCGACAGCGACGACGACGCGAAAGTAGAGGACGCGGACGCGCAGGGGTTCATGAAGGTCACGAAGCGCGTGCGCAGCGCGGGCGGCGGCGCGTCGATGACGGTGAGAAACCTCCGGATTCGCGAGGACACGGCGAAGTACCTGCGCAACTTGGACCTCTCCTCGGCGTACTACGACCCCAAGACGCGGTCGATGCGCGAGAACCCGACGCCGAACAACGACCCGTCGGAGCAATTCTACGTCGGGGATAACGTCACGCGGAAGACCGGGGACACGCTCGGGTTCGAGCGTCTGAACGGCCACGCGTTCGACGCGTATCAGAAGGGCCAGGAGATTCACATGCAGGCGGCGCCGTCGCAGGCGGAGCTCCTGTACAAGCAGTTCAAGGAGAAGAAGGACAAGCTCACGGGGGTGACGAAGGATAAGATTTTGGAAAAGTACGGCAACGCCGCGTCGGCGGACCCCGCGCCGGAGGGTTTACTTCTCGGACAGACGGAGCAGTACGTGGAGTACGACCGCGCGGGAAGGCTCGTGAAGGGGGGCGAGAGGGTGGTGCTCAAGTCGCGCTACGAGGAGGACGTCTACGAGCAAAACCACAAGAGCGTGTGGGGGTCGTACTGGCACGCGGGGCAGTGGGGGTACGCGTGCTGCCGGTCGTTCTCGAAGAACGCGTACTGCACCGGGATTCGAGGGATCGAAGCCTCGAACGCGAGCGCGGATCTCATGAAGGACAACCTCGCGGCGAGAGAGGCGGCGATGGACGCGAAGAAAAAAGAGGAGGAGGAGGAGGAAGCCGCCGCCGCCGCCGCCGCCGCGACGGGCGGAGAGAAGAAGAAGAAGACGAAGAACCCGTTCGAGGCGAAGAAGGACATGTGGGGCGGCGACGTCGAGGAGGACGTCGCGCTGGACCCGAAGAAGCTCATGGAGGCGCTGAGGAAGGAAGACGCGCGGTTGAAAGAAGGCGACGACGACGACGACGGCGACGGAGGGAAGGGCGATCGCAAACGCGGGTACAACGTGAACCACGAGGTGGACGTCACCGAGGAGGAGATGGAGGCGTACCGGCTGAAACGGAGTCGGAAGGACGACCCGATGAACGCCCCGGACGCGGGCACGAAAGGGTACGATCTCGTGTAGGAGCCGCGCGCCGCGCTGTACTGTAGTAGTCGGATGACGCATTGTATTAGTTCTCACGCTACGAGTAAAAGAAACAAACGCGATCGCGCGCGCCCGTCACGCCATCGTCGCGAGCGTGGGAATCTCCTCCTGCAACGACTCCCCCACGCTCTTCACCTTCTCGATCCACCCGTCCAAACGCACGCTCAGCTCCTTGATCTGCGGCTTCAACAAAACCCGCGGCGTGACCCACGTCACGTTCACCTTCCCTTCCACCTGATCGATCACCCCCTCGATGAGCCTCACGGAGAGCGCCTTCATGAGCAGGTACTCCACCCCGTCCACGCCGAGCTTCGTCCGCGCCGCGATGTCCGCGATTGAGATCTCGCGGCACTCCGCGGGGAGCTCGAACAGAATCTGCAGCAGACACAGGATCGTGATCTTCTCCCTGAGCTTCCGCTCGTTCGCCACGAGCGCGGGCTGCGCGTTTAGCGACGCGGCGTGCTTCACGCACAACGCGTCGTACGCCGCCATGTCCCCCGAGTTGAACGCGGCGACGAGCGACTTGAGCCACGCGAACGCGGTGTCGTCGATCGCGGTCATGATCGGGTGCGCGATGAGCTCCGCGAAGTCGTACGAGTCGTCGCCCAGGAGCGCGGCGAGGGAGAGATCCACCGCGAGATCGCGTCGCGTCTCCGCCGGCAGCGTGTCGCTCGAGACGTACGCGAGGTAGAGCATCCCGGTTCGGTAAAACTCCGAGAAGTGCTGCTTGCTCTTGTGGTACTGCGCGTTGACGTAGTGAAACGCCGCGCTGACCGAGGGGTCCACGGACGGGAGGGCGTCCAGCGCAGCCTTGCCCTCTTCGATCATCTTTCTCGCGTCGGCGGCGGCGCCCTCGTGCACTTTTAACAGAGCGACGTGCATCTTCAGGTATAAGATGGGCTCCTCGTGCCCGCGCTGTTTCTGGTCCGCGATCTTCGTGATGACGTCGTCCATGAACTGCGCCGCGGCGAGGCGATCGGCGTACCTCGACGACACCGCGACCGCGATGTGCCCGAGCTTCAGCGGCGAGATCCGGTGCTCGAAGTCCGTGATGAAGTTGTGGTACAGGTTCACGAGGAGATCGCCCGTCTGGAACTTCGGCAGCGCGACCGCCTCCTCGAGCTTCAGCGTGAGCTCGTGCCACAGCCTCTTCTCGTACAGCGTCTTCATCTCCTCGAGGAGGTCCTTCAGGTCCGCGTGCGCGGAGAGCATGGAGCCGAGGTACGCCTCGACCTGGCCGGACATGACGACGTACACGCGAGATCCGCCGCTCTGGAGGAGCGCACTCTTTCACGTATTAGATCTGGCCGTCGCCCGCTCGTTTCCCCGGGTTCGCGCGTCCTCGCCGCGCGACGGCGTGAGGTCGATCGGCGATCGCGACGCGACGCGCGCGGGGGGTCGATCGATGGACGCGTGCCGATCCGGCGGCGCGCTGTGCTGTGACGTCGTCGCGGATGGGGCGGGAGGCGCGACGTCAACGTTCAAACATCATCAAGGGCACGGCACCGCGAGAAGTCGGACGGTCGGTCTGACCGAGCAGAGCGATGCGATGTCAGTTGCCGAGGGCACCGCCGCACGAACCGAGGCGCCGCGGCGGTCATGGTGCCCCTCAGCCTGGACGCGCTCCGGTGGGAGGCCGAGGCGGAGATGCGACGCAAGGCGCCGAGGGAGATCGACGGCGCGGACGTCGCGAAGAAGCGGCGGAAGACCGCGGCGGACGGCGACGGGGGCGACGACGACGCGAATAACGACCACGACCCAGGATCCATCGAGCTCGACGTCTCGCTCGAGCGATACGAGTACGCCGCGCCGGCGGTCATCCTGTCCGGAAACGGCGGCGCGTGCGGGTTCGCGATCACGTGCCAGTTCATGCGCGAGAAGAGCGCGACGAAAGAGGCGATGGCGCTCCTGGCGCCGCACTGCCGCGCGTACGCGCTCAACCCGGTGAAGATGCCGGGACGCGGGTTCGTCTTCGTGCGGCTCTCGGAGAGGACGCCGGCGACGACCGCGGACGCGGACGCGGCGCCGCCGCCGCCGTCTGAGGCGGTCTCCGCGATCGTCCGCGACGTCGTGCGCGCGGTCGCCGCCGCCGGGAGCGCGGGCAAGCCGCGGTGGGTCGAGAAGATGGCGCCAGTCCAGTTCACGTGCGACGCCGGCGACGTCGCCGCACGCGTCGCGGCGCGCGCGGACGGATGGCACGCGCTCGCGGCGGCGGAGGCGAAGGCGAGGGGGGACGGGAAGAAGGTGAATTTCGCGGTGGTGTACCGCAACAGGTTCAGGAGCGACGCTTTCGCGAGCGGCGGCGGCGGGAAGGGCGCGGCGGAGAAGGAGAAGGAGAAGGACGCCGACGCCGCCGACGCCGACGCCGACGCCGACGCCGACGCGAAAAAAACAAACCTCAATCCGTTCTCGCGAGCGCTCGTGCTTCCCGCGGTCGCGGCCGCGGTGCAGGACGCGCTGCGCGGGGCAAACGACGGAGGCGCGGACGCGTCGTCGTTCGAGATCGGCGTGGACTTGCGCGACCCGGACGTCGTCGTCTTCGTCGAGGTGTTATCCGTCCCGGACGCGGGGGGCGCCGGCGCGCCGAGCGGAAGGTTCGCGCGTCGACTCGCCGTGGGCGTCGCGTCGAAGTCTTCCGGGACGTTCGCCGCGAAGAAGAAAGGGATCGAAGCGGCGTCGTTGAAAGGGTTATCGTAGCGTATTTCTCGTGCATCTTTCAGTGTCGATGACGTGTAGTACGACAACGCTAGCTACGCCGGTGGTGCCGCTCACGACGCGAGAAACGAGGCGACGGGGACGCCCGTGGACGCGTTCGAATCGCGATGCCACGCGATCGTACTCTCCGGCATCGCACCGGACGCCACCCACTTCCTGAACGACTTCTTCTTGAACGGTCCTTGAATCACCCCATCCGGGTCTGCGTACATCCACACTTTCTCTTCCTCGGAAGCGTCGGACGGAGCCGCGGCGGCGGCGATGACGGGCGGCGACGGGACTTCTCGCTCGGCGTCTCGCGTTCTCGGATCTCTCGGATCTCTCGGCGGCGGCGGGACTTCCGTCGTCTCCGTTCGGTTCGCGTTCGCGCCGTGGCCCCACCCGCCGCCGTCGTCCGCGACCGGGGCGGGTTTTTCGCCTTCTAAGCCTTTTTCGCGCGCGGTGATTACGCCATCTTGGCCGTCAGACTCGAATGTCAGTCGCCCCTTCGAAGCCTTGCAAACGTTGTGCATCTTGTTGCTTCTAAAATTCGCGTCGATGATGTCCTTCGCTTCGGGCATCACGGCACCATATCCGTAGAGCCTCTGTCCGGCTGGTCCACTCTTCATGCGACCGCCGTGCTTCGTGACGATGTCGTAAAGCGTTCGTATCACCTTCTCGAGGTCGTCGGCGGCGCCCCGCGACCTCTTACGAGGTGACGAGCCGGGTCTCGACGCTTTGCCCGCGACTATGAAGCTCGATTTATGTCCGTTCTTACCGTTCACGTACGTGAGCCGTCCGTTCGAATCCTCGCAAAACTCGGAAAGGTTTCGGTTTGCAAGTTTTCCCACGACATCTTTCGCTTCTGGCATCGCCTGATAGAGCTGCGTCATGCCAGTTGCATAGAGACGACCGCCCTTGCGTTCGATGATGTCGAGAAGCGTCGTAATCGCCCTCTCGCACAGAGAGCGACGTCGCGTTTCCTCGTCCCGCGGGGACCTCGCGCCCCATCCCCTCGCCGTCCGCCGCCGGGGCGACTCTGACGTCAGCACCCCACCCCCTGTCGTCCGCGGAACGCGGCAGGGATCTCACGCGCGAACGCGGCGGGGATCTCACGCGCGAACGCGGCGGGGATCTCACGCGCGCGGGCGACGCGCCGTCGCCGTGCGAGAACATACACTTGTCTCCGTCTCTGCACCCGCGACGGGTGTTGAAAAACCTGCACGCCGTCGTCGATCTCCCGCGCTTCGAGCTCGAAGGCGGCGACGCATCCGGCGACCGATCGCGCTTGCGCCCGCGGTCGCGGTCGCGCTCGCGGTCGCGGTCGCGGTTGCGCGGCTGGTACTTCGACATCACGCGTCGAACCTCTTCCACCGCCGCGTCGACGCAGGGCCACGCGCCGGAGATGACGACGCTTCGATTCCCGTCGTCGTGTTCGCCGCGATCGACGCGAGAGACCTGAACCGTCGCACCCGTGCGGTCCTGAAGCTGTTTCACCGCGGCGGCCGTGACGCCGACGATGTTCCTAGCGACGTCCGCGCTGACTTCCAAGCGCCGCGTCTCTTCGCGCGGCGCGGCGCGGCGCTCGTCCCCGAACGCGTCGCCGCCGTCGTCGTCGTCGCGCGGGGACGCCCTCGCTCCGTCGCCTTCGGCGAAGCGCCCGCTGAAGCTCCGCGACGCGGGTCTCTCCGCCGCGGACGGGCCCGCGGCCGGCCGCGAGATCCTACCCTCGCCGCCGCCGCCGCCGCCGCCGCCGCCGCCGCCGCCCCACGGATCTTCTCGCCGCGCCGGGCCTGGACCGCCGACGCCGCCGCCGCCGCCGCCGCCGCCGCCGCGCCGTTCGCCGAACCCCGCGAGGTCACCCAGCGTCGGAATCGCCCACCTGCTGCCGCCGCGTCCGCCGCCGCCGGGACCCTCGGCGGCGACCCCGCCGCCGCCGGACCCGGGTTCGACGTCCACGTCCGGGGTTTTACACCGGTCGCGTTCGAGCGTCCCGGCTTCGAGCTCTTTGATCTCCGCGTTGAGTCTCTTCTTCGCGTGGAAGTTGCCCTCCGCGCTCGCTTTGTTCCGTAACCCGTGCAGCTTCTGTAGGCGCGCGCGAGTGTCCTCTGGCATGTGGTCTATCATCCGCTTGTGCAAGTGCTGGAGCCCGCGCACGGCCCACCGCATTAAGACGCCGTCGTTGATGAACTCTCCCAACTTGGCGAGCTCCTGGTCCGTGAACCGCGCGTTGCTGAGGGTCGTTCCATACAAAGCGAAGTCGGGGTGGAGTGGAAAGGCGTCAGGTGGAGTTGAAAGGCGTCGAAGGCGGGGATAGAAAGCGAGGGGTGGGCGGAGAGATGCGCCGGGAAAAGTCCTTAAGGATTGGCGTTCACCACGCCAACGCGGTCGTATGGGGACCAGTGTATAGAACGCACCTGATGTCCGCGAGCGCGAGCGTCTTCTCCGTCCCCATGTTGTTGCACACGAGCCAGCGCGTCGTCTTCGGCGTGTCCGGGGTCCCCGGGTTGACCTCGTACTCGTCCCCGTGCTCGATGCGATTCACTTGCACGAGTCGATAATGCGCCTCGCCGTTCGCCAACTGCTTGCACTTAAAACGCACGTACGACATCACCGTGACTTCGTCGAACGTGTCCTCGTCCAAGTGCAGGAGGGACGCCGCGGCGACGCGGGTCAGGTACACGAGCTCGACGTTGTGGCGCGTCACCGCGGCGTATCGCCGCTGCTCGTGGGGGGCCGGAGAGCCTCTCTCGCCGTCGGAGTCCGCGCCGGAGTCCCAACCCGCGTTCGGCTTCGCGGCGGCGGCGGCTTCTTTCTCTCGCAACCGCCGTTGCTTCTGCTTCTCGCGTATGAGCGCCATCGCGCTCTTACTCCCCGCGGCGCCGCCGCGTCGCCTGCGGTGGTCGTCGTCGTCGCTGCCGTCGCCGTCGCCGTTGCCTATGTCGCCGAAGTCATCCCTCAGATCCTTGAGACCCGCGGCGGCTTTCGGGATCTTAAACCCGCCGCTGTCGCCGCCTTCGATGTCTTTCCGCCACCCGGGCTCGCACGCCGCGGGAAGGGGCTCGTTCTTCTTCCGCACGTGCGCGGAGATAACCTTTGAGACGACCATCGGGATGGGCATAGTCGTCGCGCGCAGGGGTTTCTCGCCGAAAATCCGCCACAATATCGGATCGTTCTTCGCGTCGATCAGGGACTTCTTCTTATCGTACACGTCTTTCTTCGCATTGATCCTCCCCCATACGACCTTTATGAGAATATTATGATCCGCCTTCGTCCTCGAATATCCTTCCTCGGCCAGAAGATCCTGCAGCGCGTCCGTCGCCCACGGTCCCGCGGCGAACCCGGCCTCTTGCGTTCGCTTGTTGACTTTCGCGGCGCGATGTTCGGCCATGATCGAGACTTCGTCGTCGTCGTCGCTCGAGATCTCGATAGCCGCCGGCGCGCGCACAGCGGGCGCGGGCTTGGGTTTCGGCATCGCCGCGCGCGGCGGCGGCGACGGCGCGCGCGCTCGCTCTGGCACTCTCCCGGCGCCGCCTTGGCCCCGGGCGTCCCCTTGGGCACCCTCGGTCGGGCGCCCCGACTGCGCCGTGGTCGCCTTATTTCCGCGCTCGCTGTCAAACTTTGCCCAAAACGCGTTCGTCGCCGTGTCGCCGTCGTCGTCGCTGTCGCTCTCGCCGAACAGGCCTTCTATTTCTTCTTTCGTTTTCGTCTTCGTTTTCGCCGTCTTCACGCGTCGCTTCGACGGCTTCGCTTCGCCTTCTCCGCCTTCACGCGGGATATCCCAGCCTTTCTTCGCGTAAGCTGTCCTTTGATTATGAAACCAATTGTGCACCTGATTATTCGTGAGACCGCTTCGCTCGGCCATGTCGTCTTTCTGTTCCTGCGACGGGTACGCGCCCTTGGTCTTCCAAAACTCTTGCATGATCGCCCTCTGCTCCTCGCTGTGCATCCTCCACCCTAAACCCGGAACAGACTTCGTGTGCTGCGGCGCACCCACGGGCGCGGGCGCGGGCGCGGCGGCGGCGGCGGTGGCGGCGGCGGCGGCGGGCGCTTCCTTCTTCTGCTTCTTCGGCGGCGGCGTCCTCGGGTCCTCGGTGAGCCACAACCGCGTCATCGGTTTCAACCTCGAGTCCAAATCCAAAAGCCTGAGATGCTTCTTGTTCATCTTCACGAGCGCGTCCGCGTCTAACCCGAACTTCGCCGCGATCATCACCGGCGTGTCGTCGTCGTTTGAAAAGTACAGGTCTCCGAGCGCGGTTTTCGTCGCGACGCCCATCGCGACGCCGTATCCGGCGACGAGATTCTTCTCCTCCTACGTGAGCCCGGCGGCGTCGCGCCCGCTGATGAGGTTCGACTTCGGCTTCGGCTTCGGCTCGGTCGGTCGCTCTCGCGTCGGCGGCGGCGGCGCGATCGAATCTTCGATCGCCGCGGACATCTTCCACCATCGCGTCTCGCCTCCTCCTCCTCCTCCTCCTCGCGGGTGCCTGTTGCCGTACTCCCTCGCGCACCTCGCCTGATCGAGGTAGTGCACGTTCCGGAACTCCGCGAGCGCGTCCACGACCCCCGGCGGCGCGTCGTCGCGATCGCGCGACGTGGGGTCGACCGCGTTCTCGCGGAGGTATCGCAGGAGCTCGCGCGAGGTCCACTCCACCTCGAACGTGCCGTCGAAGCGCTCCGCGTCGTCCGTCCTCGGCGAAAGCCCCGCGTCGTCGTCGTCGTCGCCGCCGCCGTCTACGCGCGCCGCTTCGGGAGCGGCGTCGCGCACGGCGGTGTCGTCGTCGCGAGGCGTCGTCGGAAGGTCCGACGAGGGCGCGTCGTCGTCGCGCACGAATTGGAGTTTATCCTCCTCATTGTTGGCACCCACCCCGTCGTCGTCGCGGTCGCCGTCGTCGCCGTCGCGCGTCGGGGCCTCCGCCTCCGCGACCGCGCGCTGCGACTGCGTCGACGCCGGCTCGAGCTGCGTCGGGATGATCGCGGAGTCCTCGTCGGAGTCGGACCCGCCCTCGGGCTCCATGACGGCGGCGCGCGTCCCGCGCGCGTCCGAGACTGACATGTGGGGGAAGACCTGCGGACGCGCGCATCGCGATCGCGATCGCGCTCGAGCTGGACTGCGACCAGACTACCAGACAGCAGACACAGGCAGGGAGGAGGCCGTTCGGCGAGGGCGACGACGCGCGGCGACGCGCACACGCCAACGCGCGCGACGGTCGTTCGGTCGCGTCCGCGACGGCGCCGCGTCCGCGCGAGCACGTCTTCGAGCGCTCACGCGTCCGCGACGCGGCGCAGGTCGTCGGCATCGCGACGGGGGGCGGACGCGCGAGCGGCGTCGTCGTCGAATCTCGGCGCTGCGGGGGCCCGGAGGCAATCTTAAAGCGGCATCCGACGGAATGGGCGAGGAGGAGACCCCGCCCGCGGCGGAGCCGGAGGCGACCGAGCCCGCCGCGGAGCCCGCGCCCGAGGCCGAGCCCGCCGCGGAGGATGCCGCGCCGGAGACGCCCGCGCCGGCGGCGGACGCGGACGCCGCGGCGGGCGCAGACGCAGACGCGGGCGCGGGCGCGGGCGCGGGCGCGGGCGACGACGCGGACGCCGCCAGCGCGGCGCCTCCCACGGCGCCGGACTCGCCCGCGCCGGTCACCACCGGCGACGGCACCCCCGCGGAGGTCGGAACCCCCGCGGACGCGGCGACGACGGACGCGGACACCCCCGCGGACGGCGCGACGCCGGCGGACGGATCGCCGTCCAAAGACGCCAACACGGACGCGGACGACGAGAGCGACGGCGACGGCGACGGCGACGAGGAAGGCTCCCCGGCGAAAGACAGCGAAGGCGGCGGCGTCGGCGACGGCGACGGCGACGACGACGACGGCGGCGACGCGGACGGAGAGCGCGCGAACGGGGCGGACGGCGGCCGCGACGCGGACGGAACCCAGTCCGACGACTCGGACGCGGAGCTCGCGGATTTCTACCGACGCGACGGAGCCGCGGCGCATGACATCGAAGGGTTCAACGACGACTTCGTCGCGCAGGGGCAGAGCGACAGCGACGAGGACGAGTACGCCGCGGAGATGGTGAAGCTGGCCAAGGAAACGGAGGTCGCGCTCGCGTCGCTCGAGAGCGAAAAGAAGGGGGGCCAGGGTAAGAAAGACGACGGCCCCGACGAGGGCGAACTGCTCGAGGAGGAGATTCGACGCGTTCAAGACGAGGTCTTCAAGCTCGATCGCGTCAACTCCGAGCTCGAGAAGAAAGCCGCGCAGGTCGTGAAGCGCGCGCCCGGGGCGGCGGGGAGCGGCGCGAGCGCGAGCGCGAGCGGCGGCGCGAGCGACGCCGGGTCCGACGCGGGGCCCGGCAAGAAGAAGCCAGCTGGCGCGAAACCCGCCGGCGACGACCCTCGATCGGACCAAAAGACGGAGCAGAGGTACCACGCCGCGCTGACGCGATGGGAGTCGTCGCGCGATGAGCTGAATCGCGTCGAAGCGCACTACGACGACGCGATCGCGCGCGCGGAGGCGTACCTGGAGGCGCGCGAGACGCGCGCGCGCGACGTCCGCGACGCGTTCGCCGCCTTCAAGCTCGAGGCGCGTTCTTCTTCACACTGGTTCCCATACGACCGCGTCGGCGCGGCGCGCGCCGATCCTTGAGGACTTTCGCCCGCGCGCGTTTCTCTCCGCCCAGGGTCCCTCGCTTTCAATCCCGACACACCGCGACGCCCTTCAACTCCGTCTGACGCCTATGAACTCCACCCTGACATTCGTCGCTTCGAACGATGGAACGACCCTCAGGTAGCCAAGGCGGCGGAGAACTCTCGAACCGGGCAGCCGCTCGCGGAGGCGACGATCAAGAAGCTCGTCGCCGCGGAGAAGGAGAAGGAGGCAATCCTGGACAGAGAGCGGCTGAAGAACGTCGTCCTGAGGCACGCGCTGGAGCGGCTCGAGAGAGCGATCCGCGCCAAGGAGCGGCTCGCGGACGGGCTGCATCTGATCGATTTCGAGCAGCTCAAGATCGAGAACCACGGGCTTCACGAGAAGATCGAGGAGCGCGACGAGGAGCTCCTGAAGCTGCGGAAGAAGACGACGACGACGGTGCAGGTCCTGACGCACAGCAAGGAGAAGCTGCAGTTCGTGGCGAGAGAGAACGAGGCGCTCGCGGCGGACATGGCGCGCCTCGAGGAGGAGGGCGCGACGAAGAAGGACACGCTGACGCGTCTGAAGAACGAGCGGGACGCGTTCAGGTGCGTTCTATACACTGGTCCCCATACGACCCCGTTGGCGTGGTGAACGCCGATCCTTAAGGACTTTTGCCGGCGTGTCTCTCCGCCCACCCCTCGCTTTCAATCCCGACACACCGCGACGCCTTTCAACTCCATCTGACGCCTTTCAACTCCACCCCGACGTTCGCTCGTATGGAACGACTCTCAGGGCGGAGAACGAGAAGATGAGGGAGGGGACGGCGACCATCTCGGATCCGATGCTCATCGCGGACTACGAGCTGCAGCTGGACGTCATCGCGTCGTGTAAGAAGCGCGTGATCGACGCGCAGAAGCGGATCAAGGCGCTGAAGGAGACGGCGGAGACGCCGCGCCGGCGGCCGGGGTCGACGGCGAAGGCGACGGCGTGAGTTTCGAGCGTCCGCCGCGCGCGCGTAGGTAGATTTGTCATCGATCGATGAGACGTCATCCATCCATCGTTCCATCGCGCGAATCGTGAGAACCGCGCGCGCGCGTCGCGTCGCTCGAAAATCTCCCCGGGAAACGACCGCGGCGCGGCGCGAGGTGCCGAAAAAGACAAGTCCCCTTGCAAAACTCGACTTCAGCAAACAGAACGTGCGCGCGCGCGCAAAAAAGAGGGTTTGAAGAAGAGGACGCCGTCTCTTCTTCAACGGCGCGATCGGCATTCATCGGCGCGCGACGGCCGGCGAGATCACGACGCGTTCTTCACCGATCGCGCGTTAAAAGACCTACAAGGCGCGCAACACGAAGGAGGACGCGCGCGCGCGAACCCGATCGCCATGGTCGTCTCCCGCACGTCCAAGATGCTCGCGTACATCAACTACCGAATGCGCGTCACGATCGTGGACGGGCGCCAGATCGTGGGACGGTTCATGGCGTTCGATCGCCACATGAACATCGTGCTCGGCGACGCGGAGGAGTTCAGAAAGCTCCCGCCGAAGAAGGGGCTCACGGAGGAGGAGCGCCAAGTCCGCCGCGTCCTCGGATTCTTGCTCCTGCGCGGCGAGGAGGTGGTCTCCCTCACGGTGGAGGGGCCGCCCCCGCAGGAGGACAAGCGCGCGCAGGCGCAGCAGGCGCCCCCGGGCGTGGGGATCGGGAAGGCCGCGGGCCGGGGGATGCCGGGGGTCGTCCCGGGGACGGTCCCGGGCGCGCCCCCGCCGGGGCTCGCGGGGCCGGTGCGCGGCGTCGGCGGCGCGATGGGCGCGCACATGATGCCGCAATTCTCGGCTCCCCCGATGGCTGGCGGGATGCCCCCGGGCATGCCGCCGCCCGGGTTCAGACCGGGGATGCCGCCGCCGGGGATGCCGCCTCCCGGGTTCCGGCCGGGGATGCCGCCGCCGGGGATGCCGCCGCCGGGGTTCAGGCCGGGGCCGCCGGGGCCGCCGCCGCCGTGATCGTCCGCGCGCGGCGTCGGTCGGTTCGAACGGGGGGAAGGGGCGGGGACGGGGGTTGGCGGGAAACCAAAAGCTAAAAGAAAGAAAGCGGCGCCTCTTAGACGTCGACAGACACTTGTAACGCGACGGTTCTCTTTCATCACTAAAAAATCGTTCATCACTCACTTCGCCTTCTTTCGCGCGGCGTCCTCCAGCGCGACCTCCGCGGCGACGGTCTTCGCCGCGCGCCGCGCGCTCAGGAGCAGAGCCAACGCGCTCGCCTGCAGCGCCTTGCCGACGACAAACGCCGAAAAGCCCCAAGCGCCGAACGGCTCCAGAGGCACCTTCCTCCCGGTGTGCTCGTCCACGTACGCGGACGGCGAGCCAATCAGCTGCGCCCACGTCGGCACGACGACCACGTGGCCGCCCGCGAGCAGGAGCGACGCCACGAACGCCGCGAACGCGAGATCCTCCGCGCGGTCGACGAGGACGTCGCGGCGCCTCGCGAGCGTCGCGGAGCCGCGCCACGCGACCGCCGCGACGACGACGACGACGTGCGAGACGATACGCTCCGCGCACGTCAGCGACCACGCGAACGTCTGCAGCGCGCCCCAGCGGTGCTGCGCCATCGTGTACCGCCCGGCGTGGCCGTCGTTTAGGTCCAACGAGAATCCGTCGATGGTCGCGACTTGCGCGGCGGCTTCCTCCAGGACGACGCGGAGGACGAGCGCGAGTCGCGCGACCGCGTGCGCGCCCTCGAGGACGATCGCGACTACGCGCGCGCGCGTCGGGCGCGCGTCCTCGCCGACGCCGTCGACGCGGTCTCCCGGGGTGATCGGGAAGAGCGACGCGACGCGCGCGCGGAAGCGACAGCGCGCGAGCGCGAGCGCGAGCGCGAGCGCGAGCGCGAGCGTCGACGAAGCCGAGCGGACGCACGCGCGGAGAGGGAGGAGGGCGAGGAGAGAGACGAGTGCGAACGCGACGTCGACCTGCGCGGCGTCGAAGGAGGTGATCTCGGCGTACTGCCGCGGCGACGACGCGGTGTCGGAGGTGTCCTCGGACTCGACGTCCGAGGCGACGGCGTCGTCCGCGGCGGCGGCGGCGGCGGCGTTCGCTTCTCTTTTCTCCTCGCGCTCTCGCGCCTCGTCGGCGTCGTCGCGCGCGTCGGCGTCGTCGTCGTCGTCGTCGTTCTCGCGCGCGTCGTCCACCGGCGACGGCTCGCGCACGGGATACGACGCCGGGACGCGCACGCCGGAGACGGGCTGCGTGTTCCCCATCGCGCGCGTCGAAGGAGGGGAGGGGCGCGGGGGGGAGAGTGCGGCTCGAGAGAGGGTTTGAAAGGACGTGACCTCTTCTGCATTTTTTCTGCCGATAAAAAAAAGTCTCAACTAATAAATTTTCTCTTCGCGTCGTCGTCGTAAGGTTCGTACCGTACGTGGACGACAAAACCAAAAAACCCTCCCACCTCGCTCGCGCGCTCACTCCCCCGCGCTCCTCTCCTGCTGCCACTCGTCCCGGTCCTCCCTCGCCGCGGCGACCGCGGCGTGGAACTTCGCGGTCGCCACCTGCGCCGCCGTCGCCGACGTCGCGAGATCGAGGAACGAACTCGCCGCCGCGTGCGCGGGCGGAGGGGCAATCTCGGGTTCAGCCTTGGGAGGGACCGGCGGGACCGGCGCGGGCGCGACGGGTGGCGTCGTCGCCGAGGACGTTGGCGCGGTGGAAGCGGTGGAAGCGGGCGCGGCGGGCGCGGGCGCGGCGAACAGTTCGCGAGCGGGCGTCGTCGTCTTCGAGGCGGTCTTCGACGAGGGCCCTGCGGAGGAGTTTCTGCCGCCGCCGCCGCCGCCGCCGCCGCCGCCGCTCGGAGGCGGCGGCGGCGGCCCCATCGTCATCGTCCCGCCCGGCCCGCTCAAAATTTCGACCGGCAGCGGCTGTTGCTTGTACACCACGCCGTTGTCGATGAGAAACTTTCGCATCGCGAGACCGAGCTTGTCCCTCGCCTTCCCCGCCCTCGCCGGCGGGAGCCCGTTGAACGAGTACTCGTAATACACCGTGAGCTTGATCTTCAACGGGTCGTCCGCGTGCGAGTAAATCCTGGGCGTGCAGTCCAGAAAGTCCTCCGCGTGCGACATCTGAAACGCGTGCAGGTATAACGGCAGCGCTTCGAACACGCGCGCGGAGGTGTGAATGTCCACGACCCACGTCTGCTCGTCGGTGAGATGCTTCGTGCGCGTCAGGTTGACGAGCGGCGCGGTGTTCAGGACCGTGTTGGGGTAGTAGATCACCTGCCCGTTCCACTTCGTCGTCTCCGTGTTCATGATCGAGATGTTCCGCACCACGTGCCGCTCGCCGTTGATCAAGATGTTGTCCCCGATGTCGAACGAGTGCACGATGAAGATGAAGATGATGGACTCGAAGAGCACCTTCACGGAGTTGCCGAACATGAACGCGAACGCGAGCAGCACGGAGGACACGGTGAACCACATCTCCATGATGTTCATGTCGAAGATCGCCATGGCGATGAAGAGCAGGACGACGTGGAACGCGGTCAAGACGATCCTGTCGAGCGTCGCGAGGACGCTCGTGGCGCTGTCCAACGACCGCGCGAGGTCCCTCCGCTTCTCGTAAATCTCCACGAACCTCCGAACGATCTGAGGGCCATTCCATACAAAAATAGTTCTCCGGTCAGTTGAAAGGGGATGCGATCAAGTGTTGAAACCGGGCGATGGGTGAAACACCTTTGTATAGAACGCACCTGATCCCTCTTCAGCGACCCGACGCCGTCGACGTCGAGCACCTCCATGACCTTCTCCTGCACCTGTCGCGGGAGACCCATCGTGTTGAAGAAGTCGTGATCGAGCGGGACGAACCGCCGCGCGCCCTGAAGCTGCCGCATCACCGCGATCATTCGCAACGCCGTCGTCGACGCGACGGACCTGTGGACGATTTGCTCGTCGACAATCTTCGGCAGGTCCCCTCGGACGTGCACGCGGTTCGCGTTCTTCACGAACTTCTCAGGGAGGTGTATGACGCGTCGGCGGACGTGCTGCGACATGCGCTGCAGGCGCGCGAGCGACATGTCCGCGGGACCGATCGAGCCCTCTTTCATGACGATCTGAGGGTCGTTCCATACAAAAAGAGTTCATCGGTCAGTTGAAAGGGGACGCGATCAAATGTTGAAACCGGGATATGGGGGAAAAACTTTTGTATAGAACGCGCCTGATCCGTCTTGATCGGAAGCGTCTCCTTCGTGAGCCGGATCCAGTTGGACAGCGATATGGTGATCTTTCTCCGCTTCATCAGCGCGCCTCGCACGCGCCCGAAGTGACGCAAGAGTCCGCTCTGATGCGACTGGTGCGACGACTGGCGCGATGACGACGACGACGACGTCTGTCCAGAAGATCCCCCCTCCGCGGCGCTCGTCGTCGCGGCGAGCGGATCCGCGCTCTTCCACCACCGCCGCCGCGGCTTCGTCGGCTTCGGGTTCGGCGACCCGGGGGAGTAGTCGTCCGCGCCGCCCGCGCCGCCCGCGCCGCCTCTGCGGTCGTCAACATACCCGTGGTCGCTCGCCCACTGCCGCAAGTCCACGCTGCACACCGCGAGCAACGTCATGACGACGAACTCCTCCGCGAGCGCGCGCATGATGGGCTGAAAGTATGCCGCACGCTGAAAGTACACCTCCAGGTACCGCGACAGCGCTTTCGCGGCGGTGAGCGTGATCCCCCACGCGATGAGGCAGCTGCATATCCGCTGCACGAGCTCGTGGCCGCCGCTCCAGCCGCCGTCGCCGTTCGCGGAAGAGCGCAGCAGATGCTCCCACGCGACGCGAAGGACGATGGCGTAGAGCGTGAAGGTTAAATTCGTGAAGACGCCGCCGAGGATGAAGGAGACGCGCTTCGCGATGACGTGCTTCCGGTCCAGCGCGAGCATGACCAGATCCATGAAGAACGTCATGACCTGCCTCCCACCGAAGACGATCGTGCACCAGCACCCCCATCGCCACGGCGTCGCGCCGCCGAACTTCGTGGAGATGTCGTGGCGGTACGCCACGAGGACAAGAGTGCCGACGAGGGAGATGAGGAAGAGCGTTCGGATCGTCCATCGCCACGCCATCTTCATCTGCGCGAGCTGCCTCGCCTCTTGGACCGCCTCCATCTCGCTTTTCGCCAGGATGCTCGTGTCCTGCAGCTCGCCATCGTCCTCCTCCTCGGGTTCGGTCGTCTTCACGGGTGGCGGCGCGCCCGGCGATTGCTGCGGTTTCTTACCCGATCTCGACCCGCCGTCGAGGGAGCCACCGTCGCGGTGGCCCGTCGCGCTCGCGCCATTCGTCGCGGCGGGCTGAACGACGACCTTCTCGAGGTCGCCGCCCATCGCGCCGGACCCGTCGCGTCGCGAGGTCAACGCGCGCGCGTCCGGTCCGCGCCCGCGTCGAATGTCGGCTCGGACGAATCAAACGCGTGACACACAACGCGTGACTGGAACCGTCACGCGTTTGATTTTCCGCGTCAGCGCCGACATGATGCGTCACGCGTTTGTTCAGGTCGGAATCGGCCGCGGTCGTTCAGTTCGTCTTTCGTTCACTTCAGCGCGACGTCGCGGCTGGCTATGTCTACTAGTTCTCGTTCCTCGCTCGTCGTCGTCGTTCCCTCCCTCGCGCCGCTTCGCTCCCGCCCTCCTCTCCTCCGTCCCAGGGTTTCGGGTTTAGGGTCGCACCACGTCTTCCCCCCCGCGGGAGGAGGCCTCGGCGCGCGGCACCGATAACACTCGCTCCGACGCTCGAAATTATTCCCGCACCCGTGCGGGCACCGCCAGTCGCCTCTCCGCGACGTCGCACGAAACCCGCCCGGACCGAGCAGCCGGTCCTGCACGTGTTTGTGATGCTCGCACCCCGGGTGCGCGCCGTAGCACCCGGCCTTGTCGCAGACGTGCTCGTAGTGACACGCGTCGCCGGCGGGGCATCCCTCGGGAGTGCTGTACGCGTGGCAGATGCGGTACAGCCGCGCGCGCGCGTCCGTCGACGACCCGGCTTGGTTTAGGGTTAGGGACGAGAGGCGCGCGTCCTGCAGCACTTCGCCGTGGTCGGAGATGGCGAGGTGGACGTTCAGGTCGCCGACCTCCACCTTCGGCGCGGACGGCGGCCCGCGAAGCCCGCGCAGAGACGACGCCGACGCCGACGCCGCTTCGTCGGGGGTCTCGTCCTCGATCTCAGGGTCGTTCCATACGAGCGAACGTCGGGGTGGAGTTCAAAGGCGTCAGTTGGAGTTGAAAGGCGTCGATGGCGGTGATTGAAAGGGAGGGGTGGGCGGAGAGATACGACGGGCAAAGTCCTTAAGGATCGGCGTCCACCACGTGAACGCGGTCGTATGGGAACCAGTGTATAGAACGCACCTCATCCGGATCGGCGCGACGCGCGGCGATCGTCGCGAGCTCCCGCGCGGCGTGCGCGATGAAATCCGCGTCGTCCAGGATGCCGATGAAATCCGACCGCGAGCACAGCGGCGGCGCGGGCGGGACCGTCGTCAAGGGCTGCGGCGGCGGCGCGAACACGGGGCGGGCTCGCGTCGGCGGCGGCGGGACCTCTCCGATGAACTCAACCGTGTTCGCGTCTCTCGCGGGCGACCGCCGCGGCTCCGGCGGGGGGACGGCGCCGACCGCGCCCGTGCCCGTGCCCGTCGTCGATCCAGGCGGCGGCGGGACCTCCATCACGGTCGCCGACGGCGCGCCGCCGGCGCCGGAGAGCGGCGCCACGCGCGCGCGCTTGTTCGCGGTGGCTTCGTGCAACGCCGTCATCCGCTGCGCGGCTTTTTCGTTCTTCAGACGCTTCACCTCGTCCACGTCTTCCGCGGTGATGTTCAAGTACGGATTACTCTGCGGCTTCTTCTTCTCCGTGGTAGATCCGGATTTGCCTAACGCCATCGCGGCTTCCGTTTCCGCGTGCAGACGTTTCTGCGCCGCTCGCCTCGCGCTGAACCCGATCTGCGTCGGGTTAAAAAAAATCGGTCTCCGTCACGATCGTCGTCGTCGTGACCGTCTTCGGCGGCGGCGGCGGTTTCGATTTTGGCTTCGGGACCTCTCTCCAGTCCATGATAATCGGCTCGGCGTCGTCGTCGATCGAGCTGCTGTCGATCAAACCCGGGGTCGTCGACGGTTTCGGTTTCGGTTTCGGTTTCGACGCGCTCTCGGACATCGCGCGTTTCGCCGCGGCGCGAGCGCGAGCGCGAGCGGCCTCCGTCGCCGACGCCGGCGCCGCGTTCTCGTTCTCGTCGTCGTCCGACGATAAGTCGACGCACACGATCTCGCCCGGCTTCTTCTTCTTCTTCTTCTTCTTCTTCTTCTTCGTCGTCGTCGTCGTCGTCTCCGCGGAGTCCCCCCTCGCGGCAGCCGCGGCGTGCTTCGACTCCGCGACGACGTCTTTCGCGACCCCCGCTTTCTTTCCGCCGCCGCCCGCGCTTCCGTTCGCGCGCGTCTCCTCCGGGGGCGCCCTCGCCCTCAACTTCTCGTCGACTCCCAGCGACTCCCAGCTCTTCTTCATGTGCTCGATCCGTACCCGCGCCTCCGCGTGCGCGTCCCAGTACCCCTGACCGTAACAACACAGAAGCTCTTCCCCCGGCTCGATCGCCCGCAACGACACGTGCATCATGAACGGAAACCCGTGGACCAAAACCTCCACGAGCGCGACGTTCGGCTCCGCGATCCTCTCCGGACCGTCGCTCGGATCGATCGTCGGGTCGTTCACCGCGGCGGCGAACCCGCCGTAGCCGTACGCGTCCACGAGCATCTTGACGCCCCCGACCTCCGTCCCGCGCGTGTTGTCGAACATCGTCTCGAACATGAGGTGATTGAGCTCCTCCTCGAGCGCTTCCACGGGCGTCGCGGCGTCGCCGCGCGCGCCGCCGCTGCCGCTGCCGCTCCCCGGCGGCGGTCGGAACTTCCTGACCGCGTGCTCGGCTTCCGTGCAGACGTACGCGGCGTACGGACCTAATATCGTCCGCGCCGGAATCGCCGCGCGCTTGTCCTTTTTGCACCGCACCCCGAGCTGACCTCGAAGCGCTACCCGTCGGTCGTACTTCTTCACCGTGAACATCTCCACGTCGGAGGAGTACGCGAGCTCGCGCGGGAGGTCCCACTCCGAGCGCGCCGGTTCAGACCGCGAAACGTCGTTCGTTAACGTTTCCACGGACGCGGCCACCTCCGCGCGCATCGCCTTCGCGACGCGCGTCGTGACTTGCTTGTGCGCCTGCATCCCTTTCAGGCGGTGGTAGTCGTCCCCCTCGTCCACGGGCGATAGTATCCGCGCGGGAGGTATCTCCATCGACGTCTCGTTCCCCCTCGCTGCCAACAGCGCTCTGACTTCCTTGTACAGACGCGTCACCTCGGGCGAGAGGACGTGCGACAGGACTTCCATCTCCCCCTCCGCGAGCGGCGGAAGCGCCGGCGACCCGGGAAGATCCCGTCGCACGCCCCCCAACGGATTCGCGAACACCTGCTTCGCCTTCGCCTTCGCCTCCCTCTTCGCCTCCTCCTCCCTCGCCCTCGCCCGCGCCTCCTTCGCCTTCGCCTTCGCCTTGGCGTCCTCGAACGCCTTCATGCGCGCCTTCTCCCGCGCGACCTCCCGCTCGCGTTATCTCTCCCTCTTCGCGTCCTCCTCCGCCTTTCGCTTCGCCTCTTGATGCGCCTTGTACGCCGCGAGCTCCGCGCAACTCCGCTCCTTCCGCTCCTCCTCCCTCTCCCTCGCGGACTTGGACGACTGCCGCACGAGGATCAGCTCCACGTCGCTCTCGCTGAGCTCCTCGTGGTCGCCGTCTTCGAACTGGATCCAATACAGCCACCCGTCCGCGTCGTCCTCGCCCTCCGCGCCCGCGGCGCGCAGCCACCGCGCGGACGCGACCACGCCGTGAAAGTCTCCGTGCCCTTCGAACGTCTTCATCACCCGCTTCCCCACGTACGCCAGCTGCTCCGCGGACGGCGCGCGGTTGTCTCGCTCCTCGCGCTGCAGCCGCGACGGCGACGGCAGCCGCGACTCGACGAGGACGAATCGCCGCAGATCCACCGGGTCCGCGTCGTCGTCGTCGTCGTCGTCGCCGCCGTCGTCGAGCTCCTCGAGCTCCTCGATGACGCCCACGGGCTCGTCCGCCTCGTTCACCTCCGAGGCGAGCATCACGAGCGCGTACTCGATCTCCCGCGTCTCCCATTTGAGCTCGAGCCCGCTGAGGTCCGTCGCGACGCCGCTGAGGAGGGACGCGGTCGAGATCTCGCGCGCGCGGACGACGGGCTCGCCTCCGCGGAACCTCGGCTCGCTGCACAGGTACCACTTGATGAGCTGGAGGCCCCACGGCGACGTCGGGCCGACCGGGGTGGCGTTCGGGGCGTCCTGCGGAGGGAGGGAGGGTCGGGGGAGGGGGTGGAGGAGGGAGGGGAGGAGGACGGGGAGGTGAGGAAGGGGAGAGGGCGAGGAGGGCGAGAGCGGGCGATCGGAGATCGGGCACCCTCTGACGACGGTTCGAAGATGGATCGATCGACGACGTCCGCGCGAAGACGAACCGAACGAGGGGGGCGACGCCGCGCTGTGGGGGGGATGACGCACCTTGAGCCACGACGAATCGGGCTGAGGGAACATGTCGGGATCTCATCCATCGTTCGCCGTCATCGCGAGCGCGTCCCCGCCAGGACGCGCCGCCTCCTCCTCGCGCGGCGCGACTTCAGCGAGGGGGTGCCAGTTCGGGGTCCACTCAGGGCCATTCCATACAAAAACAGTTCATCGGTCAGTTGAAAAGGGGAGGGATCAAATGTTGAAACCGAGCGATGGGTGAAAAGTTTTTTGTATCGCACCTCAGCAGAAATATCGCATACTGTATCGTCAGAACGTTCCCGCCATAAAAGAGCGCATCGCCCCCCGCGCACGCCGTCTGCCCGCCGCGGTCATGGCGACCCCGAGTTCCTCTCCGAATACGAGATCGAGCGCGCGAAGATCATCGCGCAAGGCGGAGACCGCCGCGAAAGCGGCGGCGGCAAAGGCACATCCGTTCAAGGCGTACAAGCCGAAACCGCTGAAGGACTTGCGATTTATGAGCGCGGCGGCGCGTAAGAGGGCGGTGCGAGCGATGGGCGCCTACGACTCGGACTGAACGACAGTCGACGTACGCGTCGGCCGCGGTGGGCGCGCGCGGGGTGATGTGACGCCGGCTGAAAACGAACGAATTTCAATATTACACCGACGCAGCAAGGTAAGACCTTCGTCACCGCTTCGAGTACACCGGCGTCGCGTCCGCGGTCGGCTGCGACACGCGCGTGAACTTCAGCAGCTGCGCCTCCACTGTCATCTCCCTCGTCCCGACCACGTACGGCTCGAGCTCGTCCATCGTCCACCGCGGCTTGAGGGTAAACAACGCGTGGAACCTCTCTTTCGGGGTCTTGGGCAAGCGATCCGCGCGGAACGGGCGCACGAAAGCGTTTTCGCTGCCGTCGACGCCCGCCGTCTTGTCCACGAGCGCGAGGCCTCTCAGGAGCGACGCGTCGACGACGTCGCGCAGTTCCTCCGGGACGGATTCCCTCCATCGCTCGACGAAATCCCTCAGCCGCCACCGCCCGGCGTTGACGCCGCCGCCGCCCGGGCCGCCGCCGCCGCCGCCGCCGCCGCCGCTCGCCGCGACGGGCTCGTCGAGCAGCCCGCTCGCCTTCGCGACGCACACCTTGGTCGCGTCGACGCTCCAGGACGCGTCCGCGGAGTTGGGATGGCAGTACGCGCGGAGAAAGTGCTGCGTCACCGCCTCCGGGAAGCCATCCTCGGCGAGCTTCTCGACCGCGTCCTTCTCCGGGATCTTCGTCAGCGGCCACCCTTCCACCTGCGCGTTGAAGGGTGGAGTTGAAAGGCGTCAGCTGGATTTGAAAGGCATCGAAGGCGGGGATTGAAAGCGAGTGGTGGGCGCAGAGATGTGCCGGGCGAAGTCCTTAAGGATCGGCGTTCACCACGCCAACGCGGTCGTATGGGGACAAGTGTGCACACCTGCGCGTTGACGATCGCGACGTCCATGACGTGGGCGAGGTACGACGGCTCTATGCCGCGCCACTTGCCGTCGAGGACGAACGCGGGGCCTTCGTCGAGCGCGGCGATGATCTCCATCTCGCTCGCCTGCGCGTTCTCGACGAGATCCTCGAGGTCGAACCCGCGGTTCGACGACGACGACGATCTTCCGCCTCGCCGCGGCGCGCCGTCCTCGTTCGCGGCGTCTGCGTCTCCTTCCTCCTCCGCCTCCGCGGCGGCGACGTCTTCCTCCCCCTCCTCCGCGTCCGCGTCGTCGAGCTCGCGCTCGCGCTCCGGACCCGCGTACACGTGCGGCTCGGACTGCAGCCGAGCCCACATCGCGTCCAGGCGAGGCGCGATGAGGGTGAGCTCGAGGTGCGACGACGCCTGCGCGAACGCGGTGATGTCCTTCTTCGCGCGCTTCGGATCATTCGGATCGCTCGCGCCGCCGGCGTCTTTCTGCTGCGACAGCGCGAGCGCGCACGCCTCCGCGGGCGTCTCCGGCGGATCCCTCGGCTTGGGCGACGGCGCCGACTTTCGTGGCTTCTTCGCGATCGGCTCGGGCGTGCCGCGATCGCCGTCCGCGCCCTCCGCGCCCTCCGCGTCGTCGTCGTCGTCGTCGTCGTCGTCGCCCAACCCGCCGGGGGGCTGAAGCAGGAGGAGCGTGTTCGACGTCTCCACGCGCTTCACCGCGTACGTCTTGTCCCTCGTGCACAGCACCGCCTCCTCGTCGGGCGCGCCCTTGAAAGCCATCTCGCCACCCTCCTCGATCACCGCGAGGAGCTCGGGGGGGAGCTCCATGAGCTCCACCTCCTCGCGCTCGAACCCGGCGCCGAGGACGAGGTTGGCTTCCTCGCCGTCCTTCAGGTCGTGCGTGCGCGTGATCCAGTCGGTGCCATCGTCGACGTCTTCGTCCGGCATCGTCGCTCGCGCGATCGGACGAGTGCGGTTCAAATCAGGTTTTGGTGTCGGGTCGCTGTCGTCCAGTCAAGCAGGCGGCTGACGACGCGAGCAGAGTTGCTGACGACGGGTGTGACGTTGAAGGCGACTCTCGCGTGGACGCGGAGTCTAGCTCGTAGGGCCTACGTCGCGCGGCACGACACCTCGAAACTCACGTCTCGCATATGTACACCACTCATCACACCTCGTACTCCGTCGCCGCCTGCGTCACGCCGTACGCCGCGTACGACGTCACCTCCTCCACGTCCTCCCTCGACCCGATAAACAGCGGCGCGCGGTCGTGCACGCCCGAGACGGTTTTATTCAACGTCGCCCCGGACCCGTCGCTCGCCGCGCCGCCGCACGCGCGCGCGATGAACGCCAGCGGGTTCGCCTCGTACACCGTACGCAAGTGCGGCCGAGGGTTCCCGCACCACCCGCCGTGTTTTAACGTCCGGTGGAAGTCCGTTACCAACGACCCGACGTACAACCCGGAATACTTCTTCTTCGTCTCCCCCTTCCCCTCCCGCACTTTCGCGACGTACTTTTGCAAACCCTGCGGCCAGTCCGCGAACCGCGCGTCGTTCAGCGAGTACGTCTGCCCGCGCGGCGGGCAGCTCAAGATCCCCACCCTCTTGAACTGCGCGTCGGTCTCGCTCAGCGTAAACTCGGTCGCGGGGCCGCCGCCGGCCACCGCCACGACCAAATTCGTCGCCGACGAATAACTCGCGTACCCCGCGGCGACGAGCGCGCTCCCGCGCTGCAACGCGTGCGCCTCCACGTCGTCGTGTATCAAGTGCTCCTCGTTCTCCGCCGCGTCCTTCAGCACGCGGTGCACGCCGAAGATGGTGCCGGTCGGGAGCGACGCGTCGAGGTTGCGCGAGCCGTCCAGAGGGTCGCACGCGACGACGAAGGCGCCGCCGGAGTCGAGCTCGACGACCACCTTCTCCTCCTCCGACGCGTAGTATCGCACGCACCCGGTCGCGAGCAGCGCGTCGCGAACGAGCGCGTTCGCGAGGACGTCGAGCTTTTTAACCTTATCCCCGGTCGCGTTGGTCGGCGCGGCAGCCCCGTCGGCGCCCTGCCCCTCGGACGACGACGCGTCCGGGTCCGGGGGGGGCGCGCGCCGCAACGTCTTTGAAATCTCCACGCACGCGCCCGCCAACGCCGCGAGCACCCTCGCGAGCTCCAAGCGTTCGGTGTCCACGCAGTCGAGACGCACGCCCGCGGCGTCCATCTCCGCGCCCCAGTGCCACGCCACGGACGCCACCTCGAGATGCCCCGCGGGTTTCTCGAGGAACTGCGCGACGCCGTAGGCGCCGGAGACGAGCCACCCGTGCGGGTTTTCGCGCTTCGCTCGCTCCACTTGCTCGGCCGCGATCCCGCACGCGATCTCCGCTTTCAACGTCCGCAGCGCGAGCAGCGAGGTGGGGAAGTACGCCGCGACGTCGGAGAAGCGCGACGAGAAGTCCCAGCGCCGGTCGCCGAGGAGTCGGCGGTAGTTGGCGTCGCCCTTCAACACGACGACGTCCTCCGCGCGCAACGCGTCGAAGACGTCCGAGGGGAGGTCCCACAGCGGCTGCGGCTGCGCCCACGCGTTGTTCGGCGCGATGACCCACGCGCCGGTGGACAGGTGCGTCGCCCACCGTCGCCCCATCGCGGCGATCTCGGCGTTTTCGGACTGCTGCATGACGTAGACGGTGCCCCGGACGTCTTTGTCCATCGCGTCCGAGACGAACGTCGGGTGGCCCTTGACGTGAAACGTCACGCGCGCGTCTTCAAACGTCGCGGGGGGATCCGAACCGTCGCCGGGACCCGAACCGTCGCCGTCGTCGCCCGTCGCGGTCGCCGCGGTCCCCCGCCGCGCGCACACAATAGCGTCCGCGAGCGCGAGGTCGCACACGAGCTCGAACCCGGCGTTGTCGACGACGATCCCGACGTTCGCGACGTCGCGTCTCAACAAAAACGCCGCCGCCTCGCCCGCGTCGTCGTGAAGAAGCTTCTCCTCCCCCAATCCGCTCATCGCCTCGTTCAGCGCGTCCGACGACCGCCCCCCCGCGTCGCCGCCGCCGCCCTCGGGCCAGATCGACAGGTCCATCCGGTTCCCCCACAGCGACACGAGCGCGAAGAGCTTCAGCGACGAAACGCGCTGGTCCAAGTCCTTCGTAGCGGCGGATTTCGCGAACGCGTTGAGTCGCGGCGCCAGCGCCGCCGTCGCGTCCGCGCACGCGGCCAACCCGGCGTTCTTATCCGCGGAAAACGGGTCGTGCAGCGCGAGCGGGCCGTCGCCGAAGTACCCGAACGCCTCGAGGACGCGCCGGTAGAAGTAAAACTCCACGACGAGCCACGGGGCGCACAGCAGCGTCGTTCCGAGATGGGGCGCGAGGATACTCTTGTTCCAACGCTCGACGTCCGCGCCGCCGTCGTCGCGCACCGGGCGAATCTGCGCGTCGGCGGCGATCGACAGCTCCGCCTCGAGCGCCTTCAGCGCGGTCGTCGCGACGCGCGACTTCTTCAGCGCGTCCTTGTTATCGCTGACGACGCGCGACAGGATGTCCTCGCGCAGGCGCCGGTTCACGGTGTCGTGCGCCCACGTGCCCTCCTCGTCGCTGACGATGGAATCCGGCAGTTTCCCGTCCGCGACGAGCGGCGCGCGCGCCGCGTTCGCGACGCTGTTCGGGCCGTCCGGCGCGCACAGCGGCACGAAGATCTCCTCCGGAGCCGGCGGCGTCGGCGTCGCGACGATGCGCGGCCGCGCGATGCCGTTCGGGTTCGGCGTGGGGTCGAGGGGTTTCGCGTACGGGTTCGCGTCCGGCAGCGCGGCCGCCGCGAGCGCCATGGCGTCGGTGTCCGCGAAGAACGGCGTCGCCTTGTGCAGCGCGCGCTCTTCCGTCTCTCTCGCGAGCTGCTCGTCCATCGCGGGCGGCGCGTACTTCTTCCGCGGTGTCGGCGCCTTCGAGTCTTTCTCTTTCGAGTCTTTCTCCTTCGTGTTCGCCGCCTTCGCCTTCGCCGTCTTCACCGCGGAGGTCTTCGCCTTGGGCGCGCCCGCCTTCGCCTTCGCGGCGCGGCGCTTCTTCTCGGCCACCTTTTTCAATCCCTTCTCGCCCAAACCTTGGCAGCGGACGACGAGCGGGACGAGCGGACGCGGCGGCGCGGAGAGGAGGCGCGAGCGAGGGAGCGACGCGACGCGCGAGGGCGACGCGCGCGCGATGAGCGAGGGCGTCGGGAGGATCATCCCGCGCAGGCGACGGCGCCGCGCGGATTGATTGGCGCTGAGTAGGATGTTTGTTAGCACGCGGATAAAACCGACAAGTCAGTTTCGCGGACACGTGGGTTAGGTTTCCGGCCGCTGCGCGGTCGGGAGCGATCGGCGTCGGCGCCCTTGATCGCGAAGTTGGCGCGAGTTGCCGAGCGAGACCTGGCTTCAATGCAAACGTTTTTCACGCATCCCTCGGTTTCAATATTTGATCGCGTCCCCTTTCAACAGACCGATGAACTTTTCTCGTCGAGAAATGGGCCCCATCAACAGAAGTCGGACGAAATTATTGATCGCGCGCACACAGCGCCGAGACGCCCCGCAGCCTCGCCCGCCCGCGGACGGGAGCGATGACCGGCGTCGCGTTCCCTCGCGACGCGAAAGGCAAGCGGACGACCACGCGCGCGGGGAAAGAGGTGTGGGCGGCCGCCGCGCTCGCGCTCGAGTCCCTGGAAGGCCGCGCGCTCGCGCAGGACATCCTCCTCGAGAAGGACTGGCGGCATCGCTACCCGAAGCACCTGACCGCGCTCGCGGAGCTGCAGTCCACGGTGGAGCGCGCGATGTGCGTCGCGTCCGCGCGCGCGGGGCTCGCGGCGCTGCACGACCACTTCGAGTTCGTCGTCGAGGAGGGAGAGGACGACGAGACGTCGCGGCCGCTCGCGGACGCGATGCGCGAGGCGGTGACGGACGGACGGACGTACCTGCGGACCGCGAGGATCGGGCGCGTCGCCGTCTCGCGGTCGCCGCCGCCGGCGGCGTCGGAGGCGCTCCTCGCGTCCGCGCGCGCGTGGGCGGCGGACGGCGCGATCGAGCGCGACGTCGTGGACGCGCTCGAGCGCGCGAACGCTCACGCGACGGAATGGGCGAGCGAGAGGGGACTGTTCAAGGACGTCGTCTTCGTCCTCCTCGGCGGCACCTCCGAGCTGTGCCCGCTGATCCCGCTGCTCGAGCGCGGCGCGACCGTGGCGTGTGTCGCGCGAGGCGAGGCCGGGATCAAGTCCGCCGCCGCGATCGCGACCGCGTCCGAGTGCGGCGGGACGCTGCTGTTTCCGATTAAGCCCAAGCCGTGGGAGGCGGACCTTCGGTTCGACGAGTCGAAAGCCGCCAGCTGGCGGGAGGCGTGGGACGAAGGACGCGCGGGCGCCGACCTCATCGCGGACGCGCCCGCGCTCGCGGCGTGGCTCTGCGCCTTGGAGCCTAAAAAACGACTCGTGATTGGCAGTTACGCGTACTTGGACGGCGAGGCGCACGTGCGCGCGTCCCTCGCGTCGGACGCCGTCGCCGCAGCGGTCCTCGACAAGCGACCGGACACCGCGCTGGCGTACTTGACCTCCCCCGGGACCGCGTTCCCGATCCCCAAGAGCGCGTGGGACGACAGCAAGGCGAGGCACGAGCGAGAGAACTGGACGTGGTGGCACCAGCCGCTGTGGCTTTTCACCGGGGGCTTCAAGCCGAACTGCCGACCGCCGGCGAAGCGGGAGAAGAAGCTTCGAGTCATCGACGAAGACGCGGAGGTGGACGACGCGTCCGCGGAGATGCACGAGGACGTGCACGTCCACGACGGGCACCTCGTGCTTCAGGGCCCCAACTACGCGCTCGCGAAGACGCTTCAGAACTGGAGGGCGATCGTCGCGCGCGACGACGGCCACTGCGTCAGCGCCAACGTGGCGCCGGCGAGTCGCACCAAGGCGCGTTCTCCTCACGCCGGTCCCCGTACGACCGCGTCGGCGTGGTGAACGCCGTTTCTTAAGGACTTTCTCTCCCGGCGCATCTCTCCGCGCACCCCTCGCTTTCAATCCCGACACACCTCGACGCCTTTCAACGCCAAGTCTGACGCCTTTGAACTCCACCCCGACGTCGCTTCGTACGGACCCTCGACCCTCAGAGCATGCTCCACGTGGACGCCGTCAAGCGCGGGCTGGAAGGGCAGAAGCACTTCGCGCCGCTGCGCGCGTTCGACGTCGAGGAGACGAGAGACATGATGTGTGCGCTGCTGCTGCACGACTTGGGGCACGAGGGGTCGTCCGCGCGGCCGGAGTGGGGCCGGAGGGAGGACGGCGACGGGCGGCATCCGTTCGACGCGTTCGGCGCGACGGCGGCGCACGGGGGGACGTGGCGGTGCGCCTTCTCCGTGGACTCGATCGGGAAGGCGGCGTACGTGCTGGGGTCGACGATCGGTTGATCGGGAAGGCGGCGTACGTGCTGGGGTCGACGATCGGTTGATCGGTCGAGCGACGGATGCGCTCGCTGTTCGATTCATCAGTCTCTTCGTACTACGGTGATGGTTTTTTAGACTACAAAACGTAAACGTTTACTCCTCCGCCGGGGTGACCTTCCAAATTTTTATGAGCCCGTCGTCCGAGCACGACGCCAGGCACGTCGGGTCCGTCGGGTGCCACGCCACGGTGTTCACGTCGTCCAAGTGCCCGTCCTCGTGATGCTCGCCTATCGCGCCGACTTCCGCCCACGCGCGTCCACTCCCGTGGCTCCCATCGCTCTTCATCGCGGCGTAGACCCGCACGCTGTTGTCGCCCCCCGCGGCGGCGATCAAGCCGTTGCGGCCCCAGTGCACGTTCAACACCGGGCGGTCGTGCCCGCAGGGGAACTTGCACGCGATGGAGAGGTCCGCGCCTCGTGGACCTGGAGAGAGGAGAGAAGGGGCCGTGGGGAGCGAAGGAGGGGTGAGAAGGAGGGAAGAAGGGGAAGGTAGAGCGGACGGGAGCGTCGAGCGTCGAGCGCGTTGAAATGTATGTCGTGGGCAAAGATCTGAAGCGCCCACGGAGAGTGGCGCGGCAGTTGCAATTTAGCCCACGGGGCTGCCAAGCCCCAGGTTACTTTCGCTGGCAGTTATGTTGACCCGAGCGCATGTGGAGCGCGCTCGACTCGACCGTCTGACCAGCAACGAACGAAGCGATGCGAAGCGAGCGGCCGCGAGAAGAAGCGAAGCGCGAAAACGAAGCGACGTCTTCGAAGCGAGCGAGCGACGACGACGAAACGCGCGCGCGCGCACCCGCCGCGTTCCACACCGCGATCGTTCGATCGTCCGAGCACGTCACCACCCTGTGCGCCCCCCCCGGCTCGAACGACGCGCACCATACCGTGCTCTCGTGCCCGCCGTCCTCCTTCGAGAGCGTCTTCGAGCACGACCAGTCGTCTCCGTCCGGGTCTTCCGTCCAAATTTTGATCGTGTCGTCGTACGACGTCGACACGAGCACGTCCTCCGTGGGGTGCCACGTCACGCATTTAACGTCCTGGGAGTGGCCGTTAAGCACCGCGACGCACTCGAAGTCGTTCCCCGGCTGCAGCTCCCAGATCCACACGGACTTATCTCGCCCGCAGGTGGCGAGCAGCGTGCCGCTCGGCGACCACGCGCAGGACTTGACCTCGTTCTCGTGGCCCTCGACGACGGCGACGCACTCCCAGTCGCCGCCGCTCTGCGTCCAGACCGCGGTCGAGGCGTCGAACGACGCGGTCGCGAGGAGCCGACCTGGGTGGTCGCGGATAGGGTGAAGGGAGGGGGCGAGGGTGGGTCAGACGAGAGGCCTCGAACGAGAAGGGTCGGGACGGACGGAGGCGCGCGATCGTATCGGATCAGATTTAGGGTAAGCGACGACGACGACGACGCGCGCGCGCGCGCGCACCGCACGGCGACCACGACACCTGCCGCACGGTCCGATTGTGCACGCCCTCGAGCTCCGCGACGGTGACCCAGTTCCCTCCCGCGGCCGCGCTCTGCGACCACAGCCGGCACGTCTTGTCCGAGGACGTCGACGCGAGGCATCGCCCTCGCGGCTCCCACTGCATCCCCCAGACGCGATCGTCGTGGCCCTCCAGCTCGGCGACGAGCTCGATCGTCACCGCCTTGGCGTCGGAGAAGTCCGGGGGCGCGGACGGCGGCGGCGGCGCGGAGCTCGCGGGTGGGGGGTCCGGCGCGGGGGAGGGCTCGGGGGGCGGGTCCGAGGGCTTGCCCCGGCCCAGGAACGACAGCATCTCGGCGTCGATCGATGTGACGGCGCGGGGAACGTTCGAAGCTTTTTAGGAAAAACCAAGACGGTCGACGCGACGTCGACGTCGCATTCTCGCGGGCGCCTCGCGCGTCGATCGAGATGGCGTCTTCATGCGCCACCTTCCTCCACGCGTGCTCGTCGCTCGCCCTCGGGCAGCGGCGCGCGAGCGCCCCGCGCGCTTCCACCTCGCGGCATCGCGTCCGCGCGCGCGCGGCCCCGCCGGCGGGGGGCCCCGACGACGCCTCCGAGGGCGAGTGGAATCCCGCCCGCGGCCCTCCCGGGGCGGAGCGAGACCGGTACCGCGCGCCCACGGAGTACGACTACGACTACGCCCCGCCGTCGCAGCGCGGCGGCGGCGGGCCGTGGGAGTCCGCGCGCGGCGCGCCCCCCGGCGGCGGGCGCGGCCTCGGCCAGGGCGGCGACGGCGGAGGCGGCGGCGGCAACAACGCCGTCACCAACTTCCTCATCGCGGGCGCGTTCGTCGTGGGCATGGGCGCGGGCGTCGCGTTCGACACGTCCGTGAACCTCGAGCCCTCGAACGTCGCGTCGCGCGACATCTTAGACCGCCAGACCCCGTCCAGCGAGGTGTGCATGGCGAACGGCGCGTCCGCGATGGTGTTCGACCAACGCGTGTTCTTGTCGCTCAACCCGTTCAACATGTACGTCGCGCAGCCGGAGGTGAAGCCCGGGTGCGTGTTGCGGCGGAGCAACTGGAACGTGCTGGAGAGGAACCAGCTCGTGGACGAGACGATGGAGAAGGACTGCAAGCGCGGGATGAACACGTTCGCGTTCGTGGGGGACTTGGACAAGTCGCCGGAGGTGTCGTGCGTGTATCACTCGGAGGAGGCGGAGAATCAATTCATGAAGGATCCGAGAAAGGCTGTCTTGGGCGACGGCGAACAGCCGCGGCCGAACCTCGCGAACAAGTCGTTCCGATGATACGATGCGGTTTCGGTTTAACCTGGTCGTTCGTGGAACCTATCTATGAACTATCTAGTAGCGCGGTCGCTCTCCGAGAGCGACCGGTGTAATAAAAAAAGATCAGCGAGCGCCAAAAGAAATTCGAACCTCTCTCTTCTCGACGGCGGCGCCTTCGCTTAACCGTCCGTCCGAGGGCGTTTCGTCTCCGGCGGCGGCCACGGCTCCCAGACCTCGCCGTCCTGAGACGGCAGCTGCGGCATCTGCCACCCACCCTGCGACGCCCGCGGCTGCGACCGCGACGGCGACCGCGACGACGGCTTCTCTTTCTCTTTGGACGCGGATTTGACGAACGCGTCCAAGGTGCTCTGCGCTCTCGGAGTGTTCGAATCATTTGTCATCCGCGCGAGCGGCCCGCCCCCGGGGGAGCGGTCGCCGTACGTCCGCTTCGGCGGCTTCGGCGCGCTCGCGGGCGTCTTCGCGGCGCCGTTGCCGGTCGCGAACCCGCCTCTCCCGTCCTTGCCGTTGGCCAAGTCGAGGCAGTCGCCGCTCGTGCCGTCCAAAACTTGCCCCAAATTTTCGAGCTTATTCTGGACGCTGCCCCACATGATGTCGTCCACGGTGTTCCGCGCGCACAGAAACTGCACGGACACGCTGTTGACTTGCCCGATGCGGTGCGCGCGGTCTTCCGCCTGGACGATCTCCCCGGGCGTCCACGAGAGCTCGCCGAAGATGACCGCGCTCGCGGCGGTGAGCGTGAGGCCGACCCCCGCGGCTTTGATCGAGAGCACCGCGACGCGCACCGCGTCCACGGTCTGGAACGTCTCCACGAGCTTCCCTCGCGCGGTCGATGGCGTGGAGCCGTCGATGCGGATGTGCTGTATCTTCCGCTTCTTCAGCGTCGCCGCCGCGGCGTCGAGAAGTTCGGCGTGGTGCGCGAAGAACAAAAATTTATCCGCGCCGCCGTCGATCAACGTCTCGAGATACTCCTGCACCGGTCCAATCTTCGCCTTCGCGGACGCGACGTAGAGCTGGTTCATGAGGCGCTTTTCTTCGAGCGTGCGCCCCGGGGCGCCGCTGCCGGCGGCCTCGCCTCCGTGCATCACGCCTTCGTCGCGGTTGCTCTCTTTGATGTCGTTCAGGCGTTCGCGAATCGCTTTGACTTCGCTCAGAGCTTCGCTCTTCGGAAGAGGCAAAAACACCTGCTCGCGCGTCTTCGGCGGGAGCTGCGTGAGGACGTCCTTCTTCAGCCTTCGCACCATGACGAGCCGGGATATCACGCCGAAGAGCTCGTCCGCGTTCGTGCATCCTTGCCACCCGAACCGAGAGCCGCTGCAGTACCGCTGCGCGAACTCGTTGAACTTCGTGAACACGTTCGGTCGCAGCGCCTCCAACTGCGTGTAGAGCTCGATCGGCCGCGACAGCGCGGGCGTCCCGGTCAGGCAGATGGCCCGTCGCGCGGCCTTGATCAGCGGCACGACCGCCTTGGTGCGCTGCGCCTTGCCGTCCTTCAGAAAGTGCGACTCGTCGCACACGACGATTTGGTACTTCTTCCTCGCGAGCTTCTCCCCGAGCTTTCCGACGAGCGAATAGGGAACGATCGCGAACGCGGCGCCGTTGATCTTGTTCCCATCCGCGCCGCTCGCGACCGCGGCGATCAGCGACGGGCGGACGCCGAGCCACCGTCTCAGCGCGGACTCCCACGCGTCCCGCAGCGACGTCGGGACGAGGACCAAGCACGGCCAGTCTTCGGGGTAGCACGACACGAGCGCGAGCGCTTGGATCGTCTTCCCGAGGCCCATCTGATCGCCGATGAGGACGCGGCCGCCACGTGCGAGGCCGAACTTGACGCCCTCGCGCTGGAACGGGAACATCGCGTCCCGCAAGGTCTCCGGGATGCGCTCGTACGCGGCCTCGACGCCGAGGTCGCCGAGGTCGCCGCCGCCGTCCAAGGTCGCCGCCGCCGCCGCCGCCGCGCGTTCGAGCTGCGTCATCACCGCGAGCGCCCGCTGCACGATCGGCACGGGCATCACGACCTCGATGCACACCCCCGGCGCGGACTTCAACGCCGCGGCGGCGTCTTTCAGGTGACTCTCCGGGAAGTTCCACCGCCGAGTCGCCGCGTCGTACTCTCGCCCGGGGACGCGTTTGATGGCGGCGACGACGAGCTCGTCGAACCCGCGCGGGGTGTGAATCGACACGCGTCGGACGTTCTTCTCCAGGTGCAGCTCGACGAGCGCGTTTCTCGGCGGCGGCGGCATCGGGCCGGCGCGCACCTTGTCGTAGTTGGCGGCGTCGACGCGCGTGAACGACGGGTTCGACGACGCGGGACCACCCGGGGGAGCGTTCGCGAAGAGGGGGAGCGCGGCGCGGTCGCCGGGCCGCGGCGGCGGCGCCGTCGCCGTCGCCGAACACGGCGGCGGTCCGGAAGGCCCGCCGCCGTCGCGGCTCCGCGGGCGCTGCTGCTGTTGCCACGGCGGCGACGGCCCGGGCCCGTGATGATGACACGCGTGAGGCGACGGATGGTGCGGGTGCGGCGCGCGCGGCTGGTGCTGTTGTCCTCCTCCCGCGCGCGCGTGCGCGTGAGCGTTCGCGCCGTGCGTCGCGTTCGCGTTCCCGGACGACGACGCCTGCTTCGCCTCCACCGCGCGCATCATCGCGTCGAGCGCGGCGAACTCGGACGCGTCCACGCTCTCGATCTCGAACGGCATCGGACGACCGGACGTTCAAAACCGCGGGACGGGGGGTGCCCTCTTCCGAAGATGCGGCTCTCGTCTCAGCTACGGACGCGCGCGGACGCCATCGCGACGCGCCGGCGATCTCGAGCGCGGTCCTCGGAAGATGTTCGTCGCTTCGCAGCGCGCGCGCGGCTCGCGCGACGAGGTTTGACGCGCTCGCGCGTCAGATCGCGGCGCTCGTTTTCGGCGCGGGAGGTGCCAAAATTCTCGGGACGGGACGAGAAAAACGAGAAGAAAACGATCCGGCGCGAGCAAGCGCGCTCGGATCGCGTCGTCGTCGATGAGCATGCTGTTTTTTCATATTTCAAGAAAGAAAATTCTCCATCACACGTGCTCTGCGGCGCCCGTTGCTCTACTTCGCCGTGATCATGTACACACCCCCGTTACGTTTCCGTTCCAACAAATCGTTTTCGAGTCGTTCGGATGGATCCGCCCCCCGCGGATCCCTCCCTATTCTCGTCGCCGTCTCCGTCGCCCTCCGTCCGTTCCGATCGCCATCCTCGGAACGCGCGCACGCCGCGAATCTGAATCGCCGCCGGCACATGCGCCCGTTCGCGTTCTCCGCCTCCGCGATTCGGAACGAACCGTCTCGTCTCTCTCCTTTAGTAGAATACACCTACATCGCGGCTGCGCGCTCGCGATGAAACGAATCGAATTCGATTTACGCGATGCCCGACTCGCCGCGGACGGCGCCGGCGTTGAGCGTCACGCCGTCGCCCGTCAGCACGGTGATCTCGCCCGCGGCGTTCACGTCCATGATGCACGAGCTCCCTTCGCCGATGTCACCGTTGAGCATCTTCTCCGCGAGGTTATCCTCCAGAAGCCTCATCACCGCGCGTCGCAGCGGCCGCGCGCCGTACGTCGGGTTGAACCCCTCGTCCACGAGCCTGTCCTTGAATCGGTCGGTGACGTCCAGGGTGATGTCCTTCTCCTTCAAGCGCTTGAACACCTGCTCGAGCATGATCGCCGCGATCTCTCTCACTTCGTTCTTGTTCAGCTGACGGAAGACGATGATCTCGTCGAGACGGTTGAGGAACTCGGGGCGGAAGTAATTCTTCAGCTCCTCGTTCACGAGCGTCTTGATGCGTTGGTACGACGTGTCCTCCGCGTCGTCGTTGAGCTGGAACCCGAGCCCGCCGCCGCCCTTCTCGATGACGGACGACCCGACGTTCGAGGTCATGATGATCAGCGTGTTCTTGAAGTCGACGACGCGTCCCTTGGAGTCGGTCAGCCGACCGTCCTCGAGAATTTGAAGCATCATGTTGAAGACGTCCGGGTGCGCCTTTTCAATCTCGTCAAAGAGCACGAGCGTGTACGGGCGCCTGCGAACCGCCTCCGTGAGCTGACCGCCCTCGGAGTACCCGACGTAACCGGGCGGGGAACCGATGAGCTTGGACACCGTGTGGCGCTCCATAAACTCGGACATGTCGAGGCGAACCATCGCGTCCTCGCTGCCGAAATAAAACTGCGAGATGGACTTGGCGAGCTCAGACTTGCCGACGCCGGTGGGGCCGGAGAAGATGAACGACGCGACCGGGCGGTTCGGGTTCTTGAGCCCCGTGCGCGCGCGTCTGATGGCGCGCGAGCACGCGACGACCGCCTCCTCCTGACCGATGAGCCTCGAGTGGAGCGTCTCCTCCATGTTCATGAGCTGAGAGCCCTCGTCCGAGGACACCTTGTCAACCGGGATGCCCGTCCACGCGGCGACGATCTTGGAGATGTCAGACTCCTTCACCGTCGGGCCCGAGTCGCCGCCGCCAGCCTCGACGGCAGCCTTGTTCTCCTCCTGCTTCGCCTGCGTGATCTTCTGGATCTCCGTCTTGAGCTCCACCTCCTTGTCGCGGAGCGCGCCCGCGGCTTCGAAGTCTTGCCCGCGGATAGCGGTGTCCTTCTCCTTGAGCAACGCCTTGAGCTCCTTGTCGAGCTCCTTCGCCTCCTCCGGGAGCGCGGCGTTCTCGAGGCGAACGCGCGAGCCCGCCTCGTCGATGAGATCGATCGCCTTGTCCGGAAGGAAGCGGTCGGAGATGTACTGGTGCGCAAACTTCGCCGCGGCGACGATGGCCTCGTCCGTGTACTTGAGCTTGTGGTGGAGCTCGTACCGCTCCTGGAGCCCTTGCAGAATCTGAATCGCCTCATCCACCGTCGGCTCCGGCACCTGCACGGGCTGGAAACGACGCTCGAGCGCGGGATCCTTCTCGATGTGCTTCCTGTACTCGTCGATCGTCGTCGCGCCGATGCACTGCAGCTCGCCGCGCGCGAGCGCGGGCTTGAGGATGTTCGCCGCGTCGATGGCGCCCTCCGCGGCGCCGGCGCCGATGAGCGTGTGCACCTCGTCGATGAAGAGGATGATATCGTCGTCCGCCTTGACCTCGTCCATGAGCTTCTTGAGCCTCTCCTCGAACTCACCGCGGTACTTCGTGCCCGCGACGAGGAGGCCCATGTCCAGGGTCATCATCCGCTTCCCCTCGAGCGTCTCCGGGACGTCGTTGGCGGCGATCTTTTGCGCGAGGCCCTCCGCGATGGAGGACTTCCCGACGCCCGGTTCGCCGATGAGGCACGGGTTGTTCTTCGTGCGTCGCCCGAGAATCTGCGTCACGCGCGTCATCTCGGTGACGCGCCCGATGCACGGGTCGAGCTTCGCCTCCTCCGCTTGCTTCGTGAGGTCCGACCCGAACTCCTCGAGCGTCGGGGTTTTGGATCCCCCCGCCGCGCCCCCCGCGCCGGGCGCCGCGCCGACAGCCTCCTGCGACTCGCCCACCATGCGAATCACCTGCGAGCGAATCTTGGACGGGTCCGCGTCGAGATTCTCGAGCACTCTCGCCGCGACGCCCTCGCCCTCGCGAAGGAGACCGAGGAGCAGGTGCTCGGTGCCGATGTAGTTGTGTCCGAGCTGACGCGCCTCCTCCAGCGCGAGCTCCAAGACGCGCTTGGCGCGCGGGGTGAACGGAATCTCCACGGCGACGAAGCCGCTGCCGCGGCCGATGATCTTCTCGACCTCGATGCGCGCTTCCTTGAGCGAGATGCCTGCGGCGAGAATATCGTCGAAAATATCGGTCAGGATCGGGGGGGCGGAGGACATCGGTTCGGATCTCGCGGCGCGCATTCGTCGGCGCAAAGCGCGGCGGAGCGGATAAGGTCGACGGGCGGGGGAACGCGCGGGGAGAGGGGGAGCCGTCGCGCGAGACGCACCCATGGACTTGAGGACCTTCGCGGCGATACCGGTGCCTTCGCCGATGAGGCCGAGCATGATCTGCGGGGCGAGGGGGCGAGGGGGCGCGTCAGTGGATCGCGTTCGGGGCGCGCCGACGCCGGATTTCATCCATCGATCCATCGAACCTTTGACCTAGGCGAAAGAAGACGAGCTGGATGGGGGCGCGCGAGATCCGCGCGGACACGCGCGCGCGGCGCGGCGCGACGGGCGCGATCGCACCTGCTCGGTGCCGACGAAGTTGTGGCCGAGTCGGCGGGCCTCCTCCTGCGCGAGCATCACGACCTTGATGGCCTTCTCCGTGAAGCGCTGCGACGAGGGCGGGCGCGGGGCGAAGGGAAGAGAAGGTCAGTTTGTCGCCGTCGGCGTCGGAGCGCGAGCGACGTCACCCGAGCTGATGATTTCGCGGAATCCCGCGCGAGGGGAACGCGCGCGCGGCCGCGGCCGCGACCGCGATCCGCGCCGAGACGCGCGCGATCATATCCTTCGCGGTGTTCGCGAACGATCGCGCGCGCGAGCGGGCGCGAGCGACGATCGCGTGGGAAGGAAACGACGCGATGCCGCGAGGTAGGGCGGCGTGATGTTCGAAGAAAGACGCACCTCGAACATCGCGGTCGTCGTGAGCTTTCCGCGTCCGCGACCGCGACCCGCTAGGGTCTGCCTCGCGACCGTGGACTCGAACGTCTTCCCGCGGTAAGTGCTCGCGCCGATGACGTCGACCGCGGACGTGCGCCTCATGCCCGCGAACGAGCCGAAGCTGGAGCCCGCGGGCGCGGCGACGGTCGCTCTCGCGCGGACGCGCGCGCGGCTTCCATTCGACGCCCGGACGCCCACGGGGAGGACGCCGGAGAAAGCGGTCGCGGCGAACATCTTCCGCGTTTACGTGTGAAAGAAACGGAGCGCGTTTCTCGTGTTCGATGCGGCGTTACAAACTCCCGCTCGAGCGTGCGTGTGTGTCGTCGAGGCGCGCGGTGCGTGCCTGCGAGAGTGGCGTAGCCGTCGCGCGAATCTCGGGTTTTCTTCCGCAGGAAACGAGATCCTCGACGAGATGAGCACTTTCCAGCCGTGAAAAAAGCTGATTGGACGTACTGTACTCGGAAATCCTACGGCGAACAGTCTGAAATCGCGCGAAACGTCGAGTACGTTTCCCGGAAACGAGATTTGTAATTTGGCGCGGGATCTTCATCATTCTGATGAACGAAAGAGCGATGAGCGATGAGAGCGAATCGTTCGTCTCATCAATTCATCCTACCGTTCATCACAACGCGCTCACCACGTCCCCCTTGATCGTCGCCCGGTCCTGCTCCACGAGCAACATCGCCGCGTCCCTCGCCTCCTGCACGCTCATCTCGAACTGCGAGTTCCGCTCCTTCAGCTTCACGACGAGCTCCGCGAGCCGCGCGCGGCCCGCAGCCGTCTCGGACAAAATCTCTGCGATGCCCTCCGCGACGGCGCCGCGTTGCCGCCGGTCGCTCGCGCTGTGCCCGGTCAAGATCTTATCCATGTCGATCTGCCCCGTCTTCGGATCCCACGCCGCCTGCTGCATCGCCGCGCGCATCAGCCGCAGCGCCTCCGTGGAGTCGCGCTTCTCGACGACGTTCGACAGCCGCATCCTCGCGAGGCTCTCCGCGAGACGAATGCTGCTCTCCAACTGCCTCGGCGTCGCGGTGATCACCTTCCGTCCGCCGCCGACGCCCAGCCGCCGCATGTCGACGTACCCCTCCACGAGGTACTCCGCGGCCTCGTCGGAGAGCACCGGGTGGTACTTGGACCGCGCGTACGAGATGTACTCCGTCAGCGTCGCCGCGTCCAACGCGCCCGTGACCTTCTCCGGCGGCTTCTCGAAGTGCAGGCTGATGAGATGCGCGGCGAGTCGCTTATCCGTCTCCACGTTCGGCTTGTCCAGCACGAGGAAAATCAGGTCGAACCGCGATAGGAGCGTGGGAGGGAGGTCGATGTTCTCCACGACGGACATGTTCGGGTTATACCGCGATCCGATCGGGTTCGCGGACGCGAGCACGGAGGTGCGCGCGTTCAACACCGCGATGATCCCCGCCTTGGCGATGGACACCGTCTGCTGTTCCATCACCTCGTGCAGCGTCGACCTCGCGCCCTCGGACATCTTATCGAACTCGTCGATGCAGCATATCCCGCGGTCACTCAGCACGAGCGCGCCGGACTCGAGCACGAAGTCTTTCGTCTCTGGATCCCGCGTGACGTACGCGGTGAGACCGACGGCGGAGGAGCCTCGGCCGGAGGTGTAGATTCCACGCGGCGCAACCTTGTTCACGTACGTCAGCAGCTGCGACTTCGATACCCCCGGGTCGCCAACGAGGATGACGTTGATGTCGCCTCGGACGCGCGACCCCGCGGCCGAGCCCGTCAGCGTCTTGTGCGTCGCGCCGAAGAGCTGGCACAGGAGCCCTTTCTTCACCTCCTCCATCTCCCAGATGGACGGCGCGAGCGACGAGACGAGTCGCTCGTAGACGTCCTCCCGCTTACCGATCTCCTCGAGCGCCGCGATTCTCTCCGGGGTGAACTCCGCCTCCGCGTTCGGGCCCTTGGAGCTGTCCGGTCGCAGCCCGCCGAGATTGTTGGCGTCGTCGTCGTTCCATCGATCCCCCGCGACGGCGACGCCGTCGCGCTCGTGCCGCGCCCTGTCCTCCTCGTCTTCCCTCGCCGCGGTGTTTTTTATCCGCGCCGTCGTGTCCTTGCGTATGTGTATCACGTCCAGGTACGTCTTGTACACCGCCTTCAAGACCCGCTGCGTCGGCGCGACGCGTATCGGCACGGCTCTGTACACGCCCGTGATCTCCACGCGATCCCCTGGCTTGGCCTCGTCGACGAGGGAGTCGAAGACGCACATGGACACCGTGTTCGGGGTCTCGCCCTCGGGGATCGCGTCCGGGGTCTCCTGCATCTTGACCTGCTGCTTGTTCGCGAATATGCACCGGTTGTGGATCAGCGTCGCGGTCCCGAGCGCGTCGCAGCCGGGGCATTTCATCGGGGGCTCGTTCACGCGCCCGCGGTCGACGTACGTCATCTCCGGGGGGGACGCGCCGCACGACGAGCACTTGAAAAACGCCATCTTTAAGTCGGGGATGATGGCGCTGCACCGCGTCACCATCCCTCGCACCGCGACGAGCTTGTCGATGTCGCTCGGGTTTAAGTCGCGCATCGGCTTCGTCTCCTGTAAGTTGTACGTCCTGACCTGGAACCTCTGGAACTCCTCGTCTTCGCCGTCGGGTAAGATGCGCTCCACGAAGTGCTCGTTGGCGACGACGTCGAAGATGGGAATCATCTCTTGCGGGTACGCCACCAGCAGCTTGTACAGGTGCGGGTCGTACGCGTGCAGATGCTTGCAGTCCAGGTCGAGCTGGAAGTCCTCCTTCTCGAAGCACTCGCGGAGTTTCGCGTCGTAGTGCGACGTGCCCTCCCTCGACGCGAGCTCGAAGTGCTCCACGAATCGTCGGAACCGCTGCCGGACATCTTGCACGTTTACGAGCGTCCCCCACACGTACGTCTCAGTCGCGTCTCCCTCCGGGTTGATGTTCCCCGCGCCGGGGGACATGACCTGCGGGGAGGGATACACGAACGCGTCGGTTTGCGTCCCGGTCGGGGTCTCGCCGGGGCCCCCCGGCATCCCCGCGGACGGCGTCGCGCTGCCGCGTCTGACGAACTGCCCGCCTCCGCCTCGGAGGTCGTTCCGTCCTCCGCTCATCGGCGTCCCGCGGTACGAGCTCGGGGTCCGCCCCGTTCGCCCCGGCGTCTCCCCGGTCCCGCGCAGAGAGGTTCTCTGCGTCCCGGGCGGGGAGAACAGAGGGAGCGGGGACGCGTCGATCTGCGCGCCACCAGGGGTGACGCCCGCGCCGGGCGTCTTCGCGGGCGTCTTCCCGGGCGTCTTTTGCGCGCGCGACGGCGTCTGCGCGGGGGGCTGCGACGACGGCGGCTGCGACGACGGCGGCTGCGACGACGGCGGCTCGGACGCCGCGCTCGCGCTGCGTCGTTTCCGCGCGGAGCCCGGGGGTTTCGACGCGGGAGGGCTCATCATCCCGGTGTCGCCTGCGGAGGGGGGACGAGGGCGACGGACGGACGGACGGATGGATGCGTCAGAGAGGCGTCGTCGCGCGATCGATCGATCGATCAGGTTTTTTCACGACGCGACGGCGCGATGCGGGAAGGCGGTCACCTCCGCCGACGGATCCTTCCTTCTGGGACGCGGATCCCGGCGCGGACTCCGTGCTCTTGCGTTTATTCGCATTGCGCGGAGATCGCCGCGGCGTCGGGGCTTCGCCGCCCGCCATCGCGGCTCGTTCTGCCCCGCATTTGAACGGGTGCCAGAAGACATACCAGCGGACCAGGCCCAAAAAAACGACCGACCACAGCCAGCTCACCGTGAGACTCTTTATTTAGCTCGCGCCATAACGAGTCCGCCGACCACACCGCGCGCTGTCGCGCTCGCGCCCCGGCGTTCGTCCCCGCGACGACGTCATGGAGTACGTCTTGCGAGATAACCGACGGTGCGCGCGCGTTTCCGTCGCCGTTCACGCCTCGCGTCGCGCGCGTCCTCCTTCCCCTCGCGCCCGAAGAAAAAATAATCTCATCGCGTCGCGTCGTTGTCTCGGCACCGCCGCTCGCGACTCATCGTCTTCGTCCGTCCCCGCGCGCCCCTCCCTCCCCGCGTCCGCAGAGGCAACGAGGCCGTGCTCGCGTCGTCGCACGTCACGTTCGCGTCGTCGAAGATACGCCGACCGCCGGACCTCTCGACCCGCGCGGCGCCCGCGTCGCGCCGCGGCGAATCCGCCGACGAACCCGCGACGACTCGGCACGCACGCGACAGCTGTGCGCGTACCCCCGAAGACGACGATCCCGCCGCCGTCGCGACGACAGCAACGCCGCGTCCGGACGCGAGCGCGCGCGCGGCGTTCGAGCACTACGCCGTGGACACGCCGGCGCGCGATGTGATTCCTTCCGGACGCGTCGTCCTCGCGCTGTGCGACGTCGGCGTCCTGAGCGCGTGCGACGCCGAGCGCGCTGGAAGATTGATCGCCGCGGTGCTCGGATCGCCCGCGGCGACGCGCGTCGGCGGGCTGACGTTCGCCGCGTTCGAAGAGCTGCGGCGCGCGGTGGAGACGAAGCGCGCGTCCGGCGCGCTCGGGACCGCGGCCGACGGCGACGCGGCGCCGACCGCGCCGGAGTTTTTGGAGAACGCGACGCTGCGCGCCACCTTCGACGCCGCCGCCGCGCGCGCGACGGCGACGGCGACGACGACGACGGCGTTGTTCGGTCGGACGACGACGCGAGGGAAAGAGAACGGCGCGTCCGACACTTTGCTGTCGTCCGACACCTTATCCGACGACGACGACGACGCGGAGGACGACGACGGCGCGTCCCCCGAGGAGCGGCTCCTGGGCATGTCGGAGTGGTGCGACGTCCTCGACGCGTGCGGCCTCCTCGACGACCCCGCCGACGCGGCGCCGGGCCCCGGGAAGAAACTCCCTCTCAGCGCCGCGGGCGCGGGCGTCGTGTTCGCGCGCGCGCGCGGCGCGACCGAGGACGGCGACTACGGGCTGCGGTTCGCGCCGGATTTCGTCGCCGCGCTCGCGTGGACGGCGACGTCCAGGGGGTTGTCCTTCGGCGAGGTCGCCGCGAAGGCGATGCACGCGGCGCCGCCGCCGGCGCCGGATTCGTTCCCGGGGGTCATGACCGCGGAGGACTTTGGCGCGAGCAAAGGCGCGGACGCGTCGTTCGACCCGGACGAGTGCTTCAAGTACGAGTTCTTCGACCAGCGCGACGACCTGGACGACACGGGCCTGAGCTCCAGGGCGCACTCGATACGCGGCGGCGCGACGGCGGGCGACGGCGACGGCGACGGCGACGGCGACGGCGCGGGCGTCGTTCCCAAACTCGAGGCGTTGGAATCCCTCCGCGAGGCGTTCCGGTGCCACGACGACGGCCACGCCGGCGTCCTCCCCGCGTCCGCGCTCGTGCTCCTCCTCGGCCAGGCTGGCGCGTTCGACCACCTGTCGCTGAACACCGCGGCGGTGTTCGTCCGCGCGCGGCTGGAGCGCCTGAACCGGCGGTGCGGCGAGTTGATCCCGCACGACCAGTTCCCGGGACACGTCACGCTGCTCGACTGCGGGAAGCACCTGCGGTCGATCCTGCGCTTCACGCCCGCGCTTCGCGAGCGCCGGCGGACGTTCGCGGCGCCCGTGCGGCTGACCGGGCGCGATAAGCGGCCGAGCGACGTCGCGGCGATGCGGCGCGTCTTCGAGCGGTACTGCGCCGCGGGCGAGGAAGCCGGCTTCGCCGCGTCCGCGCCGCCGCACCCGGGCCTGATGGACGTTCAGGCGCGTTCTATCTCACACTGGTCCCCATACGATCGCGTTGGCGTGGTGAACGCCGTTTCTTAAGGACTTTTCCCAGCGTTTCTCTCCGCCCACCCCTCGCTTTCAATCCCGACACACCTCGACGCCTTTCAACTCCAACTGACGCCTATGAACTCCACCCCGACATCGCTTTGTATGGAACGACCCTCAGCGGTGGACGCGGTTCGCGCGCAACGCGGACGTGTTCGACGTCGACTTCGAGGTGGGCGCGGAGGAGGTCGCGTTCGCGCTCGCGACGCCGTGCGGCGAGCGACGGCTGACGTTCGAGACGTTCGCGCGCGCGTTTGGGTACGTCGCCGCGCAAAAGGGGATGACGGCGGCGGATGCGATCGAGACGGTGAAACGCGCCAAGTTGTCGATCGGTCCCGCGCAGTCCGTCGCCGCGCTCGCTCCGGGACGAGAGGTAGAGAGAGGCGGCGCGTCGTCCTCGGCGGATGGGCTCGAGATGCCTCCCTCGGACGCGGACGGCGCGCCGCTCCCGCCCGCGCCCGGGATGGCGAGGATGGACCCGTGCGGGACGTTTAAACGGAGGACGCCGCTCGCGGCGACGGTCGCGGACGCGAAGACCGCGGAGAGGGTGATCCGCGCGCGGACGCCGGCGGCGATCTCCGATGTTCCGCTCATTCTCGCGGACGTGGGCGCGTTCGAGGGGTTGACGTCCGTCGCCGCCGGCGCGTGCGTCGCGGGCGCGTGCGTGTCCTTGGGACTCGCCGGCGGCGCCGGCGCCGGCGGCGAAGGCGCGGCGAAGGCGACGAGGGACGACGTCGTGAGAATCACCGAGGCGCTGCACGCGCTCAAGAAGACGCCCAAACACGTCGACCTGACGCTCCCGCCGCGCCGCGCGTTGAAAGTCTACGAAGACCACTCCGTCCTGCGCGCTCGATTCTACGAGTTCAGCTGCTTCGGTCTGTCGAAGCGCGCGGCGGAGCGTCGCGAGAGCCGACTGCGCGCGACGTGGCAGCAGTCGCTGATTGACGCGGACGTGATGACGTGCCGGGAGAGGCACGAGCCGTACGACGGCCCGGTGAACCAGAAGCCGCCGGAGACGGACTGCTCGCGCTTCCACGCGGACGAGCACGCGCACACGAGAGCGCTCGTCGAGGCTGGGGGCGCGGCGGTGACCGCGGAGGCTCTGGTGGAGAGGAAGAACATCCCGGGGGGCGCGAGGAAGCCGGACGGCGTCGCGAGGGCATTCGACGAGAATTACGCGATGCCGCCGCGGTTCATCGACGTGCGGAAATCCAACGCGTTCGGCGCTGGGACGAAGAAGGAAGCGGCGGCGGCGGAGGAGGAGGGAGGAGGGGGAGGGGACGATCGGCCGGCGTCCGCGGCGGCGTTCGTCGCGCGCGCGGCGGCGGCGCGCGAGCGGAGAATCGCGGCGGAGGACGCGACGAAGACCCCGGAGACGCTCCAACGCGAGGAGATTCAGATGCGCACGCACCGCGCGTCCGTGGAAGCGACGCTCGCGGCGAAGAAGCTCGACGAGGAGAAAGAGGCGGATAAAACGTACGGGGAGCGACGGTTAGCGACGAACCATCGCGCTGGGCTCACGCAAAAGACGTTCAGAAAACTCCTCGGCGAAGCCGGCGTGCTCTCGGACGACGTGACCCCCGCGAGCGTGGACATCATATTCGCCCGGTGCCGCGCCCCCGGGAGCGACATCTTGACGTACGGAGAGTACCTCCGCGCGATCGCGCACGTCGCGCACGTCACGAAATCGAAGTTTGGTCACGTCTGCGGCGTGCTCACCGCCGTCGGTAAACCGCGAGCGCATTACGCGTTGACGCCGCGGCAGGTCGCCGCCGCGGGGCTGACGCCGAGCGAGGGCGGGCGCGCGCACGTGATGAGAGCGGGCGACCGCGCGTACCGAACGAAGCGACACCGATGCGGGCTGTTCATTCCGAAGCTGTCGTGCGCGGGGCTCGCGGAGAGCTGCGAGCGTTCGCACCAGAACGTTTTGCGACGCATGAAGGGGGAGGAGTCGCGCGACGAGAGAGAACGAGAGATGGCGCGGATCCATCGAAGGAGCCTGGGCATTCATCACGCGAAGGCGCGGTTAGAGAGCGCGAAGCGCGTCATGAACGACAAAGACACGTGGCACTTCGTGAAGGAGCTCGAGGAGCTTCGCAAAGAGGGGCACGGTCTGAACTGGCCGGGGCAGGAGCACGCGGAGGACCCGATAAAAACGCGCGAGGGGAGAGCGTTACGCGAATCCGTGACGTGGCTCATGAACACGGTCACGATGAACGAAGGCGGCGGCGTCCCAGAGCTCCCCATGGGCGTGACCGTCAAACAAGCCGCGGCGTTGATACGCGCCGACCCGCGGTATCCGAACCTGCCGTCGTCCGCCGTCGACCGACGCGCGCGCGACGTCGTCGTCGACGGCGTCCACGGCACGCGCACGACGCTTCCGGACGGGAAGACGTGGACGATGACGCGGACGCAGAGAGGTAGCTCTAGAAGCGGCGGAAGCAGAGAAGACGCGAACAGGGGTAGTACAGCTGGCAGCAGAGCGCCGCAGCCCGCGTGGGCGGCGCGGACGCCGTCGTTGGCGTCGCACGGCGCGCGGCTTCCGTTCGGCTCGGCGACGACGGCGGTGCCCGCGACGTCGCTCGCGTTTCTGCGCGAGAGCGGCGCGCTGAGCGCGAAGCGGCGGCCGCCGGACCCGATGGCGGCGGCGGTGCGGACGCTGCGCGAGATGCAGGCGAACGGGGAGATGTGATGATGTGATGGCGGTAGACGGGCTCTAGCGCCGAGCGCGTCCGGGTGTGAAATAGAAACTTTTGAAAGCGCGGTGCGAACAGAACGCCTCTCACAGCAGCTCATCACGCACGGCGCTGCACTGCTGACGTTGCGGAAGGGTGAAATAATGCCGCGACTCGCCGGCACATCGGTCGACGCGCGCACGCAGCGCACGACTCCTCCACACCACTCACGATGGCTGCCATGATTGGCGGTGTGACCATGGCGGGCGTCGCCCCCGTCGGGGTGAAGCGCGCGCGCGCTTCGCCGCGCGCGGCCGCGGCGCCGGCGTCGCTGTCCTCCTCGTTCACCGGCGCGGGTTTCGGGAAGCAAATCGACGGGCAGAGGCTCAGCGTGTCCGCGCTCGCGCCCGCGCCCGGGTCCAGGCGCGGCGGCTCTCGCTGCGTGACGACCATGGCGGCGAAGATCGCGGGGTACATCAAGCTCGCGATCGAGGCGGGGAAGGCGAACCCCGCGCCTCCCATCGGTCCCGCGCTCGGTGCGAAGGTGCGCGCGCGCGGCTCGGTTCGGTCGCGGCGAAATCTCTCCCGGACGCCACCCTCGCGGGCGTCGCGCGGATTTCTCAGCTCCGTCGCCGCGCGCGGCGACGCGTCTGACGACGCGCGCGAGCGGCCGTTCGCGACTCTGAAGCCGCGGGGCGTTCGCGTGGGGGTCTCACGACGCCGCGACGCCGCGAACGCGCGAGTTCAGAGCCGCGAACGACCCCGCGCGCGTCGAATCCGCGCGTCACCGAGAGCCCAGCCCTAAACCCTCAACGCGTCGACGCTCGCGCTGACGACCCACGATTCATCCTCGTCTCCCCCCCCACCCCTCCGTCTCAGGGTGTGAACATCATGATGTTCTGCAAGGAATACAACGCGCGCACCCAGGACCAGGCCGGCACGATCATCCCCGTCGAGATCACCGTCTTCGAGGTGCGCTCGCCTCGCGCGCGCGCCGACGTTCGCTCGCCCCCGCGTCCGTCGCCGACGCCGCCGGCGTCTCGTCGCGACAAACGCGCGCCCACCCGCGCCCGCCTGACCTTATCCGTTTCCCTCGCGCCCCTCGACGTCGCAGGATAAGTCCTTCACGTTCGTGCTGAAGACCCCGCCCGCGTCGGTGCTCCTGAAGAAGGCTGCCGGCGTCGCGAAGGGTTCCGCGCAGCTCGAGAAGGTTGGCTCCATCACCAGGGACCAACTCGAGGTGCGTGCGCGGCGAATGCTGCGTCGTCGACCCGGGAGCGAATCGTTTTTATTTTCCGCGCGCGCGCCCGCGCCCGTTCGTTCGCTGACGTGTGCGTCGTTCTTCTTACCCTTCTTCTCGCAGGAAATCGCCAAGATCAAGATGCCCGATCTCAACGCGCACAAGGTGGAGTCCGCGATGCGCGTCGTCGCGGGAACGGCGGCGAACATGGGCATCACGATCGAGGGGTGGGACATGGAGGAGAGCAAAGAGATCTTGCGACAGGAGAAGGCTGCGACGTGGGGAACTGCGTGAGCGTCTAGGACGACGGCGTGCCGATTCGGTGAGGCGTGAGCTCGGGCGGCGGTGCGGTGCGGTGGGGGTTTCACGTCGCGGGACGCTCGCGAGGGAGGATGCACGCGTTCGAACGGCGGAGCCCGGATGGAACGGCGGTCAGCGCGCGGTTGTATATATCACTCGAGAGACTGAGGTGAAGCGAACGCGACTCGACGTCGACGTCGATCGACCGCGCCTCGCCCGCGAACCGACGAGGTCGCGCGCGGTTCTCGGAGTGTCGCGACGAACGACCGCGGCGGTTTATCTATCGGTACGTGCCGTTACAATATCGAGCCGCGCCCTTCCGACATGCCAACGCAATCAAATCGCGCGGCGGCGCCGAGGCCCCTCGGTCGCCGCCACCCGCTCCACTCCACTCCACTCCACTCCACTCCACTCCGCGCGCGCCGGCGCTCGCGACTGAACCCTCCCCACGTGTCAGTCGTCCCTCTCTAGCGTCGCGTCGCGTTTACTTCTTCAGCTCGCGGTGCAGCGTGTGTTTGCGGAGGTACGGGTTGTACTTCATGAGCTCCAGGCGCCCGGACGTGTTCCGTCGGTTCTGTCGATCGAATGATTCGAAGCGGAGGGGGGGGGCGGGGCGTCAGCGAACGGTCGAGGGGGTCGAGGGGCGGAGCGGACGCGAGAACGAGGGAGGCGGGCGGGGACGCCGGCGGCGCGCGCGGGGGGGAAGGAAGCGACGTCGGGCTTCCGCGCGAGAGGTCCCCCCCTTCCCCCCACGGACCACGCTGAGGGAACCAAAGCCCTCGAGGGCGTAGGGTTTTCCGCGCGTCCGAAATGCGACGCGACGCCGGCTTATCCGCGCGACGCGCGACGCGACGCGATGGACGACCCGCGCGCGCACCTTCTGAGTCATGTAACGAGACATCCCCGCGACCCCGGACTCCTTCTGCTCCGTGCACTCCAGCGTGATCGTCAGGCGCACGTCCTTCTTCTTCGACGCCGCGACGACCTGGAGCGCGCCTCTGCTCGCGGGCCCGGGCGTGGCCGCGGGCGCGCGGAACGACGCGCTCGTCGCGACGCGGGAGCTCAGCGCCTTGGGCACGAGCGCGGAGCCGGTGAGGGAGGCCAGTTTTCGGTGT